GAGGGTCCGTCCCGAGCCCGTGGGCCGCTGCGTGTCGCGTCCTCACGGCAGGGGGTGCGGGGGGCGCCTCTGCCGGGGTCGCAACGCGGGCGCCTGTGTTCGCTGGGAGCCGGGACCCGTGGGGTCGAGTCAGAGAAGCAGACACGGCCGCAGCGAGGTGGGAGGAGCACCTGCGGCACCTGCGGCACCTGGGGCGCCTGCGGCACCTGCGCTCACCTGTGGCACCTGCGGCACCTGTGGCACCTGCGCTCACCTGCGGCACCTGCGGCCGCCACCCGGGCTGGCCGCGTCTCTGGTCTGCGCAGGCCCCGGGCGGGCGCCGGGCTCGGGCTGCGTCTCCCCCGCTGCGACCACGCGCTGGAGGCTGGGGATGGCGGCTGGGGAGGGGCTGGGGAGGGTGACGCCCTCCTCGCGCCTGACAGCCGGGGTCTCTGGGGCTGGTGCCCCCGGGCCAGCTCCACCCCCAGGAGGTCCTTCTGGCTCAACCCGGCCCAGGTGGGAGCCGCCAGGGCCCTGTCCCTCCCCGTCCCCACGGCTGCGCCCCCCGGGCTTCCCCTTGTCCCCCGCCCGCTGGGGTGCCTGCCTCCAGGTGGAGCTGCCGGGGCGTGCGGGGCACCTGGGGCGGCTGTGGGGGTGCGGGGTGCGGCGCTGAGGCCGGCCTGTGCCTGTCGCCTGCCTGCAGGACGGCGATGCTGGCCCCCGAGACCCCGGAGGCCAGAGACTCTCCCAGGGGTGTCCACGGGACTTCCAGGACGGGGCTTCTTCCCCGTGGCCTCTTCTCTCCTGTTTCCCCCCAAGTTGCACTGGCAAAATGATACAGCTGCGCCCATGGGGTTCGGGCCTCTCGATACCACTGAGGACGGGGCGCCTCCCCCTCAGCTGAGGGCGGGTCCGAGAGGCTGAGGGCAGCAAGGCCTCGTCCAGACCAGGAGCAGGCCCACCTGTGCAGGTGTGCCCAGGCCGGGCGAGGGGGCAGTGACAGTCCCCAGCGCCCCTGCACCTGTGGGTCCCCCCCAGGCCTTCTGTAGGGACCCGAGGGCCCAAGATGGGCGCCGGCCCCAGGCCTGGTTTCCAGACCACTCTGTCACCTGCCGGGCGCTGCATCCATCTTCAAGATGCGTGGGGGGGGGGTGGTGCGCTGAGCCTAGAGCTGCGCTTGCTATCGGGGTGACAGGCACCCCCCAAAAACGCAGGCCTGAGCCGTTGGGGGAGGGGCACAGGTGTCCCTGAGTGGCTGTGATGACGATTTGCCAAAGAAAAGCCGGCGGAGCAGAGCAGAGCTGCTGCAGGCTCCCTGGCCCCGGGGTGGTCTGTGAGGTCTGGGCGGGGAGGGGCGGGGGGCCGAGCCGGTGGGTGCCGAGCCTGTGGCCGCTGCCGCCGCGCCCAGCCCACTCACTGGCAGAGCCACCCACCTGAGCCGCCACCTCGTGACCTGAGGCTGCGGGTGCAGACAAGGTGGCGGCGCCTGGCGGAGCAGCGTGTGGCGGGGCCTCACCTGGCCGAGGCGCTCAGGCTCTCGGAGGAGCCATGGCCTCTTTCCCCGGACCCGCGGCGGCCACGTCTTGCTCTCGCCGGCGCTGTCCACTCTTTGCTAACTGGCCTCGTGCTGCACCTCCCCCTGCAGTGACCCTCGGGGCTAATGGCTGTTGCCATGGTCCCTGAGGTCCGGCGTGGGCAAGGAACCATGCGCGCGGTGGGGGAACAGCAAACTCCCTCAGATGCAGAGAAGCCGGATGCCTGCCAAGAGATGACGACCACCAGAAGCCGCCACAGAGATGATTAAAAGAAATGCTGACCACCTGGAACCTTATCTCGCTTTCTCAAGGCCCATAAACTGTATTCTGCTACAACTGTCTCTCTAAAATCTTTCCTTTTTCTGGTCATTGATTGCTAATTAAAAAGCATACGTAATTTAATAATTAGGCTAATGCAAATGAAACATTACTCAACACTGTGTTATAATAGAATTGTAGTTTAATAATCTTTCTATTATGTGCTTGACTTTAGTACCTTTGATATTAACTGCATGATAATATAAATTCACCCATGACAATTAATTATGAGTAAACATAAGTAGATAATAGTAGTAGTAATTAGTACAAGAATATAAAGAGTTAATAGCCTGTCCACTTAGGAATGCGGCCAGGTCCAGGTGTATTTTGGACATAGATCACTGCCCTGTCAATGAAAAGCTAAACCTATGAGCAAGCTGATTTCCTTGATGTTCACCGTTCCTATGCCTTTAGAAAAAACATATATATACTGACCACTAACAAAAATAAAGTTACACTCAGGTTTACACTCTCTCTTGAAGTGTGTCTGTGTGTCATTTCTTTAACCGAATCCCTGCCCACCCTGCGCAGTCTCTCAACCCTGAGACGGCCTCATCGCCTACTGCTGTGCTGGTCCGCGGCAGCCTCGGACAGTTGGCGTGTCTGTGCCCGGCAGGGCCTCCGGCCATGGGCCTCGAGGCCCCAGAACTCCGTGTCCTCGGCCCAGGGTCGGGGTGGGGGGGGCGCCTCCAGGTACCAGCCCGCCCGCCCCCCGTGTGCAGACGGCCCTCAGCACTGGGCATCCGGCAGGCCTGGCCCGGCGCCGGGGCTCCCGCGAAGGAGCCGCTGTGTCGCTTCGTGAAGATCCGAGCTGGAGTTTAGCTTGGCGGGAGCTGACAGCGCCGGCTCTGAAGGCCGAACGCCGGGAAGTCCGCGGACGCGGGGACGCCGCGGGGCCGGCTCCCGCCGGGAGCACCGAGCGGTCAGGGGGTCAGGGCGGGCCCGTGTCCGGCGTCCTCACGCCCGAAGCCTCTGCACGCGGAGGGGCCGGCGCTGGCCCTCCCGCCACGGACACGCAACGGCACAGAGCCAATCAATCCACGCCAAGAGGCAGAAATCTAAAATTAAATATTTAATTGAACTCTGATCTGCTTGAAAGGTGGGTGGCATCGCACAGGCTATAGTACACCTCCTTCCTAGAGTGTCGACAGCAAAGAGACTGTCCGCTTCACGGCCGCGGGGTGGGAGTACACGCGACACGGGCCGGGGCTGAGTCGGCCGGCGAGGGGCCGCTGGACGTTATTGGGAAAATTACAGTTCTGTATGTAAAAACATTTATTTTTTTTAACAATTTACCTACATGAATCAAAAAATTACAGCATATTTAATAATTTTACAAATTCTTCATAAAAAATAGATCTCTGTACAAAAAGGTCTGTGCACCTACGGCGTCTCAGCAGCGTGTGATGGAGGCGGGTCTGGCGCAGCGCCGGCCTTCCGGTCCCTTGTTAGAAGAGCTTGAGTGGTTGTTTACAAAACAGTTTACAGAAGAAAAAAATTATTGCAGCGAGCCGGAAGAAAGGCAAGATGTGTGAAACGAACAGCGGGTGTGGACAGCTCTGAAGCGGGGCCGGAGCGGCGCCCGGCCTCCGCCCCCCGCGGCCGGCAGGAGCCTGTGGCGGGCCGGCCCGGCTGGGGGCTTGCACCTGCGGGGGGGGCCTCTCCAGGCCGGCACCCCCTCTCTGTTCTCCGCGACACGCTCCGGCCCGGCCCGAGGGGCGCTCCAGCTGGGCGTGGGCTCCCCGCCGCCCCTCGAGGCGCCCCCAGGGCGAGGACCAGGTCAGAGGTCGGGGCGCGGGGGAGCCGCAGGCCCCGGCGTCAGTGTCTGCCCCTGCTTGGAAGACCCCGCTCCGCGCAGGGCTCCCGCGAGCGTGTGACACCAGCCCCCCGCGTCCTGCCCCCGGGCCCAGCTCTCACCCCACTCCGGGCCGCGTGGCGGCGGGAGCCTCAGTGGCTTTGGGGTCTCAGGGCGCCAGGCGCAAAGCAACCCGGCCCCAGGCCGGGGGCCCAGCGGTGCCGAGACTCGGCTCAGGACGCGGGCTGGGGGCGCGGGCTCCAAGGCGGGGCTGCCGGGGGCGGGGCACCCTGCGGCAACGGACACCCCCAGCTCTGAACGGCTCCCCACAGCTGCTTCGCTTCACCTCGGCAGCCCCCTGGAAGCCGCAGCCCCCGCCGGTCTGCGCTGACCCGCGGCCGTGCCCGCCTGGAGAGGGGCCGCCGGGAGGTGGACCATGGACTCAAAAACCAAATAATAAAATAATCACTGTCTTTTCAAAATATTTTTTATCAAACCGTTATAAATAAAAATAAGATGATTTCGCCTTGAGGTTGTCACGTGAACATTCTCGCGCCTGTGCCCCCCGCGCTCGGCCGCGGAGCCTGGTGATGCCGCAGCAGCAGCAGCTCCGCTCCCACCCGCGGCGTGGCGGGCACGGGAGACCCGCCTGGCGCGGCCCTCGGGCAGGGCGGGCGCTTCTGCCGCCACAGACTCGCGGGTCTGGATCGGCCGCTTCCCGCGCTCGGGCCGGGGGTGGCGGGTCAGCGGCCAGCGCCCGCCCAGGCCCCCGCAATAAATTACGATTCACACCTCACACGCGACGCCGGCAGCCCGCTCGCGGGAGCGACGACAAGGACGGGACGCGGGGACACGTGGAAATAAAAAGGCCTCTTTGTTCTCGGTGGACGAGCCGATGGAGGGACACGCGATGGGCTAAGAGAAGCGACCGTCCAGCAGCTCCACCTCGCGCTGCGCCCAGCCGCGGCCCGTGCTGCCCGGGGCGGCCGCTGCGCGCCGGACGCGTATGTACAATGGCGAGTGTGTATAAACCCTGTGGAAACAGTTTATTTTTATCAGAATCTGACTCAGTCGTTCAGAACACGCTAGTGCAAAAGATTGTGCATCGAAAACTCCGCAACAGAGCAGCTGACGGGCAGGCACCCGCGGGCGGGCGCTGAGGTGAGCGGCCCCTTGAAGCCGCAGGTCCCGGGCATCTGGGTCTCGGGGCCTCCCCGGGGCCTCTCCCGAGTCCTCGCGTCCCGGGGGTGAGCACGGAGGGACGCGGCTGCCGGCGGGCCCGGGGCCGGGCGCTGGCGCAGGGCGGCCTCCCGGGGTCCGGCGGGCACGGCCGGGCGGGCGGGCGCGGCGCGGGCGGCACCAGAGGCCTGGCGGCGAGGTATGGCTGTGGCGGCTACACCACGGTGCACACGGTGTTGAGCGTCGTGTCGAAGCGCACCGCCTTGGCCTCCGTGGGCTTCAGCGCCGTGTCGTACATGGGGTTCTCGAAGGACGCCTGCCCGTTGCTGCTCTCGTGGCCCGCGTAGCCGTTGTACTGGACCTTGGGCCTGGTCCTGCAAGGAAAGCGCAGCTCTGCCTCCGCCCGCAGGGCCCGCAGGCGCGGCGCCGTCGGCCCCACCCGCCCGCCCGCCCGCCCGGAGCAGGACCGACTCCCCGGCGGGTGACAGCCACGCTCCTGGGGGCTGGCGGAGACCCCGCACACCAGCGCTTTGTCAGAAGCAGAGTGAGGTGGAGACGCCCGCGAGGTGTGAACCCGGGCGTGCCCCCGCAGGACCTGCCTTGGGGGACACCTTTTAAAAAATTATCCCGAGGAGGCTAGGGCGGAGGGCGGCAGGCCCGGCCATTGCTGACCCCGCAGGTCGCACCTCGTCTGCATAGAGACGAGCTACAGAAGGACTTTCCGGCTCCTCCGGAAAGATTCTTGCTTTTTGGGGTGCTCGCTCGAAGGAAAGGGTCTATTTTAGTGAGATTGCTTTTCTCCAAGTTTGACAGCCCCCAGCGACCCGGGACGTGCGATCTCAGCGCTGGGAGCCGAGCCCGGGAGGACGCGAGGGCCGGCGTGGCTGGCCACACGGCCGGCCGGTCTGCACCCTTTCCCGGCCGAGAGCCGCTGGGCCCCTGCCCTCGCCCCTCGCCCGCCTCAGTCCCGTGGGGGTGGAGCCGCCTCCCCTTCACCCTCACGCGTCCTCCCCAGCTCGCTGCGCAGGGGCCCGTCACCTACACGGGCAGGGACCTGACGCTCCTGAGCCTGTCCCGGCCAGGGGGCCGGGCAGTGGGCGTGAGGGTCGGCCCGCCGCGCACCTGTGTTTGTAGAGGTAAAACGCAAACCCAGACAGGATGAGCGCGAAGAACGGGACCAAGATGGCCGCCGCCACGGAGCCGCTGCTGGTGCCCCCGCGGTGGCTGGGGGGGCCCTGGTCAGGGTCCGGCGGATCTGCAAGACACAGAGCAAATGTGGCTGCGGGCACTGCAGCTGCGTCACACCCGAGGCCCACGCCCGGGCGCACTGAAGGCGCAGGCGTCCTGTCCTGCGGGGACGAATGGCTCCTATCTCCACCGCCTCACAGCCACCCCAGGGACCGAGGGCCCAGGACCGTCCTTCGCACGCCCACAGCGGGAGGACGCTGGCTGGAGGCGGACAGGCGGCAGGGGTGCTGCCCCCATGCAGGCGGCGGCACTTGCACGGGAGAAGGGAAGGCCCGGATGCTGCTGTTCCTCCTGCCCTGAGCGCTGGTGCGGACCCCGGAGTCCAGCTCCCTGCGTCAGCGCACTGTGTCCTGCAGGTGTGAACACCCGGTACCAGCCTCTTATTTCAGGAAGAGTCCAAAACCCGCAGCCGAGTGTAGAAATCCCCAGAGCCCCAGGGCAGAGACAGGCGGGCGCCCAGAGTGAGTTTCCGTCAGGCACAGGGTGGTAGCAAGCGGCTTCTGTCCTTGCGGAGGGAAGGCGGACTCTGAGCACCTGACCCAGGACGTGCAGACGTCACCGCAACACCCACGGCTCCGGGTCACCCACACAGCCCGGCCTGGCTCTGGGTGCAAGGGGCTGACTGTGCTGCAGGAGCACGGGGCGCGCCCCGGTGGGCGGCCCTCCGGTGTGGGTTGTTCTGGTGCACACGTGAGACTTGCTTTGTTCTGATGTGACGTTACCGCGATAAAAAGCAATAAAAACTAAGAGGAAAGTCAAAACAGCGGATGCTTATTAAGCTACTGTTGCTAAACAAGGGGCTTCGTTCCACAGCCGTTCACTTGCAGAACCGGTTTTGGGGTCCATCTGGCCTCCTGCGGAGTCCTGCGGAGGGCGCAGCGCAGCGGGCCGGGCGGAGCTGCACCGCAGGGTGGGCGGGGAAAGCGAAGTCTTGTTTCAAACACGTTTTTATGGCTCATAAATGCAAAGCAACAATCAAATAGCAAAAAGATGTAAATAAAAATGTCGCATTTTCACATAAAAACTTAAAAATGACGCTGCTTGTCACGTTCGAGAGGCGAGGCCGCGCGCTCTGCGCCAACCCGGTACCGCCGCGCGGCTGCAGCCTGCACCCGCCAACCCGCGGCCGTGCGGCCGACACACGTGCTCCCGCCGCGGAGCGGCTGCTTGCGGGTCGGTGTCGTGGTGACACGCTCGCCACTGCTGGGGAGCGAAGGGCCCGTCACAGGGCACGTCATCTCCCTAGATGCTAAGAAAAAACCGGGTGATGCAAGACCAGCAGCAAGACGGAGGCGCAGCTCGGTCCAGGCGCCCCAGCCGAGCCCAGGGCCTGTGTGGGCTGGGGCGGGACGAACCTCAGGCCGGGCTTCCGGCGAGGGAAGGCGCCCCGTGTCGCTCCTGCCTCCAAACGGCGGAACCCACCGCAGCACGACCGCCACGAGGCTGCGTCGGAACGGAGAGCCCTTTCATCTGAGATTCTGCGTCTGGACCAAGTCTGCGTGGTGATGACGCGGGGCGGCTCCACCGCCTGGGCCCCGGTTGGATGAACGAGCTTCTCGGCCAGCGTGGCGGCGAACGGCACACGCCTCCCCCGGGCAGCGCTGCTCGGGTGAGCAGACACGCGTGTTCCTCCTTCGGGCTCGCAGCCCAGCAGTCTGCGGGGAGCGGGCGTCCGTCCTCCTGGGAGCTGGCGCGCGTCCAGTGCTGGGGTGTCAAGGGCTGGCGGGGCGTGGGCAGGAGCGGGCCCAGCTGTGTCTCCACCTTCTCTGCCCGCTCAGGGGAGGTGCGGCCGCGGGGCCTGTGCGCCGTGCAGGTGACACTGGATCCGGGGACGTGACTCTCAGGAGGGAAAGCCCAGCGGCCGGCAGAGGCGAGGCGGCGGCTCCGCAGCCGAGTCCGGGGCCTGCCCCCAGCTGCACGGGCATTCCCTGCCGTGAATGCAGCACAGGCCGACGCCATGACCGGGCACCCCGGGAGCCTGCACACAGTGGCTTCGACTGTTAAGAGCCTCTGCTGTGGACACGGCTGGACGGGCAGGGCAACCCGAACTGGCCGCTGAGCTCTCTTGCTGCGGTGCTGGGCGAGGAGACCGTCCAACTCCTTGACTCAATGTCCGGCAGAGCTGAGCCCCCGAGAGCCTGCTGCTGTCTGCTCAGAGCTGACCCCGCGCCCGCACCCAGACCGGACGGCTCCGTGGCCGCGTTGGCCTCTGTCAGCTCCCTGCCCCGCCTGTCATTCCCGAGGGCACCGCTGGCCTCTGCAGCCGAGCCTGTCTGTGCCCTGTTCACAGCAGCCTGCAGCGGGCAGGACTTGCATGCGGCACGGGCACGGCAGGCTCCCCACTCCCACCGACCGCCCGGCGAGTCCAGGAGGTGCCTCCCATCGGCCACCTGCGCCCCCCACCCCCCGCCCCTGCCTGTCTCTGCACGCACCGGAGGCCGGGCGGGCACTGAAGAGTGAGATAAGGCTGTTTACCTTGCCGTTCAAGCCTGAACGCCCCGAAGCCCTTCCCGTGCACATCTCCTTGGAAAGTAAATCCTCCTCTTTCAAGGCCTGAAGACACCTGCCAGGCAGGAGGAGGGAGAGCAGGTGCGTGAGAGGGAGCGACAGTCCCTTCTCCAGGGGAGACATGCCTGTTTCTCACGCCCACACGGCACCGGCAGACACTGGGATGTGAACCTCAGCTGACACCGACCCACTGTGCTCCGCGCTGACCTCAGGACAGGCCGCACCTCTCAGGACGTGCCGGGAGGTGCCAGCATCTACACACGACATCCGCCCTGCACTTCCCTCCGTTACATGCAAGCGGATGTTTGTAAATAGAACGCAGGACTCAAGCGGTGTCCAGCCCACGTTGCAGGCCCTCCCTGGAGCCACGAGTGTCCCAGGAGAGCTCTGTCCCCTGGCCAGCCACGCCCGGCCTGACCCCTGCAGTCTAAGGGGTGGCGGCACAGACCGGCCCTGAGTCTAGGCGGCTGCAGGTGGCCCTGGGCGCAGGGCATTTGCTCACCTCAGAGGCTCAGCTCCTCCCCAACCCCCCACCAAACACTCACGTAGCCGTCCAGCGCCCAGCCGCCGTCTTCAGACTCGCCCAGAAGAATGTCCGCCGGGCCTTTGGCTTGAAGAGCTTTCAGGAGTAAATGGGCCTCCTCCTTCTTGTAAATGCCTGTGGGGGGTCAGAGGGCGCAGGGCAGGAGGGAGCGTGGGGCCTAACTGTGGACGCCGGGCCCACCCTCCCCAGAGTCTCGCACACATGAGGGTGTCGGGTAACAAACTGTTATTTGATTTTTAAACATCAGCTCCAGCACTTCTTCCTTAAAATCCTTTCAAAAATCCAATCTTTAAAATCCAATCATTTTAAATAAAATCTTTTGAAAGCCTGTGCTGTCTGGATCGGGAAGGAGCCACTGCGGTAAACCCAACACCTCCACCCACAGAAGGACTCCGAGTAGCAGAGTCAGTCCTTAAGCCCCAGCAGCACTCACACCGCCCACGTGGCGAGAGGGGCATGTGCAGCTGCCTGGGGGGGAGGGGCTCGGTGTCGCTGGTGCAGAGAAGACGATCGGGGCCGCCTCGGGGCCTGGCCCAGCAGGCAGAAGCAGCTTCCGGCCTGTTTCTGTGCCAGAAACGCCTCGTTACGTCAGATGCAGCCTCTGAAGGCCTCACGTCTGCCTCGGATGCTGCAGGTGCTGGCCGGAGCCGCCCTCTGTGGGTCCCGTGTGGGAGCAGAGCCCCTGCCGCCCAGCCCCTGCCGCGTTTTCCCCAGAGAAGTTGGGGGCCACAGAAGTACCCCCCGTGACCAGAGTGGGCGCCATTTGCCATTTGAACCCTCCCCTGGTCCAGAACCAGGACTCTGGGAGAGTCTCAACCTGAGGAGCTAGTTCACAGCTGGGGGAGAGACCCTGAGCGGCCTCGGCGTCCGGAGCTGTGGTGAGGGCGAGTGTCTGGCGGCGGAGAGGCTCCGCGTGTCTGAGCCCCACAGGAGGCCCGGCCGCTCCCCACCCTGCTGTCCCTTCCCTCCTTCATCAGTGAGTGTTTCACTAAGAGCGCCGACATCACGGGGCTGACGTGGGGACGGGCGCGGGGCCCGGGGTGCAGGGGATACCCAGGGCTGCTGTCTGCTACCCGGGAGATGAGCGCTCCGAGGGGCGCCCGGGCACGGCGGCCTCAGGGCAGCAGCTCAGGACACACATGTGCAGTGAACCCTCGTCCTCGAGCTGATGCGCTGGGGCGCCGCCATGAGCCAGGAGCCTCTGCTCTGAACTACTTTCTTGATCTTTAAATGAGAAAACAACACTGCGGCCGTGAGGGCGTGTGGCGAGGCGCAGGTGTGCAGCCTGGCGGTGCCGGGAGCACTAACGCCGGGGCTCCTCTGGGACGGGCCGCGTCCGCTCCCCACCTACCTGTCAGCTTCAGCTCCACCTGAGAGGCCTCCAGGAAGGTGGCGTTGAGCTTACTGCTGCTGGCGTCCAGCCAGTCCACAGTCAGGGTCCCAGGCTGCCTTTTCCCTAAATGCTCGTAGTGCCCCTTCCACACCGAGCCCACGAAGAACACGTCCGAAGGAACTGCGGGAGACAGGTGAGCGTCAGCTCAGGAAGGGGGCGCAGGGTGCTGGAAGCACAGGGCGTAACCCAGCAGTGGGGGTCACACCCGAGGGCAGCAGAGGCGCGGCCCGCAGCCCCCAGAGGGTGAGGAGGCCCGCGGTGCACTCGCGCCTGTTCCTTGTCGGGAGGGACGTCTGAGACTCCAGAGCTCGTTGGGGCAGGAGGACCCGGGCCCCGGCGCAGTTCATCTTCATGTGCTCAGTGGAAGCACCTCCCCGCGGTCCCGGCAGGAGAAGGGCGGCGAGCCGCCCACCGCTGCGGACACGCACTGGGCAGGGCTGGCCGCGCCACGGGGAGGGTCCTCCCTCCCTCGGCCCGGCCCTCTGCGCGCTCTGGTCTTCCCGGACAGCATCCCGCAGCACCGGGCAGACGTGGGCCTCGGAACCACGAGTAGCGTGTCAGACCAAGTGCATGAGACTCAGAAATAGGAGACAGAGTCTTCAAAAAAATTCAGCGTCTCTAGGACTAGAAGATACAGAGGTGCTGGAGTCTCCTGTTGCCTCTGGCTGTGAAAAGCAAGCTAACGTCTCCCGTTTCTGCAACTTCCCTTGTGTTCACCAAAACAGCGATGGCAACTTATAAAACAAAGTTAACGGGACTCTGCGCCGGGGTTCTTAAGCCCAAGACCACGGTCGGCAGGGGTTGCGGCTGCTGCGACAGTTCTGTGGCTTCTGCTCGGAACTGCCACGCTGGCCTCCGCCGGGCCTCAGCAGGTGCACTTGCAGCAGGAAGTGTCGTGCTCCCGTCTCCCGCAGACGCGTCCAGCCCGGCAGTGTCTGGCAACAGGAGTCACGCGCAGAGGGCCGGCCCGTGGCCCTGACGCGCCCAGCCTCCTAGCGGCAGTCAGCGAAGGAGTCACCAGCAGAGAGGCCAGAGGCCCCGCACGACCTCGCCGCTGCAGGCGCTGCCCGGCCGGTGTCCAGCAGCCGCAGCAGAGGTGGCTCTCCGGGCAAGTCCACGGCGGCTTTATTTCCTTTGCGGAGCTCACGGGCTTTCCCGGGGCACCAGGATGGCCCACGTCTGCTCAGCTGCTGCTCTCTGGGCACCCGCCGGCCAGCGCGGGTGAGTGTGGGCTTTAGGGCGGGGCGCCGTCTGGCCATAGCCCTGCTGGCTGTGTGCAGGGAACTGCAGCCCTGGCGCAGGGGGACTGCGTGGTGAGCACCCCTGGAGGGCCTGGGCGAGCTGGAGATGCGGCGGGCACTCAGCACCGCGAGTGGAAGTCACCAGAGCAAGCAGGCACCCCACAGCAGGGCCGGGTGCGCGGGTCCCCAGGGAGGGCTGGCGGGTTCCTGCCTTGGTCTGCAAGTAACACCTAGAACCATCTGGAAGGACTTTTGCAAACAGCCGTGGTCATGCTCATGGCGTCAGCCGACAGCAGGCCTGTGTGGGGTCCCGGGCCAGTCCAGGACAGCGCAGGCCCTGGCTGAGGCCCGGGAGGCCCTCACAGCCCCCAAGGTAGCTGACTGTTAAAGGAAATCGGGGTGGGCGTGGCTGTGACGCCGGGCGCCGCACCCCTCGCCTTTCCCGGGGCAAGGACCGTGCAGCCGCGCCAGGCGCCTGGGGGATGGACACCGGGACCAGGCAGCCCCGCCACCGCCACAGCCAGAGCAGACCAGACCACATGCGACAGAAGCGGGACGACACTGGAGGCAGAGGACGCGCGAGCCCTGGAGGCGCTGGGAGCCTGGCACACGTGCTGCTGAGACGGCGGCCTGGCCGGCCGCGCCCTCTCTCTAAGGCCCCTGCTGCAGTGGCGCCGGCTGCCCGGCCCTCTGCTGGACACCGTCGCCCTCAGAGGAGTGTGGGCACCCAGGCCCCGGGACTGCCGAGAGCCCACACAGGCCAGGAGGTGGGCTTGGGCAGCAGCGCCAGCGTAAGGCTCGAGTCGCTGCACAGTGTATGGTGGGGAACAGTCGCTCGGGCGGCTTAGATCTGAAACTGTTCTGGATACGAACCTGGAGCTTTAGTAACTGTGTCATTAACTTCTCTCTCTCCTTTACCTACAAGTAAAAAGACAAATTATCATTTTCAAAAGCATTTATTTTTGAGTAAGTTTGAAAAACTGTAAAATTGAAGCCACTTTCTTTTCTCTAGATTTCTCGAATGGACGGAGTAGGAGCCGCCTGCCCGGCACGCTGCCCCGAGGCCACGGCGCCCCTCGGGTGTGCTACAACAGAAAGCCTGGCAAAGGCGGGGCGGGTTCCTGCCCGCCGCCAGCAGGGCCAACTGCAGGGCCGTCCGAGACAAGCTGCCCAGCACCGCCTGCCGGCCACGCCCCACCGGGACTCACGGAGTGCACGCGCAGGCGGAGCACTTGAGACCGTGTCCCGCAGAGCGGCTTCCCGCACCGAGGCAGGATGACCCCGGGAGGGGTAGTTTGCACGGATCTCTACCGCGCCACGCTATCACTTGTTAGGGCTCCTGCCTTTCTCCTCGAGAGCGCGCGTCTGAGCTCTCCAGCTCGAGGGCACTGAGGCTGCCGTCTCCCCAGGGGCAGCTTCAACCCCACTCCGCCGGAGCCGTGGGCGTGTGTCCTGCATCTGCCTTCTGCGGGGAGCGAGGCCCATCCCTCACCGAGTGACCACAGCGCCACTGCTCTTGGAAACAGAAACTGACAGTGATCACGGCGCCGTTCCTGTTAGATGCTTTTACAGCTTTACAAAGTAAAAGCGACACAAAGAGGTGGCCGAGGACAACGTGAGGTTAACGTCCGTCCTCATCTGCCTGTTTTCACGTGAACACGCTTTCCCAAAACACTGCCGTTTACCTTCCTCTTGGCCCGTAGTGCTTTTCTTCAACCAAATAGCTTTCCATTTTGGTTTAAGACGTGCAGATGACAGCACTGTCACTTAGCCTGTGCCTCCAGTGTAGGACACACACGCATGTGGGCTCACACATGCACATGGGCACACATGCATGCACACGGGCACACGCACATGCACACAGGTGCACACACATGCACACGAAGCTCGGGCTGGGTGGGTGCTGGCGAGGCCGCCGCCTCCCTCCACGGCAGGGACTTACTTTTGCACACGGGCGACTTCCCGGTCCACCGCATGTCTGCTCTGCATGTCCGGTGCTCCGACCCTCCCGCCAGGAGGAAGCCCGGGTGGCAGGAGTAGACCAGCGTGTAGCCGAAGGCCGGCAGGTCGATGGCCCGCACGTCGGCGTGGGCTGGTGTCTCTGGCTGCCGGCAGGCGTGCGCTGCAAGGGCGCCCCCATCAGGACAGGCTCACGAGCAGGGGCCAGCCCGGCCCCACGCATGCCCGCAAACCACCCCCTCTCCAGGCCCCGCCTGGGCTCTCCTGGCGTGCGCCTAGCCTGACGCATCACGAAGAGACGCGTGAGGAGTCTCCCTTGGGCAGCGCACGGTGGCCGGAGCACAGCGCCACGCCCCGCACAGGCGCACCCAACCCATCTGCCCACCCGCACAGCGGGCCCGGTCGTGAGAGCTCAGGCTCCCGCAAATCCGCCCCAGAGCGGAGGCCGGCTGCTCCCGACCGCACGGCAGATGCACTGCCACCCCTTCTTTGTGTGGTGTGTGCAGAGGGAACGCGTGCATGTGTGTGTGTGCACAGACACCACACACGTCGCACGAGTATGGACTCAGGAAGAGAGCCGTGCACTGCACACAGTGGCCACACATGGCAACAGACACACACACACATTCACACTCATACACATTCATACACGCTCACACCCAAGGCAACAGTCACACCCGCACACACTCATGCTCACACCCATACACACTCACACCCATGGCAGCGCAGCGCACGCCAGTCTCCGTCTCCACCAGCCTCCTCCGCGCTTCCGCAGCGACACCCGCTCACCTGCGGACGAAGCCGCCGAGGGCCCCGTCCCCCCTCATGACAAGGCACGAAACCAAACTGGTTTCGTAAGAGACTGCGTGACGGGCCGCCTCGCGCTGGCTTCAGAAACGGCAGTCCACCCGGGCTCTGCGCCCAGCCCAGGCCGCCGGCCCCAGGGCCCCGAGCTCAGCACAGCGGCCCCTTCGCGCAGCCTCTATGGGGGCACTTCTCGAGCTTGCGGGGGTCCCCCAGGGCCTCCGCACGGCCGCCCAGTCCCACCCTGCCCGTCTCTGGCTCCGCAGGCCCGGCAGGAGCTGTCACGGGGTAGCTGGTTGCTCCCAGCCTGCGGGGCGCAGCGCCCCCGGCCCCCCACGGAGTGGCACTCACGGATGCACTCGGTCTGGGTCCCGCTCCACGTCAGGTTCGCGAGGCAGGTGCGCGTGGTGGAGCCCTGCACGTGGTACCCTTTCCTGCACCGGAAGAACACGGCGCTGCCCACCTGGAGAGGAGAGTCTGCGTCGGGCCAGGCCAGGGCAGGTGCGCACCGGGCTCTTCCCCTGCCAGCGCGCTGCGGAGCACAGTCCTCCCGCCACGCAGCGCGCCGGCCGGGCTGGCCCGGCCACTTTGGGCTGAGCCTGCGCTGGCCAGAAGGGTGTGGGTGCCCCGTGCGGCCGCCGGGGACACACGCTCGCGCACCCCGACTGACAGGCCGCCGGGGACATGCTTGCGCACCCTATGACGGGCCACGTCCGGGCAGAAGCCCTCTCCCAGGGATGCGTTTGGGCAAATGTGTTGGATAAGCACACATGGTGCTGCCTCACACACAGGGACCCAGTGGGGGGGGTAGGGGGGCACCTCGTATCCTCGAGAGCTGTTCTGGGTTCCGAAGTGCGGGGTGCCAGGGTCGGGGCAGCTGTTATGAGCCGGATCTGAAATTCACAATCAAAAGGACAGCGGCAGCTACCGTTACAGGAATCCAAACATTTCTACAGACAGGCCTTACAAAGCCGAGGAACTTGTGATTCTGACAAAAGTGTGAGACGTTCTGTGTGGGAGTGGATGTAGTTGGGCGCTGCCTGGCGGCCCGCGGCTCCCTTAGACTCGCCCGCACCCCCGGGCGGAGCGGCTGCTGGCGCCCCTTGCTCGCACTCCCCGTGGACACGCCGAGCGGGGGTTTAACAACACCCTGTCGCCAGCACTGTCAATTACGACTCTTGGTTTTTAAGAATTGGGTTTATGGCACCTCTGAGGGTCACGCCACGCGCCGGCGCCGCCATCCGTTTCCTCGAGGGCGCCGAGTGAGTGGTGAGAGCCACAGTCAGTGCCTCGGGCTGGGAGCGGCAGCCTCCTGGAAACGGAGCCTGGGCCGCCAGGGTAGAGCCCGGCCATGGCAGCTCTCAGGCCCGGACGTAGCAGCTTTGTGCATTTGTCTGTCAGAGAAACCAGCCCCTGGGGAGAAGCCCGCGCCTGGTGCGGAGAAGCTGCCACCGGGCAGCGTCTGGTCGGCAGCATGACACCCGTCAGACAGGGGCTCCCGGGGAGCCACTTCTGAGCTGTCCTCCTGAGCAGACGCCTCTGCCCCTCGGGACACAGCCAGGCTGCAGACTGCTCTGTGCTGCGCAGCCCAAGGACACCGACCTGTGCCCACGGCTGGCTGGAGCCCCGGCTGCGCCCACATAGGCTCGGGACAGAGAACAGGGCTCAGACAGGTGCCCCCCCGCCGGGGACTGGGCTCTGCCTGCAGGAGGCCTGTGCTGCTGGCGCTTCTGGGGGGGCATCCCGAGGCCACACGTGGGGCCAAGCAGAGGGTGACGGAAAGGGCCCAGGACACAGCTGTCCGCTGTCCTTCCTGAAGAGTCTCTCGGCAGGGTGGGCGGGGCTGGGCATGGAGGGGAGGTGTGCAGGACGGGGGTCTGCTGGCCTTCTCCAGGCCCACTGGGGCTCCACACTCGGGCTGCGCGGCCCAGCGCCCGCAGAGCTCGGTGGTGGACGCAGTGTCTGCCCGCCTCCAACACCCCCCCACCCGCCGCAGCACCTACCGATGCAGCTGGGCTGGACCCCACTCCAGGAGCCATCTGCCTGGCAGAACCTTCTGGAAGAGCCCACCAGCACGAAGGGGGGCTTGCACTGGAAGGAGACTTCAGACTTGTAGGTGAAGCTTTTGCCGCTGAGTCGCCCCTCTGCAGGGGTGCCAGGGTCCCCACAGAAGACAGCTGCGGGACATAAGGGGTGTTGGTTAACACCATGGGGCCAGGTTTGCCCGGCTAGTTCCCGATAGACCCCCGGGCTCACGATCCGCAGCACCGCTGGGGCATCGCCCACCCAGGGGCCTGTGGCCCGGGTGGCGTGGTGGGCACTTACGCAGGCACTGGGGCGGCTCTCCTGTCCACACGCCGCGGCCCTCACAGGACAGGATGGCCGAGTAGGACAGCTGGAAGCCCGCACTGCAGCTGTAGCTGACACTGGCACCCCAGCGGAAGTCCGTGCCCTCCACGCGGCCATTCTGCACGGGGGGCGGCTGGCCACACAGCACGGCTGTCGAGAGAGGGGTGTCAGGCGTCTGCACACCCACGCCCTGAAGCTGTTCCCATGTCCTCATCACCTGAGTCACAGGGGACACGGCAGGGCTGGGCTCTTAAATAAAAGCCCCGGTGAGGGAGATGGTCACAATGACATGTGCCTGCAGTGCCCCCCGGCTCAGGTCAGAGACGCGGACTAAGGTCAGAGCCTGCCAGGCCGGGGTGGCCGCCATGGGCTGCCGAGGCAGGGGAGGGGCATCCCTGTACTGCCTACCCGCTCCCTACCAGCCCCCTACCTGCTGCCTTACCTGCTGCCTACCTTGTGCTTACCTACCTGCTTCCTACCTGCTGCCCTCACCTGTTTTTTCTCTCACACGTGTGCTCACTGCTTTCATGTGAAAAAGACACAGATGCACACAGATTCTTTCTCTCTCTCTCTCTCTCACACACACCCCCCCCAGCAGGTGGACGTGCACCTCTTCCATCCAACCTTCTGTCTATTCACCCCCAGCTCTCAGGAGCCCCCATGAGGGGGTGGGGTCCCACGCTCTTGACTGTGGACAAGTGAAAAGGCCCCCAGGTGGGAACAGTGGTGGCTGCACAGAGGTGGGGTGGGCAGAAGCGCAAAGGGAGAGGGCTCGACGGGGTCTGGTCCAACGCAGTGGGTACTGAAGAGGACAATGACCCACTGGCCCCCAGAAGCCCTGGCACCCAGGCCAGCATCTGCTCCCTGCACAACTCCCCGCACTGCCTGGCGAGTCTCGCTGACCGCTAACTCTGCCTGTCTCCGCATGACAGATGGAAAGGCCAGTGGGCGGCATGCAGCCTGGCGCGCTGCTGGTCTGGGGTCAGGTCTACGCGCTCTGGGGGGAGGAGGACACTGGCCTGGGCGTCCTGAGCCTGGCGAGCACCCCACAGACGCCATCCTCAGAGCCCGCTCTCCACGGCTGCTGCGCCTCCGGGCCCCCGGCCGCGGTGCTCAAGTAGCGCCTCCCCGGTGGGACCAGGAGTGCATGTGATGTCGGAGTACCGGCCACTTTCAAGCCCACTGGCCCTGGACCAGGGAGAGGCACCTGCCCGCTCCCCATGGTGCTGAACCCCCCAACAAGGAGAGGCGCCTGCCCGCTCTGCTGGTGCTGAAGTCCTTCCTGGCAGCCCTGCCCCGTGTGACCACCTGCCCCCCCATCTCCCTGGCTTGGCCTTCGCTGTGCCCCCAGGAAGCCCAGCTGTGGGAGGGCCAGGGGTGCTCGCTGCATCTCCGCATTTGAGCGGCATCTTCAGTCCGGCATCTGCCCCTCACAGAGCATCCCCACACTCACCCCTCTTCCATCACACTGACATTATTTGAGGATTAGTTTCTCTCTCTCCAGCCTGACTCTAAATTCCTATAATTATATTCCCCATCGTACCAGCCGTCAGGCTGACTAGATCCGGGGTTGGCGTGTCTACCACAGGGAGCAGAGCATTGGGATTCAGAGCACAGCCCCGGGGGGAGACCGGCTGTCACTCGAGCCCCGCGTCCCCAGTTACTGATCTGAGATCCTGAGCCGCTTGCTAAGTCTCTCTGTGAGTCAGTGTTCCCAGCTGTAAAACTGAGATTACAGTATTAAGAAAATGAAGTGCTTGAATATTTGCAAAGGAGTTTTTAAGAATCCCTAGTACATTGAAGGGCTACACAAATGCTTGCAAAAATGAAATAAAACCTGATTCGTGAAGACTGCTCTGTGGGTGAAAGCAGAGCACAGTGGCACGGACCTTTGCAGGCCGGTTTGCTGTGGTTCCACGTGCCGTCTTGGGTGCAGCGGATGGTGGCCGATGCGGGGGGCTCCATGAGGTAGCCGGGGTTGCACTGGAAACTCACAGTCTTATTGAAGGTGAAGTCAGTGCCAAACTGGATGCCATTGGCCAGTGTCCCCGGGTCTCCACAGCTTATAACTTATACGCAAAGACAAAAAGAGTTAGGGAAATAAAACATGAGCATGAGCATGAGCAATGAGCCCGTCACGGTTTCCAGCTAGCTGACTTACGCGGCTACTCAGTGAGCAGCAGCCATGCTCCCCTCTGTCCACGCCGAGACACGCTCTCAGGCATGTCTGGGGTCGCTGAGCTGTGGCTGTGGCACGGGTGCCACGCTGGCCTGCCTCACTTTGGAACCACATGCCTTCTTATTGCCCTCAGACTGGTCCACAGAGGAATAGCCCCTGACTTTTCTTACTTCGCTTTACAACATCCAACTCGACCAGCTACATAAGTGACCTCACCTTATAAATGAGAAAATGGAAATACATCTAAAATGTCTACCGAGTAGGTCATAACATCCAGCATGTACTTCCCTCCGAGGGTTACCAAGTCAGTGCTAGTGCAGAGGTGTCCTGGGTCTCGTCCCCAGCGGCGGGGGGCGGAGGGTCTCCCTGCCGTCGCCACTCACTCGTGCAGTCGGGGGCTGTGCCCGTCCAGGTGCCGTTGGCGGTGCAGTGCCGCGTCGTCAGCCCTGAGGTCCTGTAGCCCTCCCAGCAGGCGTAGACGACGGAGCTGGAGAACAGGACGCCGTCGCTGCTAACGATCATGCCATTGGTGGGCGTGCCGGGGTTCCCGCAGGACACGGCTGGGGGAGGCAGAGAGACGGGGCTGGGAGGGACCCAGAGGCGGTGACCCCGGCGGGGTATAGCTGGGAGGTCAGTGCAAGCCCAGCGGGCCCACATCCCTGTTCCCTGAGCAGAATGTAAGCTTTAGCATAGCTTATGGGGACAAGTACTAAGAGTTGCCTAATGCAACCGACACGGTGCTGCAGCGGGGGGCCCATCCTGGGCATGTCGGCCTGGAAAGTGAGTGAGCCTCTAAGTCTGGATTTCTCGTTAATTCATTGATGTTTAAGGAACTCTTCAAAGGATTTTTCTTTGGCTATTCCCTGCTATGGGCTGGCAGAATTAACATGTAGATATACTCATTTTACCGCCCAAAATATGCAGATTCAATGCACCCCCTAAAAATTGTCAATAGCATTTTTTAAGGAAATAGAGCAAACATTATTAAAATTGACACTGAATCACGAAAGACCCGGGCTAGCAACGCAATTCTGACAAGCAAGAGGAAGGGGAAGTATCCCAGAGCTCTCAGGCTGCAAGCTGTACTCCACACTGCAGCGACCAGACAGCACCGCGCGGGACTTCCAACTGACACCAGCAATGGGACAGAATTAAGAGTCCAGAAAGAAACCCACTCTGGCATGGACAGTTAGTTTATGACAAAAGGGCTAAGAATATGCAAGAGAGAAAGGAAAGTCTCTTCAACTATGGTGCTGGGAAAACTGCACAGCCACACGCGAAGAATGAAGCTAGACCCCTACCTCACACCACACAAGTTACCTGAAAAATGGATCAAAAACCTAGATGCTAAGACCTGATGCCATAAAACACACAGACGAAAACACGGGCACACCCAGCGATGCTCTGGTCAGTAAGTGACGGCTCCTGCGTGGCTAGACTAACGCCCTGGGGGGTTACCCCAGTGCCAGAGGGAAACACCTGTGGAAAAGCATTAACAAAAAATGGTTTTAATTTTTTTCACCATTTAAATCTGCAAAACCGGAGTGGCAGAGGCCAGCCTGATGCAGCACGCACAGCGCCAGGCAGGGTCCCTCAGGGAACACGAGTTCATTCAAGGGAGGCTGCTGAGCTGCTGGGGCTGCTGTTTCCGCGAAGCTTCATTCGCATCCAACCCAAAATTTTCAAAATACTTTCGCCCCACCCCCTCTCACTTTTTCTTCTGGGATTCCAAGCACGTAAATCTGCCTGGTGTTATCCTTAGCACATTACTGGGCTAAGGGTTTTGCTTCCACCTTTTTTCTCCTCTCCAGGTCAGCTGCTCCCCTTGGCGCCCTCAGGCTTACCGGCTCTCCCTGCCGCCGCGTTTTGCTGTGCTCAGCCCGCCCAGTTCCCAAGCCACACAATGTATTTTCCAGCTCAAGAGTTGCACCTGAATCTTTCTTATTATTTTTTCCTCTGTTGAGCTCTCCTGCTTATGAGCCAATTTACTTCAGGTTTTGAACATATTTTTAAGCATCACTGCATGTGATTTTCCACAACTGGGTCATCTCAGGATTGGATTCTGTTTCTGTGGTTTGCTCTGGCTCTGGGCGCCAACAGGAAAGCCTCGCAAACCTTCGCCAGCACTGCACACTGGGTTGGGCTGTTGCGCTGGGCTGTGTCACCCCTTTAGCTGATGTGGGATCTGCTACTTCAGACGCCTAAGCTCACGGTGGGTCCTCTGAGTCCTCTCATTAGATCCCTTCGCTGTCAGCGGCATCTGTTCAGTTTTTGTCCCCCCAGGTCCTGCTGCTTGAGAGCAGCAGGCACTCATGACGTATGGATACTCGGGGCTCCAGGAAATGTCCCGAGCACAGTGAGCTGACTGGCTGGTGTTGCCCAGTCTGGCACCACCTCAGATACCACGGGCCCCCCGTCACCTCTGCAGCTGGACACCTGTGCATCCCTGAGCCCTGCCCTGTGCTCATGGGCCCTGCCTCCGTGGAGTCACCCAACGAGCCCACAAGCACTCTGGTGCTTCACTAGTGGTGCGTCCCTCCTCATGTCCCTGTTCGGCAAATTCCAGTGAGCATTCCTGAATAATTTCTACTTCATGGCTTCACCAAGCCACCACAGCACCTGGGTCCCACCTCCCTGTCTCACCTCAAGACAAGCACACACACCCCAGGGCTGTGGGGCGTATCACGCTCCACCTGCCTGTCAAGAGCCAAGACAAGTGCTTAGTGGCCGCGCAGCTCACCCAGCTTTTCAGCTGTTCTCAGCAGGAAGACTAGACGCCCGGCGTACTAAGTCATACATAAGGCGACGTCTGATTTAATCGTCCTAATGTTCAGGTAGATTCTGGATCAACAAGTCATAGGTACAGGATAGAGGGAGACACTTAAGTGGAATTTAAATGCAGATTAAAAAGTCCATAGAATTTTGAGATGTTACCCTATATAGACTACAAGACACGCAGGTCTTGGTGAGAAAGAGATGCTCGTGCAAAACTTAGCACTCAAGGCTTCACAGAGGGGAAGCATTTGAGAAAATTGCATCTAAGTAAAAACACCTACCAGCTGGCAGTCACTGGCCTCAGTCAGAACAGCAAGCTCAGCCCTGCAGCCCCAGGCCAGGCGGTCGCATCTGATTCAAGCCTCCGCCGTCGAGCCTGGCCTGTGGGTTTGTATTAACTGTGTTGTCAGGAGGTGATCTGGAGTCACAAATTGTCTTGGGCCATCGTATACTACCATATATTTACATTATAAATTTGCAGACCACTCGTCCAGAGCTAACCTTTAGATCTTCAAGACAATCTCTGAGAACACACACACACACACGTACATCTATGCGTGCACATGGTCTACACATCCACCTGTGCACACACACAGTTGTTTTAGTTACAATTTTACATGATGTAGATTATATGTAGCATGGTCAGACCATGTCCCATGTAGTCTTACATGCACACATTGTTTTCTGTCAGTCTGTGTGACACATCACAAAACAAGCTGGCGGGGGGCCCTCCCTGGTGGTGAAGGGGTTGAGATGCAGCACTATGGAGCTGTCCGCAGCCACTGAGGCACAAGTTTGATCCGGGCCAGGGAGCGACCCACATGGAGCAGCAGACCTCTCCTGCCTCGCCCGCTGCTCCCCTCAGCAGTGGATTTCAGTCAGTCCACCTGTTCTGTTCCCTGCTCTGTCTCTGGTGAATCCTCTCACCCCCCCACACCTCTGGCCTGTGCCCCAGCTCTTGGATGCATAAATAAATAAATCTCTTAAAAAACCACAAAAAACAAAAAACAAGAGGCAGGAACAAGCAGAGAAGCCACCGTACGATGGGCAGGGATGACAAAGTTTCTGGTACTGACAGTGGAGGGACTTAATACAACTGATCAAATTATATGAACTAATCTGTGCACCCATTTTAGACTCAAAACTTAAGTAATTAAGAAATTGATATGGGAAAAATTCTAACATTCAAATCTTACCTGCCTGAATTCTATGTCAGTTATTTTCTGGGCTCGGAACAAACCCAGGGTGCAGGGCAGCACCCCCGCGGCCCAGTCCAGAAGGCGCCCGCAGCCTTTGCTGCGGTCCGGGGGGGCACTCTCTTCCAGCTGTGCCTCAGTGCACGCGCCGGTTTCCTCGGGGAGGCAGGGCTTCGACACGGCCGCCCGCAGGTCCTGAGACCCCTGGCTGGAGCCCCGCTTGAGCACACCCCTGGCGGGCGGGTCTCAGGAGGCCCCGCAGACCCCGTAGCCGTGGCGGGAGGCCGGGCCCCAGAGAGGGGTCCTCGGCAGAGTGGGGCAGCCTCACGGGGCCCAGCTTTCCGGCCCGGCCTCACGGGTGCGCTGAGCAGCCGCCGCACTCAGCCGGGCCCGGGCATTCGCTCACACGCGCTGGGGAAACGGGCTGGTGGGCAAGCGGCCTAGCGCCAGGACTCCCACAGGAAGCGCAGGGAGGAGGCTCACCCTCACACACGGGCTGCAGCCCTGACCACGAGCCGTCGGGCAGGCAGGTCCGCTCGGGGGAGCCCCGCAGCTGGAAGCCCACCTCGCAGGAGAAGCGCAGGAGGCTCTTCACCTTGAACTCGTCCCCCAGTCGAGAGCCGTGCGCCGGGATCCCGGGGTCGCCGCAGAAGCCAGGGTTGCTGCCTGTCGACACACGGGGGAGGCGGCACCTGTTCAGACGGCTGCCCTCTGGGGCGCAGGCACGGACGTGGGGCAACCCCGCCCCTCCCAGCGCCTGGCGAGCGCTGGCTAAACCGATGCAGCCGGTGGTGGCCACGAGCAGCTCCCCCAGATGCAGCCGGGGGCGGGGAGGGCGGGTGCAGGGGCTGCTCTGGGGGGGACCGCGCAGCGGAACGTGCAGTGAAGCCTGGACACCCAGGGGCCTTGTCCCTCTCCCATGGCCAGCGCTGCCAGGTCACTGAGCGCTATTTTCCAAAGAGACCTGCAAGAAGTAAGGGGGTCACTTTCCAAAGACGAGCGCGCCGCTGGCATCAGAGCCAGGGCAGCGAGACTGGGGCCGGGGACCCGGCAGTGGAGAGAGGCGCGAAGTGAGAGGGGCCGCGTGGGAGGGCTGCGACCATGACGAGTTTGGCTGAGGTGCTCTCAAGCGGCGCCACCGCTGTCCTGACGCGCGTGGAGGGCACACACGGAGGGGCGGGGTGAAGGGCGCAGCGGGGTGCGGGGGGAGGGGCATGCAAGGAGGGTGGGTGTGCGAGGCCCACCTGTGCAGTGGGGCGGCGCCCCGCTCCAGCGGCCGTCCTCCTGGCAGATGCGGGTGCTGTTGCCCACCAGGCTCTGGCCGCCTTTGCACGAGTAGTGGACGTGCGCCCCGTACGTGAACTGTTCTCCCGCTAGCACAGCGCTGGCAGGGACCCCTGGGTGCCCGCAGGAGATGGCTGGAGACAGAGGGGACATCATGAGCACGTCACTCCCGCCCGGCATCAAGGCTCCCCACGCCCCAGAGCCCCGGCAGGCAGCTCAGGCGCCGGGAAACCACCGACACGCAGAAGGTGCCTGGAAGTTCAGCGTCACTGAGGACGAGGGGCGCCTGGACAGCGAAGACTCTTCAGGTCTTCAGTCACAGCAGCTGCACTTCAGGGAGCAGCGCACTTAAGCGTCCCGGAGCAAGTCGCCCTACACGCTCCATCTGCCCTCGGTTCTACCCCGAAGGCAGCGCTGTGCAGGGCGTCAGAGACCGGCCCGCTCCGGCAGAGCCACGGCCGGGACTGCTTCAGCGGACGTCACGCCCGCGGCTTGTGCGGGTCCAGCTCCAGCAGCCCCGCTCCCCAAGGCAGCCCCTCCGCCGGCCCTTCTCTGGAAGGGCATTTGCTCAAGTTATTGTCTGAAATGAGCTCAGTGTTTCCTCCATGTCCTCACAAGCACCGGATCCGACCCAGCCTCGCGTTCTACGTGAAGGCCCCAGAGGGCCGTGCGGGCCGGCGCCCGAAGGCCGGGAGGACTTCTCTCCCTTGCACAGAGTTCCAGCTCAGGGCGCGCCGCCCCGACGCCTGTGCCGCTAGCTCACGGACTCAGGCCCCGACAAACGCCTCGTGGCCAACGGCCCACGTCCAGGGTCGTGGCATCTGGTCTCTGGGAACCCCAAAGTGTGACTGACCAGGGAGGGGTGCGGAGGCGGGAGGCTTGCGGGGCCACGGCGGCCCTTGCCATCTGACGCGCACGGCGACCACTCCGGAGAAGCCTCTGGAGAACGGGTGACTCTAGAGAGTCCGCACAGGCGCTGCTCAGGGCAGAGGCGGCCGGGCGGCTGGTGAATGACCAGCTCCAAGTGAAACGAGAGAGAAGCCAGTGAGGCGACAGAGCAGGGAAGCAGGGGGCGCTCAGCTGCTGCGGGGCGCCACTCCACGGTGGGGGGGGCAGCGTGTTGGTGACGGGGGCAGCCACCCGGGAGAGGCAGGGCGGCTGGCGCTTGCCGGGCCCTGGAACACGCCATTACAAAAGCTAATGGAGTCTCGCACTAGCCCCGGGAGATGTGAAAGAAATGTTTGGGGACAAAGAGAAAAAAACTATTTCCCTGAAAACCCCACGCCTAGGGTGGAGCGGGGGGCGAGCACAGGGCACCCCGAGGCAGACAGCAGCGTTTCTGGACGCTTCCTGCTCTGGGGCTCGGCCCGCGCCTGGGAAGTCAGCAGCCTCGCCGCGGGAAGCCACCAGACCTCAGGGAGCCTTTGGCTGAAGCTGCACTTGGGGGGGGAGAGGGGGCAGGGGCCACGGTGGGGGGGCAGGGGCAGCCCCCGCAGCGGCTCGGGACCCGGCCCGCCAGAGGCGCAGGGGGGCGGCTGGAAAGGCAGGGCCGGGCTCTCCTCGCAGATCCCTCTCACGAGGGGCCCGTCCCGGCCTTCCCGGCCCACGCGCCGGCGTGTGAGGACACGAGATCCCGCCGGGCTGTTTCATGTCCGCCTGACTTTGAAAAGCCCAGGGAGAACGAACCTCTTCCCGGTCCCTCTGCGTGTTGGGGAAGGCGATTCTCTTCGAGTTAGGGACAATTTGCTCTTTCAAGGGAAAGAAAGCACGACGCTGGCCGTTCGGGTGACAAAACCCAGCGATCCACACGCTCTAACTCCACGGAGCCGGGCCTGCTTTCGGGCCCTCGTGGGCTCTGACTCTGCCCGCGCGTGGGGGCGGCAGACGCGCCAGGAGCAGCGTCCCCGGGCCTGGGCTGACAGCTCAGCGGCTCCTGCCCCCATCCAGGGCCGGGCATGTGCCGTGCTCTGGGCCTGGGCGCCAGGACAACAGAAGGGCACTTGTGCTGGGCTGCGCCAAGCGCTGTGGGGGAGCGAGAGGGAGGGAGGCGAGAGGCGCGAGGGCGAGGCAGGCGGGGCTGCGCGGCGGGCAGCCCTCGCCCACTGCCCTCCGGGGCTGGTGTGGGATCGGGTGGGGCCCCACCCTCCCTTCTTGTCCCTGGAGCTAACGTGCCAAGTGCTGTGTCTCTGGAAACCCGTAACGACAGCACAGTACGGACAGACTTGTGCCGGGGGGTGGAGCAATGAGCCGTCACCCCAGCCCTGGACCCCACAAAGAGCCTCTGCTCTGTTGCTGGGGCTGCATCAGGAGCCCCAAGGCCTGCGCTTACCCAGGCACTTGGGCAGGGCGCGGTCCCAGTGGCCGCTGGCCGTGCAGGTCAGGGCCGACGAGCCCAGCAGGTAGAAGCCCGTCTTGCAGTGGTACAGAACGCTGCTTCCGTACTCAAAGGTCTCGGGGAAGCTCTCGCGGCCCTGCCGGACGCCGTTCTCCACGGAGCCTGGATCCGAGCAGTTCACCACTGGCGGAGGGAAGCAGAGACACAGCTGGGCCTCCTGGGGCGCGGGAAGCCCCTCCGGGAGCCCGAATGAGAACAGCATCGCGCCGCGTCATGAGGCCCTCGCGGGAGACCACTGGCTGCTTGGGCCATGTGGCCTCTGACGCGCAAGGAGGCCTGGCCACCAGTGGGCCGGCCAGGAGGCTGACCGCACGGCGCTCCCCGAGCACAGGCCCCTGTGGAGTCAAGTCTGAAATTGGTTCTTGGTGGAGTTTTCATGTTAAAATAGAAGCGGCCGGAGTCAGCTCCCCTGAGCCCTTCTCCACGAGCGTCAGCCCTGCAGGCGGCGAGGTCACGCCCTCTCCAGCCCCGGGGTGGCCTCCAGCTGCCACCGTCAAGCGTCTGGGGCCGAGGAGACCATGGTTCTCACACCAGCACTCAACAGAGAGGAAGCCAGCCTGGGCCGGAGGTCGCCCTGCAGGGAGCGCCCAGGAGCAGATGGACAGCTCTGGCCCACCTGCAAGCTTCCTGGTGCCTGCGAGGCAGCAGCGCTGGCTGCAGGGAGGGGCGGGTGCCCCCACTCAAGCCAGGCTGTGCCCTCCCACCCGTGGCCGAGGCTGGAGCCCATGTTTCCCAGCAGTCCTGGCGCCTGGGGTGGTGGGGCAGTGTTGGGAGTGGGAAGTGGTTAGGGCCCAGAGAAAGTTAGCCAAGGACACCAGCAGAGGGCCGGGCCCGAGCTGGGCCACGCTCTGGCCTCAGCAGGAAGACAGCACAGGCCAGCCCTGAGTGGCCTCGGTGACAGCGCAGGGCGGGGCAGGTGGCCAGGTCATCACACGCCTCTGGGAAACTGGGGTACAGCAGCGAGACCCCAGCCTGGGGAGTGGCCGGAGCCAGCAGCACTAAGTGCTGGCACCACGCGAAGCGTGGCTGGGGGCTCTGGGGCTGGCACGGTGTCTGCAAGGGACAGACACGTGGGCGGGTGTTCACAGACATGGTGGCCAACAGGACGCGGCCCCCTGACATCCTCCAAGCAGCCCGTCGCGGCACGGCCCATCGCGGCACGGCCCATCGTGGCACGGCCCGTCGTGGCACGGCCTATCCAGACAGCGGGTGGCCAGGAGGGGGCCAGTCTGACCACGGCTGCCATCCCCCTCACTCTGGAAAAGCAAAGTGAGGGCTGGGAGGGCCGGGTGGGGGGCATGGAGCACATTGGACCCCCGGGCATGGCTGCCATGTGACGCTGAAGTGGGTGCCTGCTGTTCATTTGCCCAGCCCATGGGATGGACGCCACCCAGAGCGACTGCTCCCTCTGCGGATGCTGACGGCAGCAAGTGAGGTCTCGTCAGGGTCCATCTGGGGGGTGTGACCCCTGGGGGCGGACAGTGTGGGAAGTGCCGACAGCAACCCCTCTCCGGCGTGATGTGCCCCACGTGGCTCCAGAACACAGGGCCATTAGAGCGGATTCCGGGGAGAGGCCTGCCCGCCCAGCGCCCCGGCGCCTACCTCGGCAGGTGGGCAGCGGGCTGCTCCACTGGCCGTCGCTGCGGCACTGGGCCCGGGCGGCGCCCTGCAGCAGGTGCCCCGCACGGCAGGTGAAGTTCACCACGTCGTTCAGGTTGAACTCGCTGCCGTCCGTTAGCCCGTGGGCGGGGTTCCCGGGGTGACCGCACGTGATGGCTGCGGGGCAGGACATGGCGGTCGGTGGGGGCCTGGGAGCCAGTGTGCTGTGGCTGCAGATGCCCCCCTGGGACGCGCCCCAACACGCCTGCTGGCCCCTCCCAGAGGCCGTGGCAAGGCCAGGCAATGACATGAAGCAGGAAACAAGAGATGCTAAGATCCTGGAGTCACGAGCCTCCAATGTTCCCTCCTTCTGAGGGACGCTGGCCTCGGGCGGCTGAGGTCTGCCGCAGGCTGAGGCCGCGTACACAGAGGTTACCCCAACACCAGCGTGGACACCATGGGCAGCTGCGTGCGGAGCTTCCGTGACACCCTTGCGGTCCTGGGAGTGTGGCTGCCACACGACACCTGCCACCCTTTGCCCAACTCACAGAACACTCGGGCTGCATCAGGGGACCAGCAGCTTAGGGTGAGGTTTGTGAGCAGAGAGCACAGTTCTTCTCGAAACACCCCTCTATCTTGGCAGCTGGGTGTGAGGACACCGCGCTCACTTGGCCTCCTGCCTCGGGGGCTGCCGACAAGGTCTGCTCCGGGTGACACGGGGCAGGAGCAGGAGGCCGTGGAGCAGGCCCTGGTGTGAGTCTGCACGGCCTGGCAGAGGCTGCCCCCAGGCTGGCTCCAGTCAATGATGCCAAGTCCCCCCCACCCCGGGTCCACCGACGAGCCGGGAGCTTGGGAGACACACGTACCGGACATCAGGGGCACCGGAAGGAGGAGGGCAGAGCCGCAAGGGCCTCCCCTCCTGCTCTGTCCAAAGGGCTGACCTGGGCGCGACACAACTCAGAACAAGGGGAGCGGCAGGGAAGGCTGCGCCCTGGCCCGAGGCCGCGGCACTTACGGACGCAGACGGGCGTCTGTCCCGACCACCTGTGGTCCTGCAGGCAGATCCTGACGGAGGTGCCCACCAGCCGGAAGCCGGGGTGGCACTGGTAGACCACCGTGTCCCGGTAGCTGAAGCCGTCCCCGCTGATGTGGCCGTTCACGACGGGGTCTGGGGAGCCGCAGTGGCCCGCTGGAGGCGGGGGGAGAGCCATGAGACCGGGCGTCCACATGGGGGCCTTGCGGGTGTCACGTCCCCCAACCGCACCCCTGCCCCCCGTGCCCACAGGGCGGCGGCCTCACCTAGGCAGCGGGTCTCGGGGCCGCTCCACAGCCCGCTAGCCAGGCACTCGCGCACGGGGGCGCCCACCAGCGTGTAGCCCGTGTTGCAGGTGAAGATGGCCGTGGCCCCGAACACCGTCATCGTCCCGATCTTGTTGCCGTTCGGGGGGGAGGACAGGCCCCCGCAAGAGATCACTGCAGGGGGTGGGAGGGTTACTCGTGCGGGGGCTGCTTGGCTCTGGGCCCTGGGCCTGAGGACTAGGGTCTGCGAGAGGCGGGCGGGCAGCGTCCCGAGCCGGCCTGGGCCTCCGCTGTCCCCGGGAGAGGCACCGGCCGCCTGCCCTCAGCACGGGGAGTCCAGGCGCCAGACACGCCCTGAGCAGGCATCCGTCTGTCACGGAGTCCCGGGGGCCCACGCTCCAGCTTGGGGACAGGCCCCACGCCCTTGCACCCAGCTGAGCGGAGCCCTCTCAGGCCGCACCCCAGACCGTGTGGGCGCAGAGACCACGGGTCTTGAGGCGAGGACAAGCTCACTGAGTCACCTGGGCTCGGAGGCCCAAAGCATTTCAAACAGCAGGTGTGAGGGGAGCTTTAGGGGGCTGAGCCCAGGACCGCGGAGGCCCCTCACGCATGGCCTCGGGACCCTCCTCCCACCCACACGGTCACTGGGAGGCACCAGGCATGGTGCAGGCTTCCGCGTCCAGCCCAGCCCATGGGCTCCTGGGGGTGGCGGTCAGTGCCCGCCAGTGCCTGCCAGCACTGAATAGGCTGCCTATGAGGGTCAGCCTGCCCAGGGCAGCTCCGTGCAGGTGCGGGGCTCCTCAGCCAGAGTGAGAACACAGAGGCTTCACGACAGCTCACATGGAGGAACGCGTCACGCCTGCCTCAGATGGCCTCAGGCCGAGCCGTCGCCCCACATGCCACTGCGGATGGCAGACGAGCGGCGGCTCCGAGCAGCCCATTTCGAGTCCACCTCGGGCAGCGCTGGCGCCTGGGCGGGACCCCAAGCAGCGTCGGTGCTGAGCTCCGAGGGCCTGGTGTTGGCCCTGGCCAGACCTGCTTGTTTGGTGGCGGCGGCCGCCTGGCGGGACTGAACACCAGGCGTGAGCTTTCACCAGGCGTGGCCGTCTCGTGACTGCGACGTTCTGAAGAGCCGTGTGCAGCCACGTAGAAAGGTCGCGTGCAGAGCCTAGTGCTCGTGGGGGTCAGCGCCCATGGGCCTCCAGAGCGGTCCTGAAGGGGGAGGCGCCCGGAGGGCTGGCGGGGCCTGTGCCCGGCTTCAGCTCCCCCCGCCAGAGGCTCGCGCCGGGGGAAGAGGAGCCGACCCAGCAAGCCGTGTGGCTCTTGGCAGCCGGGCCAGGGTTCGGACCTCCGTCTCCAAAGCGGGAGCCAGCACCCTTAGAAAAGGCAGGAGGAGGAAACGCGCCAGGCCCCTGAGAAGGAGGCCTGGCCAGAGGTCAGGGAACGTGCCTGCATGTGTCCCCCGGCTGCGCTCCCGCCTCTGGAAAGGCGCCCACACTCTTCTCCATAGCCGCCGTGGAGCCCATGCTCAGGACGCTGCACGGAGGCATCCCCGGCCAGCTCTGCCCAGTCCCAGCCCACCTGGGTCCCCGGCCCTGCCAGGCCCCTGGCTCTGCCAGGCACCCCAACTCTACCCTGTCCCCAGCTCTGCCAGGCCCCTGGTTCTGATCTGTCCCCGGCTCTGCCAGGTCCCCCCACTTTGCCCGGTTCCTAGCTCTGCCAGGCTCCCCCACTCTGCCCTGTCCCTGGCTCTGCCCAGTCCAAGCTCTGCCAGGGTCAGTGGCTGGGCCTGCACACTGCTCAGGTGCAGGGAGGTGCCATGGGGTGGGAGGGAGGGGGCTCGGTGCCACGCGGCTTCTCAGACCCGACTGGAAGGCACAAGGCATCAGGCTCGGGTCCCAGCATCTTTCCAAACACGGGCCTGGGTTTGGTACTGAGCCGACTGGGGATGGCTGAGCGCCCTCGTGTGTAAGTGCGCAGAGAACGGCCATCCACCAGGAAAGAGCACGCAACCTGTTCCGGCGGGTGCCCCCAAGCCAGAGTCCCCTGCACAGGGATGCACTGTCCACGGTGGCGGGGGCGGGGGGGACGCCCAGGAAGCCGCCCTGCTCACCTCGACAGCGGGGCCGCTCGTGGCCCGCGCTCCAGGTCCCGTCCGCCTGGCACCGCAGCAGCCGTGGGCCCTCCAGCGCGTAGCCCGGGCTGCAGCTCAGCACCACCTGGGCCCCGAACTCGTCGGGGGACCCGGAGACCAGCCGCCAGGTGACGTGCTCCGGGAGCTGCGCCGCGACGCTGGGGCAGGTGACCGCTGAGGAAGAAACAGCCGCTGAGCGTGCGGGCGGGCCTGGCCTGGCCCCAGCCGCCCCGTGCTGGCGTGTCAAGTGGTGGCTGCTGCCCGCGCGGGTCCCGAGGATGCCTCGTGCCAGGACCGGCCACGCCTGCAGGGGGCTTGGCACTCGTGTGGCAGGAGCGCACCGGCAGGCAGGACTCACAGGCCCTTGTCTCCCGCCCGTGCCCTGAGCCGCCCTGGGGTGACTGAGCCGCGGGCACCGGCCTCCGCCCCATGCGGTGCCCATGGCCCCTCTGCCTGCCGGGGCCGGGGGCCTGGCCCTGCTGGAGGGGCTCGGTGCTGCTGCGGGGCGGGCCCCAGAGGCACAGGAGGGGCGGCAGGAGCCGCGAGGGGAAGTGAATAAACGCGCAGTGTAGATGCGCCGAGAACACAGCGTGTCTGGTGCGCGTGAGTGTCACCTTCCTGCAAAGGGGAGCCGTATTTGAGAGGAACGTCACCGCGTCCAGGAGAGTCCTGCTCCCCACGCGAGCCAGCACTGCCCAGCCAGCCAGCAGCACCCCTGGCTGAGGCGCTGTTTGGTGCCCAAAAGGTTTGGGGAAACCGCAGCTTTTGTCTGGGGTGCTATTAATGTGTTTTCCTTTGAATGTAATAAAAGCTCATTATAATTGATTCAGACGTATCAAAAAATGTTACAGAACTATTCCTTCAACAAATCACTAGTATGTGTAGCAAGAAAGTAAAAATGGGCCTTTTTGGTGATATTACGGCAACCCCATCAGCGAGGTTTAAAATGTGGAGAGGGTTTGCGCATTTAAATCCTTGTATCTGTTCCTGCCAAATATTTTTAAAATAAAACAGTTATCCAACATTTATGCGCAGGGGCCGTGGGGTCAGGTCTCAGCGCTGTCGCCGGCCCTCGCCTGGACGCAGAGTCCGGACTCTGGGCTGCGTTTCCCTTTCCCGAGGCAGAGGGGCCGGGCGAGCTCCGGGTCTTCACGCAGGAGACACGGCTCCCGAGCACCGTGTCCAGGGAGGGTCATTTCCTGATCCCACGAGGGGCGGGGGCGGTGGGGAGAGAAGCGCTCGCGGGGTAAAGTCCACGATGCAGGAGTTCTGGGCTCTGGGTCACGCTGAGGGGCGGAGGGATGAGCCGGGCGCCCGCCTCCCTGAGCCCTCCTCCCACAGCGCCGCCGTGCCGTGGAGGCGTGGGGGCGCTCCCGCCCGCGGAGACGAGGGGGCGCGGGGACGAGACGCGCCGAGGGTCGGGCCAGCAGCCGTCCACGGCAGCCTGACGCCGGGCGGCGCGTCGGAGGCCCGGCCGGAAGCCTGGGATCTAAACACAGAGTCGGTGACGCCCCGAAGGCGGGTCAGGAAGCTGCGGGCTTGTGTGATTGTGTCTCGGGGTGATCGCTCGAGCCCGTGTCCTGCAATGTTTTGGGATGTGAGCGTGCGTGTGTGTGCGTGTACGCGCACGTGTGTAAAACAGGAGACCCCGGCCTGGGCCGCCCTCCTGGCGTGGGGAGTTTGGATCTTTGGCGCTCGCGTCCCCTGCAGGTGTCCTGCTTCCTGCGAAGGTCTGTGGGAAGGTGGGGCTCACTCAGTGCTCCCTGGAGCCCAGACAGCCCGGACTGGCCCCCCGCCCCCTGGGGGCTCCCCTTCCCCTGGGGTCCCCCTTCTGGTTTGTGGCAGCCTGGGGATGTGGGGCGTGGAAACGAGGAGGGACTCCTCAGATCTGCGCTGCTTGCTCGGCTCAGGCGTGCCCGGCGATGCCCCCAGCGCACCCCCTCTCCTCGCCTGGAGCCTGCAGCCGCTCATAGGGGGCGAGTGAGGGGCCGGGCGACGCCCCCTTACAGGCGTGCGGGCACAGACAGACGTCCCCGCCGGAGGAGCCAGGACAGACGCGCGCACAGGCTCTCCCGAAAGGCCGCGCTTGAACGGAGGGTGCTGGAGCGACCCCCGCTTGAGAGCGAGCTGCAGGAAATGCTTTTGCAACACATCGAAACTCTTAAATGTGTCTCAGCATATTTCAGGCTCATCACATTTGGCTTCCCTTGTTTAGAACTTGAAATTGTTTCTATTGACGCCCGTGAATAAGCCAGGCTCGCCCACAATAGCTAAATTTTTGTTCTTTTTCACCCACAAGATGGGGGCGGGGCTCAGGGCCGATGGGGGGCCTCAGGGCCGCATTATATGAAATCGCTGACTTTCAACTCCCTTGGGCTGAAAAAAGGAAACTTTGCACAGTTCAAGCAAATAATCTAGAAAGATTTCAGCTGGACACGGAAAATTTTTGAAAGTGAAAGATTCACGTGAAAACACCAGGGACACCCTCCTATGGCCTCGCCGGCGTGACGACCCCAGAGAGAAGGGACCCGTCCTGACCCTGCTCCGCTCCTCGCGGGGCCTCGGGACGCTCAATGTGGGCGCGTGGGGCGTCCTGGGGCAACGTTCTCGGCCGGACACAGGGCCGCGCTGTGACCCGAGCCTCAGCTGCCCTCGAAGACGCCAATGGAGCGAGGCCGGACCGTGCTCCGGGAGGCCCCTGCGCTGGCCTTGTTTGTATCCAGCACCACACAAGCAGCGCTGCTCGCCCGGCTGCCCGCCCGCCGGTCTCCAGACCTGCTGTGAGCGCGGGGCTGGCCCCGGGGCAGCTGGCATCTGCAGGCGCCCAGCCGGCGGTGGAGCTCCCAGCCTGGGCACCGCAGGCACAGGCCACAGGCACAGCCGCTCAGTGCCAGGGGTCTGCCCTGTCACCCATCCCTTTGTCCTTGGGCAAGACAGCTCCCCACAGTGGGGACGTGTCCCCGCCCCTCCTCCTGCCTTCACTCTGCCCGCATTCACCCAGGGACTGCCAAGAGCCGCCGCCCAGCTCCCTGCCCTAGGACGGCCAGTGGCCTGGAGGTGCCTGCGGGTAAACACCCAGGCTGGGGCCCCTGCGCCAGCAGGCGTGTGCACAGGCGACTCTGCTGCGCCCCTGGCTGGGCAGGTCACCGCCTCCACAGCACACAGGCAATGGCGTGAGCCTCACTCAGCCACGGACACACGAGGAGAGATGACAAAGCACAAAGGAGGATGCGGGTAGGGCTGGGCCATACCCACTGGCTCGGACTCCAGTGGCTTCAACGTCTCCGGTCAGAGCTCAAGTGGCCTGTGCCCGAGCGCGGACACAGAGCACAGGAGCCACGGCTGTGGGCGTGTGGGGCTGCGGGAGGGCGCAGCTGCGGGCGTGTGGGGCTGAGGGAAGGTGGGGCCTGGGGTGTGCGGGGCTACAGGAGGGCAGGGCTGTAGAAGGGCGGGGCCGCGGGCCTGCAGGGCTGTGGGCATGGGGCTAGGCGGGGCTGCGGGCGTGAGGGGCCACGGGTGTGTGGGGCTGCGGGCTTGCAGACTGCGTGAGGGTGGGGCTGTGGGTGCCTGGGGCTGCGGGCTTGCTGAGCTGTGAGTCTGGGGTCCCCACTGGGCTCCTCTCCAAAGGGCGAAAGCATCTGGTCTCATCTGCTGTCACCCCAGGCGGAGGCCGAGGGCATCCAGACAGCCTCTGACCGACCCTCTGGGTGGCGCAGTCAGTGGCGGAGACACCCTGCCCTGCGTGGGCTGGGCTGGTTTCCCATCACGGGCCAGGAACACAGTGCATGGGACGGGGGGGGGCCATGGCACACCCGACACTGCCCTCCGCTCTCCCCGCAGCCGTGGGAGCACTCACGTGTGCAGGCGGGAGGCCTTCCTCCGTTGCTCCAGGTCCCGTCCTCCTGGCACACGGCCGAGGCAGGGGGGCTGGTGGCCAGCACGAAGCCCTCGTGGCAGGCGAAGGTCACGCGGCTGCCCAGGGAGAACTCGATGCCGCTGAAGGAGCCATTCCCGGGGGCCTCGGGGATCCCACAGGACACAGCTGGTCAGAGACAAACACAGCGGCGGCTCTCACCAGTCTCCAGTGCGCTGCAGACGCTGCAAAGCTGGTTCTGGACGAGGAGGAGTAGGGGCTGCCACGCTGAGGGTGTTTCTGGAAGGTGCGGCTAAGCGGCCAGAAGCGGTGGCCAGGTGGCTGTGGTCGAGGCGCCACCGGGCAGGGCTGTGTCCCTGGACATCGAGGATGCAAGGGACAAACTATCCCCCTGGCCCTCAGCCCGCCTGTGGATGTGGGCCCCACAGGGGGTCCATGTGCAGAGCAGCGTTGCTGCCCTCGCTGGCCCTGCTACCCCAGAACTGTCTGCTGGGCACACAGGATCTGGGCCCTGCTGGAACCGGGCACCGGGGGAGTTGCGGAGGGGGCAGGACTGGCAGGAACCGCCCCAAGGGCGCTGCCCCAGACCGAAGACCAAAGACGCTCCAGGCCAGGCCACATGTTCACAAGCAAAGAGCATCTTATGTGTCATCAGATGATCTGATATTTAAAAAAAATCTCAATTTCTAGAACCACTGCATTATCTTTGTGCACACAGAAACAGTCATTTCGTAGAAGGAAATAAATACGTGTGAGTCCGGAGTCCTCACCGCCTGTGTGCTTTACACTGATAAGTCAGCGTTTGACACTTACAGTCGACTCTGTTAGTCGGGGCGCAAGGACCCTAACGTCCCCTAGCTCTGGGTGACGGAGTGGTTTTGAAATCAAGAGCGAAGAACCGTTTCCTGTGACAGGTGCAGGTTCCGGGGCCTGTCGTCCAGGGAGGGCGCAGATTGGGGTCGGGAGACCAGGCCTCGAGGGCCTCCTCAAGTGGCTGCGGGAGGGGCAGCTTTAGGCAGTCAGTGGGGCAGAGGGCAGGCGGCTGGCCAGCGCCCCCACACTCCCGTCCGTCAGCATCAGGCCCAGGCAGCGCGGGCTGTGGGGCCCCCTGTCCTGGGTTTGCCTTTGAGAGCAAAAGCTCAACCGTGTGCTTGTGAGGAGGAGGCTCCCCCGGCTCGCCGCTCCTGCGCAGTGACCCACGCACGGTCACTGACGGTGAGGCCAGCTGGCCCGGCTGGGGGAGAAGCGGGCTTGACGCCAGAGCCCTGGCCCTGCCCCCGCCTGCCGGGGCAGACGTGGGTGTGGGGCCGTGCCGGGCAGCTGACTGGGTCTTTGTGATAAGACAGGAGATTTCTGTCCTAACTCTGGCTTCTCCTCCAGATCATGGAGATTAGCGTGGTGGCGGTGGGAACAGCGGCTGGCGGAGACCTGCTTGTGCCAGGAAATGAAGCCAGGACAGAGGCCAGACCTGGCGCATCCTGGGGGACAGGCCAGCACAGCTTTCCTGGAGAAGTAATTTACAAGGTCAAGCAAAGAGAGAAGGCGCCTGGCGGCCTCTGAGCCTGTCACACGGCCGCTCCTCGCTCTCCCTTGCCTCCTGCCTATCCAGATCTTCCCGTCCAGATCTTTCCAGTTTGAGGCCAGGCCCCGGGGCGACCACTGCTCTGGTGGGGTCCAGCAGGCTCTGGCTGCCCAGTTGAGAGGCGCCCAGTTCAGGTACGCCATCACCTGGTACCTGCCCCTTGGGAGCTTCCGGGCATTTACGCCTACAGCCTCCTCGAGGCCTGAAGCTGAGCCAACCCCACCCCACCTGCCCAGCAAGGCCCAGGCCACACGCTGTTCCATTCAAATTGTTCACGAGCCTTTCCCCAAAGCCTTGATCAGTGCTGATTTTCACTATTTATTTTAAAAGGCTGAGTTTTATCTTCAAATTGAAGAAAAGATGACAAAATGCTTTCACACCGTTTAAATCAACAACACTGCTTCCGGTCAGGGTTTCGCAGCATCGTGGCTCACGTGGGTGAAAAGCTTCACGTGTTATTATAGTTGAAGTGTCATTTTACATAAACTGCTGACACCTGAGGGACAGTGCATGAATCTAGACATCTACGGTAAGATTATCTGCAGAACTTCTTTATCAAGAAACAATTTGAAACCCCGAGGCAGGGTCTGCACTCTGTGACCAACATTTCTGCATGTTAACAAGGCCACAGCCTCAGGATTGCAGACCGGCGGCTGCTGAGGGGCACCAGGTGCACTCATGTCCAAGATCGAGGGCGGGCCGGGAGCTGAGGGCTTCTGGAGGAAGGGAAGGCAGGAGGCACGGATGACTGACAGTGTGGCTGGGCGGGGCCAGCCTTGGGCCACAGCGCCAGCGGATGTCCGGTTGGCACCTGCCCGCAAAGTGATGGGAGTGGCGCCTGGTGCCCAGCCAGGGTCCCCAGCCCTCCTGTGCCCCTGGCCCTGCCCGTCCTGCAGCCGACCGTGGCCGGTGGAGCCCTCTGGCCGCCCGCCCGCTCCTCCTGCTCCTACGCAGGTGAGTCTGGGCCCTCTCAGTTGTCTTGGCTTCCTGCCCTTGCTGCCCCCCGCCCGGGCGGCTCCAGAGGGGGGCAGGCCCTCCAGCTCCATCCCTGCTCCGACACACGCAAGCTTCACCGTTATGAGAAGCGTTTCTTTTTAAAATACAAAGTACTCTGCTTTTAGAGAAAAAAACCCATCCCTCTCTATGAAACAGACTTTTGGGATCTGTCTGTCTATCTCGTGTGAGGGGAGCTCCAGAGGCAGCACGCAGCAGGCAAGGTGCGCGTGTGCCTGCCCCCTGTGGCGGGCACAGACAGCGGGGCGCGCGCATCTGGCATTGTGTCACAAAGCGATACCAGAAAACGTGACAGCTACTGGGAAGAGAGAAAAGACGCCCAATATGAGACTCCATCCACACACCATAATTCGCTTTCCAGGGCCAGTCTTCATTATGAATGTAAATCTCGATAAGAAAAAAACTATGAAAAATTCATGCCTGCAAAGCCTTCAATTAAAATTAAAATGCCTTACTTGGAAATCTGATTTTTATCCATATGACAGATAAAATGCAAAAAGGCATGAAAATTAAAATCAACTTAAACAACCCTAGATTTAAATGATGAAAAGAAAAGGAATATACAGCTTAAAGGAGGAGCTTTTACTCTAAAATAAGAAAAATGAGTTGTAGTAATTGGATTTTTAAATTAACAAAGCCGTCAAAAAATATTTTGAATCTACACCGGAAAACAGTTTTCACGTAAGGGAAATAACCAGCGAGTGTCAAGAGTAACTGGCGGCCTCTGGAGAGCGGCCAGCCTGGATCCAGGCCCCCGCCCCCAACCTCCAAGGCTGTGAGGGGTCGGGCCGGCAGGGGCAGCTCTGCTCCCGGGTTGGGGCTGGCTTTGCCCGGGAAACCCACACCCTGCCCTTGCCTCATGCCAGCCTGCCTCGGTGACTGGGCGCCAGGGCAGAGCAAGGACAGCACAGGGCTGTGGGGGCGGGGCGGCGACTTACCCTGGCAGAGGGGGCTGGGGGCGTCCCACTGGTACATGCCCGCAGGGCTCCGCCTGCAGGTGGCGTTGCTGCGGCCGACCATCCGGTACCCGGGCCTGCAGAAGTAGTGCACGGTGCTCCCCGGCGCACCCGCCGTCCTGTTGAGCACGCCGCCGTTCCGCAGGGGCTGGGTCAGGCTGCAGTAGGGCGCTGCGGGCCCACAGGAAGGGAAAAAGGAAGAGTGACCGGTGTGTGCCTCACTAGGTGCTAGACGTGGGGCACCCCTGCACTGCTCAAGCAGGGGATGTGGCGCGATGCGTGAAGCTGCTCTGGAAGCGTCCCCAAGGCCCATGTGGGGCGGACGTGGGCCGGGCAGCTCTGGGGGCTTTCGGGTCCTTACACATCACCCCCCAGCAGGGCGTGCCCTGGGTTTCACCCAAGGGAAGGCCCAGGGTATGGGGGTCTGCGCAGACCTGCCATAGGGTCCACCCTAGCCACAGTCCTGCAGCCTGGAGGAGCCGTGAGGCCCTCAGCATCTGGACGGCAGGCTTGCCCCATGCGGGGGTCTCCACTGAACAGCTCCAGCTCCGGGAGGACCCTGACATGCAAGTCCCCGGGCCTGGACAGGCCGCACGTGTGCAACGCCAGGGACCATAAGCCCAGCGGGGTGGCTGCCAGGCAGTGGCCTGCTGTGGCACCAGTGGTGGGCACGTGGCCCCACGTCTGTCCAGAGCATGGACCCACCAGAGACCCAGTGGCAGGAGGGCCCTGGCCCCCACCGGAATGAGTACACCGCCTGTGGGTGGGGGTGCTGGGGCGTGGGCGCGGGAGACAGATGGGGAATCGATTGTGGTCCTAGGTTTGAAACAAAAAATTCACAACACTGCAAAAAAAGGAAATGTCATTTCAGTGGAGAAAATCGAAAATATAATATTTTGCAATCAAGGCCATTAACTGTCCTGTGTCAGAGCTGAGTGGGCCTGTGAATCTGGCAGGAATGGAGACATTAAGCTTCTTTTTAACAAGAGATTTATTTTTTAACAAATTCTCTGAAGAAAATGAGCTACTTTAGGGCAACACAAATCTTACAATAGCTTTAATCATCTCTTTTCAGGGAGACTTTAAATTGGAGACAGCCACTTGCTGGATGACTTTGCCCCGCTCTGGCCCACCACACACCCAGGGGCAGCGTCTCCTCTCAGTCTCCTGGGGGCAGTTTTATTGCCCATAAGCCCACGGACTCTCCCCAGGTGAGCTTGAACAGCCACGTGCAGGTGAAGCGTCACGACGGCGGTTCCTTCCAGAGAAGGGAGCTCTGAGGGCTCGGCAGGTCTGGGGACCCACAGGCAGACCCTGAGTCTGAGCCGACGCGGGAGCTCTGGGGTCCTGTGCCAGCCTCGTTTCCATGGGAGGTGGGGGCCGGTGTCATGGCCGGATGCGGGAGGAGGCTGACCCGCGCAGCCAGGCGCACTACCTGGCGCCGGCCCTGTGCCTCTGCTGGACCTTGTGGGGAGGCCCAGGAGCACCAAGCCAGTCCCGTCAGGCTGGTGGGTCCGAGGCTGGGAGGGCCTGGCCTCAGCTGCACCTGGGCTGCGTTCCTGGAACCGCAAGGCGCCCGCTTGGCCCCCTTTGCTTTGAGAGTGTTGTGGTCATGAGGGCTTCAGCCCAGGCCCCGTGGCCCCTGCAGTGGACCCAGGTCCACCTCAGTTGCTGCGCTGACCATTCTGCTGACGAGCTCCAGCAGAGGAGCTCGGATTTTAACTGAAAATCTGTAAGATGCCGTGTCGCCACTGCCCAAATGTGAGGCTGGACAGCCTCCGAGATGCTGCGCCTCCCTCTTCCACCAGCGCAGCGTGATGGACGGTCCCGAGCTCCAGGAGTGGGAGCCCTCTGTGGAGCCGAGGCGCTGCCGACCCGCCCGCGTTTCGCCCCAACTCAGACCTGCTTTGGATTATTTTACGTCTGGGATATTTTACCTCCCTGGCATGCAGTTAAACAATTTATTTGCTGAACAATTAGTGTTTCCAAATGTCAGTCGACAAGTATTTCCCTGACGTACTTCTGAGGAATGACTGGGAGCTCCACCCGCATCGCTACTGAAGCACGACCCCGACTCGGACTGTGGCAACGGGGTTGTCACTCCCGGCTGCTCGTGCTGACGGTGTCCGCGCCCCGGAGCCCCACTCACCCGTGTAGCGGATCTTGAAGCCCTTCTTGCTGGTGGCATGGTCCGTGGACCAGCGCAGGTAGAGCTGGTGACCCCTGCTCGTGAAGTTCGCCTGCTCCGTGTGGTTGCCGCTCAGCACGACCAGCAGCGGGCTCTGGCCCGAGGAACCTGCCGAGACCAGAGGCGTCTGGTCAGGCCCACACAGCCCCCAGCGCCAGGCACTCTGCAGCGTCTCCAAAGTGGGCGTAGCGTCCCAAGGAAGAAAGCAGAGTCATTATCTGGTAAAGGAGAGGAACAGCCCCCACCTCAACCCCAACACACTCCTGACACATGGTGGGGAGCTGTGTAGCGCATCTGAACGTCGTGTCATGGACAACTCCAGTGAGTGTGGACTGTGATGGGCGCTTGAGAGGTGGCCCGGACCCCAACCTGAACCCCAACCCTGTTCACACGCCTGTGCGGGTCTCCTTGAAAGCAACTCGGTAGTACCCAGGAAATGCAAAGTTTCCTTTTATCTCCTGCACGACAGCACAGGTCCACAGGCAGGATGGCACAGGTGGGAGCGCACAGGTGCACAGGTGGGGTGGCACAGGTGGGACGGCATAGGCGGCACAGGCAGGGCGGCACAGGGGCACAGATGGTGACAGCACAGGGGCACAGGTGGGGCAGCACAGGTAGGGAGGCACAGGCAGGGCAGCATAGGTGCACAGGGGCACGGGTGTCACTAAGGGCACTGAATTTCTCGTAGACTGAATTCTTCGTAGTCGCCTGCAGCTTTAATGTGTGCCGAGAGGGCCGCGCCAGAGCCCGTGCCGCGATGGAAACGGATGGCACCTGCAGAGGGGGCTGTTCGGATGTTCGGATGATGTCCCGGCAGCGGCAGGTCTGTCCCCAGTTCAGGGACAGGGCGAGTGTGGGGATGTTCAAGGTGAAACGATGGTGTGAGCTCAGAGAGGTGATGGCTGGACAGAGGCAGGTGACGGGCAGTGTGTGGGCCTGGCTGTGAGATGCCAGGGGAAGACGCGACCCCACCCCACGGCCTCACGCCCTAGGAGGAGCAGGAGCAGTGAGATGCGGGTGGTAGCCCTGACATTTTCTGTACACCTGAGTCTTTTAAAAAGCAGCACCTGAGGTAAATTGGAGAAACTTCAGGCTCCTCACCTACATATAGACTTGTAAAATGTCACCTTTCTGGAAGATGGTGCGAGGACATGCAGCGCATGGCCAGGCTGCCGCAAACACAGGCTGGCCAGGCTGGGGTCTCAAGTGCTTGCCAGTGCCATACCTGCAGAGGCTGCACCTGCTGGGGCCGCACCTGCCGGGCGAGCCCTTCGGAGCTGCAGGAGCACCACAGGCCAGGGCTGCTGGCAGTGTCCCCACAGGCCTGCGCTTCCCCACAGGCCTGCCTGAGGTAGCCGGGACAGCCCCGCGAGCTGTGTCCCACCCGCTGTAGGTGAGGTGCTGCCGGCATGGCTCTCTGCGGACAGAGCTGGCCAAGGCCAGGTGGGTGCCAGGAGGATGTTAACTGTCACCAACGATTGTCCTTTGGGTGGACACAGGACACAGATAATGGGAGCCGCCGAGTACCCCACAAACTGAGGGGTGCTCTGGTGCAGCCACAGAGACGAATGCACCCTGCTAATTGCACCTGAACAGTCTACTCCATGTGGCTTCTGTCAGCTCATGAATGATGAAACAGTCACTGTCCACACGCGAGGAACAGGAGGCAGCTGCCTGGGGAGCGTCAGTGCTGACCCAGCCCCCGCGAACGTGTGGCAGGAAGTGCCTCTGAGCGGCCTCTGCTGCCCACGCTGTGTGCGGGTCCCAGATGGTGTGGCCTGTCCACACTATCAGGGTCAGGGTGAGAGGCAAGGGGTGCACGCTGCGGTGAGGTCACAAGACTGCAGCGTTTGGGGGCGAGGGCGAGCCGACAAAGACAAACAGGGAGGGCGAATGGATAGGGATGGAGGCGCCAACCCACCAGGTAGGTGCAAGGACCGGGCACACGCACAGACACACACATGCACAGACACATGGACACGGACGCGTAGGGACACACACACGCATGGACATGGTCGCACATGGGCACTCACACGCACGGCCGGGGTCACAGTCCCGCTCCCTGACAGAAGCGCCGTCCGGCGTGCGGCTAGGGGGCGGCCTTTCCGTGTCAGGGCGACGGGGAGTCACGGCCGCCGTCTGTTCCAGCGCTCACGTACGTCAGCGCTGAAACGGAAGCGGTGCCCCTCGTCCTCGTGCTGCGCGTGACTGGGTTAAGGCCAGTGTCGTAACTCCCCTCTGGGGTCTATCAGTTTGACACACGTGATGTCTCCCATGGGACGAGTCTGACTGTAGTTCACCCAGCAGGGAAAGGCTTACAAACGCGCAGGGAATCGATGACAGTGACTTTTCCCCACTGAATGGATTGTTATTTATTTTAACCCAATGACAAACCATCAAACCATGAAACCCTGTTACTACGGCAACCGGAACTGTCTCCGGGTCTAATCGCTGCTGTGATAAAGCCCCAAAGAAAAACACCAACGTCAACCACTGCAAACGCTCACCCCCTGCACCGCTCCCAGGCGGCCGCTGCTCTTCCCAGCCATTCGGATGCACGAGGCGCCTGCCCCGAGTGGAAGACAGGAAGCGCACCGGTGCAGTGTCATGCTATTTTTTAATGCACGTTGAAGACTCAAGAGCACTTGCTATCTCGAAAGCTCCATGAGTGAGCTTTTTCACATACTCCTACTAAAACAATCATTTGGATTGACTAATACACCTTTAGCTTTCTTAAATGTCCTAAAATGTCTTCTGAGTCAATTCAACACTTAGAAGGAAGCACAGAACTCTTTGAGAGCTTCTATCCTAAAACCGCATCGAGGATTAAGAGTGGCGAACTAAGGTACGTACATTTTCAGATTTTACTTGTTAAAAATCCTAACATTAACCAAAAAACTAGTGTATTACAGACCCCAGGAGGCTGATGCGTCCTAGAGTAATTCACTTTCTGTTAAGGAGATGGAATTTAACGCAAGGATAAATTCAGACTGTGTCTGTCAGGACCACACGGAGCTGTCCCGGGCCCCGGCCACGAAGATCACTCACCGTCAAACACCTCCAGGGCGTCGAACTGCTTCTCGCTCTGGAAGGCGTCCACGTAGAGGGTGATGTTGTAGTCCGGGTCCACACGGATGCTCCAGGAGCACGTCTGCGAGTTCAGGTAGCTGCCCGGGTAGCCGGGGCTCAGGATGACGCCAGCAGACTCAGTCCGGACCTCGTTTGCGGGGCATTGCGCTAGTGAGGAGAGCAGCCAGAGTTTCCCTTAACAGAGCAGACCCAGCTTCGGTGGATCGCACGATCTGAGCGTGTCCGGGCTAGAAGAGACACTGCTGACTGCAGAGGGGAGGCGACTGGGGCTTGTGTGTCACCACGCCCTGGCACGTCACTGGTGCCCGATTCATGAGGGGCGGCTGGAGGCTCGGGGATGGCACAGGACAGAGTGACGGGGCTCGCGCAGGCTGCACGTGGGGCGGGGGACGGCGCCGCACTTGCCTCGAGAGGCAGCGGCAATATTGGGCCGGACAGGGGAGAGCAGGGGCGGCGGCCGCGCGCAGGGCGGGCATGCAGAGGGGCCGCTGTGTGGACGCAGGCGTTTAACTGTCATGACCCAGCTTTGCCGAGCGCTCGGAACGTTCCTGGTAAACTAGATGTGGGTGAGCCCTTTCTCCGCGTGGCCTTGGTCTCTCTGGACGTCAGTGCAAGGGCAGGAGCAGATGTCTGTGAGCAGGTGCCCCATGGCGCTGCCCCGAAAAGGAGTGGGGCGAGCTTGGCCCCAAGCAGTGCCACAGCGGGAGCCCACCCTGACGCCGCGAGGGGCCCACCTTCACACTTGGGGGGAGCACCCTCAAACTGCAGCTGAGCGCCAAGCTTGCAGGTCAGAGTGTCAGCTCCCGACAGCGTGTAGCCCGGCTGGCACCGGTACCTGACGAAGTCACCTGCAAGGGCCAAGGACACGCATGGGTCAGCACAGACAATAGGGAGGGGCCAGGCGCTCCTGCCACAGCTGCGCCCACCCCGGTCTGTTTTATAAAATGTCACCGAGGCCAGCACAAAGGCCATCTTGGTTGAGACCAACGCTGGCAAGGACCCAGGTGGCCGCCCCTCAACCGCTCTGCCTCTGCTGCCTCCCTCAGAAACACCGACAAAAGAAAAGGAAGTGAGTGCTTGGGGCTTGGGCTTGAGGCGCCTGGGGAGGCTGGCAGGACCTGGGCTGGGACAGGGTGGCGTGGCCGGACCTGTAGGGACATGCGTGTTCTGTGGGGCGACCAAGGAGCCTCGTCTCAGCGCCACATGGCAGGCAGGGCCACGTAGCTCCCGACGTGACCTGGTGGCTACGTGGCAACGTGGACCCTTAGAGGACATGAAAGACAGCCACGCTGGGCTGGCTGTGAGGAGCTGGCACCACGTGAGCAGAGGCCACGCTCTCGGGGCAGCCATGAGCTCGTCCCGGCGTGCAGGCACTGCTCAAAGGAAGGACCAGTGATGCTTGGAGGGCACAGAGAGGACCAAAGCGAAGCTCCAGTGGCAGTAAGGGACAGAGCAGGCCCGGCTGTCTCTGGGCAGCCCTGCACCTGCAGGGTGTCTCTGCCAGACCGCACGGCCTCTCCCAAGCAGCTATGCGTCAGGTGGGTGTGCTGGAGCCCAGCTGAGCTTGGGGCGCTGAGCGAGGAAAACGTTACCTATTTCGAAGTCCTCGTCCTCCGCGACCATCTCTGCCCGCGGAACCACTGGGGGAGGCTGACATTTCTTCAGCTGAAACGCTACGTGGTTCACAAAAACAGACCGAGCCTGTGGTTACGTTGGCTGAATAAACGGAGGCGGGTGGGACGTACCCCAGGCTGGCCTGCTCGCGGGATGCCCTGCGCCTGAGCACTGTTCTGGGAGATCCGTGGCTGCTCTGCACACAGGCCCTGCGCACCCCAGGACAACGACAGCCGCGGGAGGCTCCGCAGCGGGGCTCTGGGGGGGCCGGTGGGGCTCTGTGGCTCCCACACTTTGGGTGCGGGGGGTGCTGTTCTCTGGGGAAGAGAGGGCCTTGGATTCCTTTCCCCAGATGACTCAGTGGTCATCTAAGAGCCCTGGGGGCTTCTGTCCTAGGCCTCTGGCGCCTCTTCACCTTGGGGGGGGTGGGGGCGCTTGCAGGGGCCGACCCGCGGGACGCGACATGGTCAGGACCCTCCACGCACAGGGCCGCGTGGGGCAGAGGCAGGGAGCCTGGGGCCCTCCCGCAGAGGGGGCCCAAGAGCGCAAAGCGGCCGCCCTGGCCCCAGTGGGCCGCACTGACCATGGAAGTTGAGCACAAAGAAGCCCCCGTTGGAGAAGTCGCTGTGGAACTTGAGCAGCACCTGGTTGCTGGAGCTGTGCGCCGTCTCCAGCGCCGTGTTCCCGCTGAACACCCCTAGCTGCGGGGCGCTGGGGTCGGGGCCGTCCCTGGGGGAGGCAGCAGCCTGAGACGGGGCCACGTCCGCCCCGCCTGAGCCGTGCTCCCGCACACGGAGGGGTAGGGGAGGCCGTGGCGGGCGCCTACCACACGGCAATGTAGTCGTTGACGGCCTCAGTCTGCAGCAGGCTGAAGTTGACATAGACGCCGTGGCCGGGGGGCACAGTGATGAGCCAGACGCAGTCCTTCAGGATGGGGTACTCGTCGGGAAAGCCGGGGGAGTAGATGGTGCCGTTCTGAGAGGTCACGTTGTACCCACAGGGAGCTGGGGGGCGAGCAGCAGGTGAGCGGGCAGGCGCTGAGGAGGGGCTGCTGGTGCCTGAGGGGCCACCTGCCCGGTCTGGCCTCGGCAGAATTACACCCCCACAGGAGGCCCTCTCAGCACCCAGCACCCCTGCAGGATAAAGTGCCCCAAGTGATTAAGAGTCAAGTCCTTGCTCACCAGCCACCTGCGGCTGGGCTGATGTCCCTGGATGCTGCTGCAGGAGTGACCAGGAACCCGCCTGACCACGCTAGGACACTGTCAGGCTTGCCAAGGTCTCTAAGGCCTGCTCAGCGTGTCTAAAAGAGGCGTCTGCGTGGGTTTGCCTTGAAGCAGACATTATCGACTTAGCGGCTCTGAACCTGAGGGAAGAGGCTGGGTCCACTGAGGGTGCTTTTGGGAGCCCAGCTGGTCGCACCCGCGCCCACGGTGGAAGGCATCCCAGTGAGCTGCAAGCTACGGCGTCCACGCCACCGCCTGGTTGGACAGAGACGGACACCAGCAGGAGTCCTGTGTGCTCTCCAGCTCAGCGTGTCGCTCCAGACAACAGGCTGCTCGCCCGGAGCTGAGCCAGAGCGGGAGCCTGCCTGGGCGTGGGGTCCAGGCAAGCAAGTCGAATGCCCCGAGGGTGTTTTTTGAAAGTTCAGTAACAATTCAAGGTGAGAGTGAAACAGACCTTGCCACCGCACACCAGGCCTGCGTGCGCTGGACTCCGACTGGCCCGGGACACCACACTCTGAGCGAGGCCTGGGCGTGCGTGGGACTGGAGACTCAGGGGCAGCTCGGCCATTTCCCAGGACGTAAGTACAGCTGTGAAGCCGGATGCCTGGGGTGCGTCTGTCTGGCGAGGGTCACTGGGGCAAATAACCCTGAGCCAGTGTATGTTTCCATGTAGGAAACTGGGCTTGAAAAACCATGACTCGGCTGAACATTTAATTGCATTTTCTCATTAAGCCAAGTAGTTTCCATTCACATGTAAATTCGTGGAACCAGGAAAACATTACAAGAAAGGAAAGGTTTTAATCCTGACAATTCAAAGCAATTTATACATATAAATATGTGAATTTTAAAATGAAGAAGAACATGAAGGGGTTTTTAAAAGTCTTTTAACTGAAAACTGCCAGACATGCCATTGCTATACTTACTTTATAAAATAATTTTTAAAATGCTTTTTATGTGTTACTAAATTTCTATTAGACTAAGATAAGGACATTTTTAATGCAGCCGAAGTCTTCTTTCCATGTGTTCTTAACAGTGACAGGGAATGGAAAAATACAGGTAAAAATGGGGTCTTAGAAGTGCCTGCTTTTTTTACTTCTTCAACTGAAATTCAAACACAGCTAGAAACCTTTTCCTTCCCCTGGGATACAAGTATTTAGCATTTCAAAGGTCCTGGAGCTGGTAATTTCCTAGATTTTTCCTGCCAAGGCACTGTATTTGCGGTCTGGAAGGCAGGCAGGGTGAGGGGACTTTGCTGTTGCGCGTGCATGCTTCCTGAACAAACTACTTGATCTGTTTATTTTAACTGGATATTGCAAAACTCTCAGGTCATCATAGAAATCAGGGAGCCACACAGAAAGAAGCTTCAGAGAAGTGTCTCTGCTGAGGGGAGGTGAGGGCCTGGGATTCCTTTCCGCAGACGACTCAGTGGTCATCTAAGAGCCCTGGGGGCGTGTGTCCTAGGCCTCTGGCGCCTCTTCACCTTGGGGGGTGGGGGGTGGGGGCGCTTGCAGGGGCCGACCCACGGGATGTGACGTGGTCAGGACCCTCCACGCACAGGGCCGCCCGGGGCAGAGGCAGGGAGCCCGGGGCCCTTGAGCTTGGAGCGGCCGCTAGAACCCAGAGGCTCTCTGCTGCCCCCACACGGGGCTGCTGCTCAGGGCGCTAGCCTTGTGAGCCCTGGGGGCGATGGTGGGTCAGCCCAGGGCCAAGGCCCAGGAGGCCTCCTGAATTCACAAGCCCAGAAGCTCTCCTGCCAAAGTCAAGGAGAATAACCTCTGCAGGGGGACTGGCAAGCCAGTCTGGGTCTGCTGAGGCCTCGGAGGCCAAACGCTGTCACAAAGCTCTCCCTCAGCCACACCAGGCCCGGCCTTGCCTGCTGCACGCTGTGCCTGGCGTGTTGTGACCACGCGCCATGACCTCGCTCTCATCTTTGAGGACCGGGCACATCTACTCATCCTTTTTACATACCAGCACGTGATCTGCCCTGGAAGTCCTACACGGAATGGGTTCCGCAGAGCAGATTCCTAATCGATGTTTGTTGGACAAGCGAACAATTCTTGAACACGCTCAGTTAAGACTGCGCGCTGCCTGCCTGGGAGGTGCCACCGCCGGCGCCGGAGGGGCAGTGACTCACCGTCGCATTTTGGAAAGGGGTGATTCCAGCTCCTGTTGATGCCGTGCTGACAGGTGAGGACAGGGTGGCCCATCAGGACGTACCCCGGGTAGCACTCAAAAGAGATGGACTGGCCCACACTGTAGTCCGAGCTGACCATGTAGCCGTTCTGGAAGGGTGGCGGATCCGGGCAGTTCTGCAGCTCGTAGGCTGAAACAGACAGGTGGGGTCGGCTGGCGGCCTGAGGGGTGAACTCGCGCAGCCCTGAGGGATGCCCTGTCCATGCAGCTTAAAACGTGCCTTTGCCAGTGGCCCATGGCCAGTGGCCATGGTTGAATTACAAAGTGTGTACTTGGCCGCTCACTGCACGCCGGCCTGTCTGGGAGCAAGACTCAAGGGGCGCCCGGGTGCCGAGTTCAGTTTCAAAAGCAGTAACAGGACAGCAACAGCACACATGGGCACCTAATAATCCTTTTAATTTAAGAGACTCACACTCTGTAGAAACTGGGTAGTTTTGTGTTGACTGTTGAATTGTTCACCACAAATAAAAGAGAAAAATCCACCCTTGCCTTTGCCCCACAGGCCTGTGGACGCGGCCCTGGCCATGGCCGCCAGGCCGCCCTCTCAGTGGCTTCCGGGCTCGTCACTGCGTCCGCTTTGCTCCCTGCAGACCTCCAGGTGGGCTGAGGGCAATAGGTGCGGCTGGGGCCGGTGACTCAGAAACCTACATGCGCCTTAATCAGAACTAGGGCCCGCAAGCCAAGGGCTCTCCGGCCGTGGGGTTCCTGCCAGAACCTGCCCTGCCCACAGCTCTCTGTCCGCCTGCTCTGTGCAGGGGCTCCTCTGGCAGGGACTGCGGCGCCCAGGCTGCGGGAGGCCCCGCCCACCTGCTCAGGGAGCCTGTGTGGCCAGCCAGGGGTTCTGGCCCCGCAAGCCCAGGGTAGAGCTGTATGAAGGCTCAAGAGGCTCCAGGAGCTGGTCCTGGGGGCACAGAGCAAGAGGGGCTTCGAGTGCAGATGCGGGCGCAGCAGGGGTCTCCCCGGTGGACAGAAACGCGGCGTCAGCAACCAACGCTGCAAAGCGGTGTGGACTGTGAGCTGGGCCAGGCACCGGAGCTGTGTGTCCCGAGCCTGTGCACCTGCTGCAGGGGTGAGGAGGGAGAGGCCAGCGCGGCGGGTGGGGAAGGCTGCTGGCCGGTGAGCAGGTTGTTGAGATGGGACAGACCATGCTGTGGGCGGCGGCTGCCGCCTGTGGAGCCCAGTCAGGATGGCCAACCAGGCTCCCCCAGGAGCCTCGAGCCAGGTGCTGACGTTGGGGGCAGGGGGTAGGGGGTGCGGGCCGGAAGCACCGGGCCTTGCGAGCTGACCCGTCCCACCAGGTCTGCGTCAGCTTCCCCCCTCCCCGCCCACCCCTGCCTGAAAGGCGTGTGTCCCAGCCCAGCCCCTCACCTGGCCCTGCACAGCTGCCTGAGCACCCTGGCCCTGGTCGCCTGCCAGCGCGGCAGCTCCCCTCTTCTCCTTGGCCGGGGGCTCCACGCTGTGGCCTCCCAGCCCTGCCACGCCCGTCCAGACTCCCTGACTGTGTCTCCCGAGGGCCTAGGCCTCCTCCCCGCCGGACTCTTGATTAGCTGACATGGATCTGGGAGAGCCGCACTTATGTCGTGCATGCGGAGCCACGGTTCAAGCAATGGCGTCCAAATGACCAGCACAGAGCAGGGTCTGCTCCGAGCCCCGCGCAAGGCCCCGCGCCCCTCTACGGCGGCAGGAAGGCGGGCTTGAGAGAAGCCTCATTCCTACACCCCAGCGTCACCTGACCTGCCACGTAAGGAAACCAGATTATTTTGTACGCAATGAAATTCTGGCCTTTCTCATATATGAGAACGCTGTGATAACGTTGGTTCTGACTTAGCTCCTATTTTGTAGGGCTACGAAAGGATGAGCTTTGTTCTCTGAAGTTTTTCTGGTACGATCTGAACGTGACTGGCTCAGCCCCCCTCAGCGCTGTCACTCGTGAGGACATCCACGGCAGTCCTCGCCCCCGGCTGTGCCCCGCGCGTCTGCTGCTCCAGTGGACAGGGCGCCCTCTGTGGCTGAGCGCCAGAGCCTGGCCGGGTGCCCACAGGTCTCTGGCGGCAGAGGGGAGGGGAGGGGGTGGTGGTCGGCGCCAGACCTCTGGCCAGAGCCGCTGTGCCCGCAGGGCAGCCACGGCCTGCACGACCGCTGCTTCCCCCGCTCAGTGCGGCCCAGCAGCAGCCGGCGCTTCGCAGATGCCCGACGCAGAGCCGCCCCTACCTTGGTAGGCAAGCTTGAACCCCTGTCGGCTCTGCGAGTGGTCGCTGTGGAAGTGGACGAGGGTCTCGTGCGTGGTGCTCAGCAGCGGGGCGGGCAGGTCGGGGCCGCTGAACTGGCCGATCGCGGGGCTGGAGTGGTGGGGGCCGTTCCGGACCTCCAGGTAGTCATGGTTGGCCTCGGTGGAGAAGTTCAGGAACTGGATGTGTGCGCCTGCGGGGACAGCCTGGTCAGCGAGGGCGGAAGGCAAAGCCGAGACAGCAAGGAGTGGCCAGATGCATTAAATTCCCCAGGCTCCCACAAAACCCTCCCAGGAGGCAGACGCTGGGGGCAGAGGGGACGCGCCCTGAGCCACAGCAGCGCTCGTCCACTCTCGCGGGTCCCTGCATTTGGACTGTCGGGTGGTCAGCCCCGAGCGCTCCCCAGGACACATAGGAGCGCGGGACAGCCCCAAAGGACAGCCCGGAGGATGTGACTAACCGCGGCCGCCTCACCCGGAAGCTGCCCTCCGCTCATCAAGGAATGCGCCTATCTAGGTCTAAATAATGCAAAGAAAGTTAACGCTGGGTTTTAGACGGACGGTCCTGCCATCACACAGCCCATGTGGCAGCTGACAACACCGGCCTCTGCGGGGCCCTCGCCCAGCCAGTGCGACCCCAGCCAGGAGCCGGTGCCGGTGAGCCCGACCCTGCAGCTCAATACCCAAGACGCCGTCGAGTGGCGAGGTGACAGGTGTCAGGAAGGGTCACAGGGTCTCAGGTGACAGGTGTCGGGCAAGTGGCAGGTATCATATCATGTCACAGGGTCGCAGCAGGTGGCAGGTGTCACGCGACCTGCAGTCACAGGAGCTACGCTGGCTGGTCAGGAGGAATCCCGAGGTGTCGACTTGTTTGCTGTGGGCTGGTGGCACTTTTGAAAGTCAACTTGACTACCCTGTCTGAAATGTATTTTAATTCATCTAAGTAGTTTATATAGAACTGCAAAGACACCAGTTTTTGCATAAATCCATGATAAATGGGGTTTCTAAAACATAGATCGAGAGTCTCAAGAGCTACTGCAGATCATTCTTGCAACCTGGAGAAAAACGTCACTTGGTGGCCTTCTCCTGGCCTTGAGAAGCAAGAATCTTCTTTCCTTTCACCTAATACGCTTGATCCATTTTTCCTGGGTGGGGAAAGCTGAGGATCACTCTCGGGCGGTGTCCCGACCCCAGTGTAAATGCGGGACTTAAAGCAGACACCCCGTGAGAGACGGGTGTGAAACAGAATCATCGAGAGGCAGAACTGGGTGAAGAGCGAGGAAGAGACCCAGGCACAGAGCGGGGCCCTTGGGCAGCAGCTTCCTGGGAAACCTGCGCGGTGCCGAGCGGGCAGGGCATCACCGGCGTGGATGTGGCGTCACCGTGGTGACCACGGGCAATCCAAGCATGTTAAGTGGGATCAGTGTCCAGCCGTGTGTCAGGACTGGCCAGAGCCCAGGCCGGCGCAGACGAGGCTACGCAACTATTTAATTTTCAGGGAATTGGGTCCAGCTTGATACCATGAAGCGAAATGAAGGGACTGAAATAGGTTGACGTGGTGGCCCTGGTCACCCCCCGGAGACTCCGCCCGCTGCCCTGGCGGAGCGCACGTTCCGCCCTTCCCGAGATGCCCTCCCAGGGCAGGGTCACCCTGAGCTATTCGGAACCCGGCCACAGGAGGTGGGAGGCATCCTGGGACATCAGCCAGAAGGCCTGGCCCACCTCCCAGCCTGCCCGCTGCCCTGGGAAGGAGGTGGACTGCACTCCAGGACCACCTCAGGCTGGTCCTTGCAGGAGCCACACGTGGGAAGAAGAGGGGTGATGCGTTGCCCAGTGATGGTGCCCCCATATCTAACCAGAGACTGGGGTGCTTGCCACAACAATGCAGACTCCTGGGGTCTGAGCCCAAAACCACTTCCTCAGACTTGCGGGTGCGGGGGCTGGTATTTGCCTTCGGTTCAGGAGATGCTGGGAAGAGCCGTTCCCCAAACGAGGTGACGCCGAGGGGCGCAGAGGTGCAGTCAGGCCCAGGTGAGCTGAGTGGAGCCACCACGGGGACAGGGTGGGGTGAGCTGGGCGCCTGCAGGCTGCGGAGCCAGAGGGGACGCGGTGGCTGGAGCTGGACGAGGGGGCCGATCACTGGGGTCCCGGCCCACGTGGTGTGCCCAGGCCTGTATGGCGCCGCTGGCCCATAGAAGCTCGGGGTCCCCAAGCCCCCAGCCTGGGCACAGACCCTCAGAGGATCTTCCCTGCAGGGACGTGTCTGTGGTCGCTGCCCACCGCCAGGCAGGCCCTGCTCATGCGGGGTCAGTTGCCTCGCCAGGGGCTGAGTGGGGTTTGGAGTGGAGACAAGATGGTTTTTCTTCTTTGCCTTTTCTTCCAGATGCTGATTGAAACTCATGGGGGAGCAAATATTTAAAAACGAGCGTTACTTATACTATCTCTTTGCTGTCTTCTCCTCTGGCATCCCTCAAGTCAGCAGCGCGCAAGTTGCCCTGTGGCTCAGGCCGTCCGGCTGTGCTGCCCGGAACCACCCTCTGGCGGGTCCACTCAGGCCCAAGCAGGGAAGGCCTCTGGGTGCTGGAGCCGCAGGGCAGCGAGGCTGGAGGGACTGAGTCCATGAGGGGAAAGGAAGGTGGGAAGCGACGCAGCGATGACGCCCGCAGCCGGTCTCTGCCTGTTGAGGGCCGGCCCGCCCGCGCCAGACCCTCGCCCCGCGCAGCCGCCCTGCCCTGCAGCCTCCAGTCGCCGGGGTCGGGCTGTGCCCTTGCCCGCTGGCCCCCAGGCCGCAGCTGCCGGCGCCAGGTTGCCTGGCTGGGATTCAGCCACTGGCCGCGAGCGGCCGAGGCCCTCGGAACCCGCCGTGCTGTGCCACTCTGTCAGCCGGGGGTCGGGCTGTCTCCAGGGGACTCCGAGTGTCTTGGGGAAGCCACACAGAGGCCTGTCTCCTCTGGCGCAGAGCAGGAGGCCTGGCCAGGCTGCCCGTCCTCCCTGGCCACCTGGGCGTCCCTGCAGACCCTGAGCACAGCAGGTGTTCTCCGGCGGGTGCCCTCCCGTGCCCGGCCCGGTCAGCTCCGGATCTGTCCGCACCTCCGCCTGGGCTCCTCTCGGCTGAGCGGGGCCTCCCTCTCTGGGCTGCCGCACATGTTAAGGCAAAAGCTTTGAAACGTAACACAAAATGGGGCTGGCTCCCAGGCCTGCTCCACTCCCGCGTCCCGGCCCCACGCGGCAGGGCTCTCGAGAAAACCACGGGCCAGCCGGGAAACTCAGCGCAAAGGACAGAAGCACCAGCCTGAGGCGGCCGTGCGGCTGGCAGGGTCGCTGAGACCAGGGGTCTGGGAAGGCTGAGTGAGACCTCGGGGTTCAATTAAATCCAGAAATTTCTAAGGCAAATAATCTAAATATTCGTAAATAAATATTTTTAAAAGTCAATGTAACACAGAATCAAGAAAACTTACAATACTCGAAAACATTCAGAAAAAGCCCTAAACATTGGTCAAGGACACAGCAGTGACATGGGCTCCAGACGCAGGGGTGACAGGCGTGTCCAGGGCTGGGCGCTGGCCAGGCCACAGCTGGTGCCAGGCTCCCACCCTACCCACCAGTGGACTGGCCTGGGCAGACCTGGCAGCAGGACCCAGCTTTCTGGTAACTTTCTGAGCCAAAGCTGCCCTAGTCCCCACCGGTGCTCACCTGTCCCCACAGGTGCCCTCCCCACGCCCACAGCTGTCCTCCTGCCGCTCCCCCGCCACGCCCATCTCGTTCGGGGCTGGACAAGGGCCTGCGGGGCGGGCAGCACTCACCGTAGCCGACAGGCAGGACGATCTTCCAGGTGCAGTGCAGGTTGTTGGGATATGCTCCCGGGAACCCGGGGCTCAGCACCACGCCCCCCATGCTGCTCAGCGTCCCTCCACAGGTGGCTGTGAGGTGGACACAGACACTCAGGCCTGGGGCACATCCTGCCGATGGTCCCCTGGGAGTCCCCCCTGCGCTGGCCATGCCCCACCTTGGGGCACCTGCTTGGGGACAGGCTGCGGCTCACCCCTTTCCCCAGGCACCACAGCCCCTAATGTCAGCCGGGGGTGGCCTGGCCAGCAGCCTAGGCCTGGGGTTCCGGGCTGGCCCTGTGCACCGCCGTGCCCAGGCTGAGACGCATCACCCACAGCCGCAGCCAGCAGTGAAGCCCCTGCGCCCCCAACCCTCTGGGGAGGTGCAGTGAGCCTGGGTGTGGCCCCCCACCGAGGAACCCTTGTCCCAGGGGAGCAGGTGGCCCCCCTGCAGCAGCTCGCCAAGGGTCGCCTGTCCCCTGGGGCTGGGCTCCGCCCCTCCGCCCGCCTGCGCCTGTGGTCTCGAGGCCGGTCAGCAGCCCCGGCCCAGCGGTCCTTACCGATGCAGAGCGGGGGCGGGTAGTTCCAGCGCCGCACGGTTCCGGGCATGCAGGAGATGTGGGACCGGCCCTGCTCGGGGAGGAGAGGCCGTCATGCGGGAGCCTGGCCTTGCCGACTCGCCGACAAGCGCAAGGACCAGAAACTCTGCAAATGGTTCCCACTCCTGTTCACTCATGTTTGGAACCAGAATGGAAAACCCTGCGCCACTATATTTATTGCCACTGTAGTTTCCAGTGTCCCCACAACTGCCCATCCAGGTCAGCATCGCGGCCCCCGCTGCCCGGCAGGCCTCGCAGCCCTCGCTCTCGCCCACAGCTCCTCGTCCCGGGTGCGCAGCCTTCACGCCTCCCTTCCGCCGCGCTGCCCCGCACGTCAGGGGCGGCAGTCGGCCTGCGCGCTTGCGGGCGCTCCTGGGGCAGGGGCCGGCGGTCTCCTCTGCCCAGGGCTCCCCTCGCCCCTCCCGCTGCCCCTCCGTCGGCGCTTTACAGGCAGCTCGCCCGCACAGAGCAGCCCCGCCCAGCAGCGCCGGTCCTGCAGCGTCGGCATGGGTGGCTCGGGTCTGGGCGTCCCCCTCCCAGCCCAGGTCCGCCGTCTGCGTGAGCACAGAGCGCCCGCGCGCCCCCGAGGCCTCCGGGGGACCGCGGCGCACTCGCCCCGGGTGTGGGCAAGGACCAGGCGCCAGAGGCTTTGGGGATACTTAGCGAAGCCTCTGATGAGAGCGCTGGACACCAGTCCAGGGTGGAGTCTGCTCCTGACGCTGCACGAATGTTTCCTGTCAGACCCAGGTCAATTCCTGTGAGGGTTCACAAGGGGGGGCCCCGCGTATCTGTTTACTAGATTAAGCGGGGAATTTTCTTTTTTTGTCTTTAAAAGAAACAACGTAGAACATGGCCATCGCCAGTCACCTGCCAGGAGAATGAGCCCAGTCTTCAAGGCACCCCGTCCATCCCTCATGTCCCCTGTCCACAGCGCGCCCTGTCCATTTCGCTGCCCTGTCCATCTCGCCGCCCTGCCCATTGCGCCCTGTCCATTGCATGCCCTGTCCATCTCGCTGCCCTGTCCATCTCACCACCCTGTCCATCCTGGCCACGGTGCCGCAGGCACACCTGTGTGGGCGTGGGCATGGAACGATGCTTCTGTCTGTCCGAGTGTGTGGACAAGCTGCAGAGTTGTAATTGTCAGCAATTTTTAAAAATCTAGAATCCCTTTTGCTCTTGTGAATGGCAACCACAGCTGTGCCCTCAAGCCCCGCTGTCTGCAGGAAGGAACCAGCTTCGTTTGCATCTGAAAGGCTGGGGCTGGCATGAGCCCAGCACTTCCCCAGGGGCTGCAGGGCCTTTGGAGAAGGCTTTTCTCTGTCCTCCTCTGCGGGTCACAGTGACCGCAGAGTGGGCAGCATGGGGAGAGCAGGAACAGGGTGGGGGCAGCGGGTGGGGCTTGGGCCGCTGGTGTGACATGCGCGGCCACAGTGGGTCGGAACACGGGCTGAGAACATGCTGGCGCATGTGGCCTGTCCTGCCGCAGCTTCGTGTGGACCCTGCATCCCATCAAGCGGAACTCTGGGCATGCACTGGGACGCCGCCCGGCCACCCATGGGACAGGAGAGCTTTGTTTCGACGATGCTTCAAGGCAGCTTCCCTCGGCTGCGAACAGACGTGTTCAGGCCCCACCCCTGGGGGCGCTGCCTAGCAGCTGCCTCTGCTTCCGGGCCTGCCCTGCTCGCCTACAGACGGGCCAAGACTCAGACAACGCGGCTTTGAGGACGGCGCCATCACGCGCTGATGCTCGGGCAACAGCAACCCAGGCATCCTTCCTGGAGCGCGCACAGACCGCCTGGTTCCTGCAGGTGGCATGGGGCATCTGAGTGCCCTGTGCTCCCTGCACCCCTCCTGGCCCGCGTCTCACGACAGGGTGCCACCCCACCACTCTGAGGCCAATGCATGGGCACGCACAGGCCCTCAGCACCTGCCACCCGGCCCTACTGGCTCTGGCCGCCCCAGTGCACGTGCACACGGGAGGGCCTCCCGCTGTGGCCTCGGCTTCTCCTGACATGTACCCAGAGCTTTTCAACCACTTAAATAATCCTGCTGAACAGTTCCCCTGAGCGATGCTGTGCCTGTGCTGGACATGCAGAGTGTGTCCCCCACATCCTCCAGGGCAGAACTGAGAGCAGCCCAAGGGCCCCACGTGCTTTGAGTTAGGGGTCGATGTCAGCCAGCGTGGCCGCGCAGGAGCTGGCGAAGAGCTTGTTATTTATAAGTTTATGCCAAATCACAAAAAGATCATGCCAACTTCAGCTCAGCGCTTTCCGAAAAGGATTCGAGGAGGCTGCCTTGCTCCTGACCACCAGTGGACGCAGCCCCGCGGGGTCCAGAAGGCGCCAAGCGGCCTGCATGCGGCCGGCGCGGGGAGAGGCCCAGGGCTCAGGGCTCCCCAGAGGCTGCCCCGGTGAGGATGCGCGACCCTGTGCCAGGAGAATGTGCTCCGAGACCAAGCAGCAGGAAGCACAGCGCTTATCGCCAGCCCCGGCCTGGGCAGGTCCCACCCTGTTGCCCCCTGCGTCACATGCCCGTAAGCGGCCACCATGCCCCCCCGGAACCCCGAAAGGTACCTGCAGCGTGTAGCCCGGCTCGCACTGGAAGGACAGCACGTCGTTGACCAGGTAGCGGTCCCCGGTCCGGATGCCATTGCTGGGCAGGGCGGGCTCTGGGCAGGCGGCCAGACCTACAGCTGGAGAAGCAGACACGGTCGGCACCAGCCCGGGCCATGCCGCTGGAGGACCCCGGGGCCCGCGGCTCCGCGCGGGAGGGGACGGCCCTGCCTCTCCACCCCCAGCGAGAGACAGAGTCAGAGCCAAGCGGATCCGGATGTGCTGCCTGGCTGCCTGCTCTCGTCATGCAGGAGCGTGGCTGCCCTCGGCGCGGCCCGCCCGGCACCACAGCTCGGAGGGCCCCGCAGAGCCACGGCTGCTGCTCCGCACGGCGCTGCGCCCGTCACCTGCTCTAGCTCCTCCAGCGCCATCTGTCCCCCTGGAACAGCATCAGCGCCAACATCTCGTATTCCACACGACCTCTTTCACTTAAAAACAACAGAAGACGCCCAGGCATGCCCCGGCGCACACGTGACCCCCAGCCGGAGTCCCTCGGGACAAGCACCCACAAATTTAAATAAAAAGAGCATCATGTGACCCCGGGCTTCAGGATAAAACGCCAGACACACTGACACTACGCATCACTTAGCGCCGATTGTGACCAACACTAACGCTCACCTCGTGCATGAACACACCCGGGGGGCTGAGGGAGGCGGCAGAGCCCCCTCCCGCCATGGGCGCCCGGGTCACCCCGCCCGCTCAGCCACCGGACGGGACGTGGGAAGGACGCTCCCGCACGGCCACGCTGGCTCTGCGCAGCCTGGGAGTCCAGCCTCGGCGCTGGCCTTGGCGTCGAGCTGGTCAGACCCCTGGGCCGGGCGGGCCGGCAGGGAGGGGCCTGAGTCCAGGGCGGCCTCGGGCAGAGCATGGCTGCTGGCGCCTGCCTGCCCACAGGATGGACGGGGTCTGCCGCGAGATGCCGGCCACCCTGGACTCTGCTTCAAGTGAGGTCCGAGACGCCCCACGAGCACAGGCGGAAGAGGGAACTCCTGGGGCTGGGGGCTGCAGGCTCTGAGCCCCGACCCACGTGGTGCCATTCCCGGAGTCGCCTCTGGCCGGTGCGGGGACCCCGGGCAGGGATGGAGAGGGCGTGCCGAGGCCGCCGTGCGCTGGCCACGTGTGCTGCTGGGGGCGTGACCTCTGGCCTCTGGCCCCCGGTCCCACGGGACCTCTGACATGAAGGAAGGGAAGCCATGCAACAGGCGTCCCCGACGTGGCACCGGGTGGCACAGCAGGCCCCTCTGCCCCTCAGCGCAGGGGGTGGGGGGGCGGCGACAGCACACACTGGCTCCCTGGAACCGGGAGTCAGAACCCGCACGTGAGCCGTCCCCGAGGATTCTCATGGGTGCGGTCGGGAATCACCCCCAAAGCTGAGCGGTGAGACAGAGACAAGCGTCTCCACGTCCCAGGCGGCGCCGGGCGAGGCCGGTGTGGACCCGCGGGCCTGGACCTGTCCCCCGACGAGCAGGTGTGCGGGGCCTCGTGTCAGCTGCTGGGGCGGAGCTGCTGTCCCCACACGGCTGTGCAGGCGCGCGCAGCACCGCGGGACTTCACCATCGGGGCATTTCAGAGACAATAAAATTGCTGACCATGGAAAAACCCAACACCTAGGCCTCTGAAATTGTTTTACTGGCACTGAGTCTAACTGCTCTCTCTCAGACACAGGTTGTAACCACCTTCCCCCTTTCCCCAGCGCGGGTTGAGAAGGCTGGGGATGGTTTATCACTGTCTAAAAAGTCGACCCTAAAAGAAACGCACCTAAGCTGTCTCGGTCTGAGACTTGTGCTGCAGCTGGCGCACCACAGCTGCCTCAGGACAAGGACCCGGGGCCACGCCTAGAGTGGAAACGATTCCCCGAATGTTCAAGATGGACAGGAAATAGAATAGAGATTATGGAAAGAAATGTGACCAGTAACTCAAGAACAAATTGCAATTATTAAACCCCCATCTCTTTCCACAGACATAGGATTCATAATACTTACTTTTGCATGTTGATTTACATGCATACCTTGTATCTTAGTCTACTTTACTTTTCACCTTCCTTGAATTCTATGTGTAAATTCCACTGATCCTTTGCAAAAAATAAAAAAATACTAGCATTTGTAGCTATGCTCATAAGAATTGTAATATATTTTGTGCATAAATTTAAAACACACACTGATCGTAATGTTTGACGCGAGGCTCAGCAGCTGCTCAGACGGGGACATGGGAAGCGCAGACAGCGCTGCCTCCTCAGACGCGGCATCGGCAGGGACACCCCCCGGCAGTGCCTCGCACCCGTCTGTCCATTCTGCCGAGGGGGCTCCCCACGGCCTCTATTCCTAACTCTGCAAGGTCCACCTGTGGCCCCGAGTGACTCATGCCACAGTCAGGGGGCTGGTGTCAGAACAGGGTTCCGGTGTCAGGGCTGGAGAACCTGGCCCTCGCGGGGAGGGGTGTGCAGCAGGTCTGGGCTGGCACTGGCCGGGCGACCCCAGGGGGACCTGGTGGAGACAGCACTGTCAATGCAGAATGCCCAGGGGTGTCTCCAAGGACATGCAAACGAACGGCTGTGCAACCCTCCCTACATGAAGCCACAAGGTGATCACACGAGAAAAACTCATCTCCCAGAGGCAGTGCCACCGGGACGCGAGTCGCTCATCACAGGGCAATGCTGTACGGGATGGGTCCCTGGTTCCGCCACAGTGTGGCACCCGCCCTGCCCAGAGGCTACGAAGCCAGGCTTCACGGAGGCGGAACACGGGGGCGCACGGCCATCCTGACCAACTGTGGGACAGCGCCCGTGGGGTGGAGCCCTGGAGAGGCCCAGCCAGAGCCCCGCCAGGACCTGCACTGCACCCCCCACGGGCATGTTCGGACCATCGCGGACCTCAGGATTGGGGCCTTCTGACACGCGCCTTCTTATGAAAGCGTGATTAGATTTAGAAGGCAGCAGACCAAGCCTCACACCCAGGCCTGCACAGAGAATACAAATGGAGCATTAAAAAAGAGTGCCCTCACCCGACCAGACACGCGGCCGGCCCCGAGCTGGCAAGGCCCCTGCATGGGCTGTGGCCTTGATCCTGGGTTTGTCGGGAGAAGTTCATCCCTGAACTTAAACCTTGCTTAAAACTTTGACAGTGAAAATGATTTTGAAACACAAAACACACGCCACTTTTGGCACACGTCTGGAGCAGGACGCAGTGGGGAAGCTCAGCGTTCTGCTCGTCTGAGCTCTGTCCCCCTTCGCTGGCAGCGTCTGGCTCTCCAGCCCATAATTTGGAAAAAAAAAAAAAAAAAGGGTCACTCTACTGGGGGAGTGCGGGGCAATGGTGACAGTAACAGGACGGCGAACGCGGGGAGAGGAAACAGCCCAGGCCCCAGGGACAGAGGGAAGAACGGCCCCCGCAGGCAAACACGAGACCCCTATATGCACCCAGCAGGCGGACACCCTTCAGGGTACACGGGTGAGGCGCCCCAGGGCAGCATCCCACGATCTCGCAAGGCCACAGCTCAGCTCAGTGAGAGGCCAGGTGGACACCAACACCGCACCATGGTGTGCTGGCAGCTGAGGAGGCGCCATGCACCGCCAGCCAGGCACCGGGAGGCACCGCCCTGCGCGGCCCGGAGCCACCAGGCTCGCCCCCAGGCAAGGAGACAGACTCCTCCTGGCCAGAGGTCAGCGTGGGATGGGCCAAGAGCGCTTTTTGCCCTCCAGCGCTGCCTGCACGGCAGACACTTTCTGTCCCTCCAGTAGGGCCCAGAGGCCCTTGAGGTGGCCCTTCACCCTCATCTCGCCCGGGGTTCCAGTGGGAGCCCAGGGCTGCCCCATGGGTCCAGCCGTGACGGCACGGGCAGAAGTGCTTAGCTGCTGGGTACGCTGTCAGGGGTGCACCCTGGTCTGGTGTCAGCGCCAGGGGCCGCTCCGCCTCCTCACAGCGCAGACGGACTCTGCAGGCAGAGCCCCAGCTCAGCACCAAAAGCCCCAGGCCCAGGACCCAGATGCTCTCCCTCTGTTAGTGTGCCGGGGGCTGCCCCACTCAGGGCAGGACCTCCGCGCTCTGGGGGCAGGGTGCCCTGGGGAGATGACTGGCAGCTGGGGCCACAAGGGTGGAGCCCCCACCCCCTGTGGGGTTGGTGTCCTTTCAGAGGAGCGGGAGAAAACCCCACATGGGCACCTGGCAGGGAGGTGACACCACAAGTCAGAAACCAGTCCTCGCCGGGACCACGCCTGCTGGGCCTTGGCTGTGGCCTCCAGCCTCAGGGTGATGAGGCCTGAGGTCCGCTGTTTGAGCAAAGCCTGTGGAGGCAGCCGGAGCCAAGACCCTGCTTGAGACTCAGGCCTGGGGACCAACAGACATGGCGGAACTGGTAGTGGGCACAGGATGGTGCATTTTGGCAAAATGCACTTACTCATCAGCTAAGAAATTTTTGATTGCTAAATAATGAGTCCTCGGCTCACCCATTAGACAGGAACCAACAGCGTGAAATGGGCGGCCCCAAGCGGTTCCTGGTCTGCAGGAGAAAGCAAGGGCAGCAGGTACCCACTTGTCTGGCCTACCCACCCCTCCTGTGCCCACCTGGCCCTGGGCAGCCCGCACGTGTCCCCAGACCTGCCTGGAGATCACCCTAGACATAGCCGCAGGGGCCGCCCCATGTCGTGTCGGCTGTCAGCGGAGCGGAGCGGAGCAACTTGCATGCAGATGCCCGTGAGGGGGTCGGGGCGGGGGGGGGGGTGTTTAAAGATGGCGGCACAGCCTTGGTCTGCGGCTAACTCAGGCTCTGCTGGCCGAGCCTGGCCTCGGGCAGCAATTTGCCCATGGTGCCCTGGCTCAGAGCGTTGCGTCTGCTCATGGAAGCTGCTCCTTAGAGGGGACGGGCGCGGTGCTGAACCTGGAAATGCACCCTGAAATAAAGCTTTCTCATCTCCCTCTCATGAGGTTACCTGCAGAAGCAAACGCCAAAGGGGTCTGCTCTGTGGCCCCTTCCTGGGTTAAAGTGAATAATGTGCCTCAGGCGGTTGGAGGGGGTGGGGGCCTGGCTGCCTTGCTCTTGGGAGCAAGGGACAGCCGCACCCCCAGGGACAGCGGCCTGGCGGAACTGTCCAGGCACAACTCCTGCGTGTCCCCACTGACCTGCCGTCTGCACGAGAGTGACTGTGGATGACCTGATTCCACGCAACGTTTACATGCGGTTTTGGAACATCGTGGTTCAGCCAGACCAGGCCAGGGTCTGCCCTCTGAGAGCCACGCGGTGCACAGCGAAGCCCTGGCGTGGGCCTTACTTTTGTACTCCAGGTGGAAGCCCGCGGCGGCCACGCTGATGTCAGACTGGAAGTGCAAGTAGAGCTGGTTGGACGTGCTGTTGAGCAGTGCTGGGACCGTGGTTCCTGTGGAGACAGCAGGTGGCTGCAGCGGGAGGGCTCCCTGCTCAGGTGCCCAGGCCCTGGTGCTCCCCCGTGCTCGCCCCGCTTCTGCAGGGCAGGCCAGAGCCTGCCCATCGGGGTGGGGGGGCATCCCTGAGCTATGGCTGCGTCCTCCCACACGCCTTCGTGTGCTCCTCACACCCAGCTCTGGCTCTCTCGCAGGAGGGCTGTGTGTGCTGGGGGAGCAGAACAAAGACGGGCCGGGCCTAAGGGGCTTCCGGGAAGTGGGGCCGCTCTGAGCCCCTACGCTTCTCTCGTCCACCCTGGTGGGCCGTGAGGGACAGTCTCCTGGGCGGGGGCCAGCTGCGGTGGATGCGCGGAGGAGGTGGCAGGCGTCCACACCTGTCCCTGCGCTGGGGTGTCTGGCCATGCGCCCGCCGGGGCACCTGGGACCAGCGCATGGGGTGGGCGTGGAGGAGCCGGCTGGTTCTGGAATCAGAACCCCGGGAACGTCTCATGGGGAGGGACAGCGACCAGCAAGCCGAGGCCCAGCTCTCCTGGCGCTGGGTGTTCCACACCAAGCGGACGCTGACCGGAAGCCCAGGACGCGGCGAGAGTGAAAGGCCCCAGGAGCTGGAAATCGCCAGCAGGGGCCAAGCAGAGCCGCAGAGAGCGCCACACTCCTGAGGAGCAGCAGGGGGCACGGTGCGGGGCAAGGCCACCCACCCACGCGGGAGGACCCAGCCCCAGAAGGCAGTGTGGTGAGACTCCACCTGGAGTGCCGAGACCTCACTAAGCGTGTTGTTTGGTCCTTGCACGTGTGACAAGTCAGGAAAATGAAAAGTGAAAGTGGTGTGTGATCCACCCGTTGCCAAACGTGGCTGCCGTGCCAGGGTGGGTGTGTTTGCTCTGGCCCGCCACCTGGGAGTCCCCTCTACATACCGCTGGCTTCCCTGAGGTGGGCAGCTGGCTTCGTGGGGCCCCTTGCACACCCGCCTTCGTGGGGACAGCGACGAGGCAGTGATGGGACAGTGATGGGAACAGCAGTGGGGCAGTGATGGGGACAGTGATGGGGGCAGCGAAGGGGCAATCATGGGGACAGCGATGGGGTCAGTGAAGGGGGCAGTGAGCGCCACGGGCTGTGGGGCTGGGGCAGTGGCGCCTGCACCTGGGCACACAGTGGCGGGGCCTGCCTGACCTGCGGGGCTCCTGGAACTGTGGTGCTGGGGCCGTCCTCCTGGCCCTAGTCTCCTGCCCCGAGAGTAGCCCTGGCCGGCGGCTGCCGCTGCATGGACCTTGCCTGGGCCTCTTCCATGCAGGAGGCTGATCCATGGTGGGGAGGGGGAGCTTCACAAGGAGTTTGCTGCTGCGCGTTTCATGGGCGTTGACGCTCTGTCCAGCCACGCGCCAGGTGGCACCTCACCTGAGAAGCTCCCCAGCCTGGGGGCGGATGCATCGGGCCCATCGTGGATCTCCAAGGAGTCCCAGTTCTGCTCCGTGGCGAAGCCCACCACCTGGATCTGCCGGCGACAGGGCCGGGTCAGCACCTCTGTGCCTGCAGGACCCGCCCACGCGTTGGGGTCTCCACGACATAAAAACAGGCATGGAAGAGAAAGGTGGAGCCCACGCCCCAAAGTGCCATCCTGCAGACTGTCCCCTGGCCCTGACCAGAGGTTTTATGCTAAGCGTCCTGTTATTTTCACTCCAAATATAAAAATGTGATTAGCAACTCTGTACAGAAATACAAAGAAAGAGAACAGGTATGCCGGGGCTTTAAATGCCGACACCACGCGCAGGAAGGGGCCGGGCCACACCACGGACGCACCTGGATGCCCGAGCCCTCGGTGACCATGATCCTCCACACGCAGTTCAGGTTGTTGCCGTAGGGCTCGGGGTAGCCGGGCGACAGGATGGTGCCTCTCCGCTGTGTGAAGTTGCCGCTGCAGGGGGCTGAGCACGGATGGGGCCGTGAGACGGAGAGTGGATGGGCCGGCACCCCCCGGTTGATCAGGTAGGGGGGCTCTCGGGGCTACAAGACCCTCACCCTGGCCAAGCCCATCTGTCTTGTTAAGGCAGCACCCACCGACCGCCCCTACTGCGTGCGGGCGAGAGACTGGGGTCCAAGGCAAGTCTCCTCACGCTCCCAGAGGCCCTGGCCTGGCGGTGGCAGCCACGGCCCCGGGCTCTGCTTTGACTGGTTCACGGGTCACTGTCTCCGAGTGCCTCCCGAGCGTGCGGACGCACAAGACGGGGCTGTCTCCAGGTTTGTGTGGAGCCCGGAGACGCAAAGCGGGAAGGGGCCACTGGCTCAGGGCGGGTCTGGGCTGCACTTGGGCCCCAGTGGGACCGAAGCCCCCCAGCATGCTGGCCATTCCGGCCTGGTGCTTCCCACCGTCCCCAGCCTGTGTGCGAGGACGCCGCAAGTGACACCGTGCATCAGCTTGCCGGGATCCCTCCAGTGAGACTGTGCCTCCCAGGACACACCCCGCAGAGGCTGCTGCCCCCCGCCGCTCCTGACACAGAGGCCGGGCTGTTCTCGAGGGGTCGCGAGCCCACCCAGCAGGCTGCCGTGGCGCTGAGGGTCCGAGGTGGCGGCAGCGCGGGCGCCCGCCCTTACCCACGCAGCTGGGCACAGTGTCGTTCCACTCGGCCAGGGCGCTGGGCACCGCCCGGCAGCGGATGGCCGCCGAGCCCTGCAGCAGATACCCCGGGCTGCACTCGAAGCGCACGACGGAGCCAGCCGAGAACTCGGAGCCGATCCTCCTCCCATAGCGGGGCTCGGGCACGGAGCTGCACTGCGTGTCGCTGGTCCGGGGGACGGCTGCAGGGACACAGAAGCCGCGCCATGCTCAGACGAGTCCCACTCTGGCTCTAGCTCAGGGAGCCCATGTGTGTGCGTGGGGCAGACACTTCCTGGCCTCAGCACTGGGCAGGGGGTTGGGGCTCCCTAGGCCCCACAGAGACGGGGTGTGGCTCCCCACTACACTGCACTGGCGTCCTCCGGGAGCCCGGGCACACCTGTCCTTTCAGGGGAGAAAGGTGTGGTGTGCGGAGAATGAGCAGCTGGGAGGCCTGAGGTGTCCAGTCAGATGGACGTAAAGCAGCCCTGGGCAGCTGTGCCATGGACGTGGCTGCTGAGAACGCCCCTCCTCCCGTGGGACCCGCTGCACCGGGGCGTCAGGTACAGGCCCTGCGACCTGAGTGAGAAGAGGCCCAGCAGCCCCAGTCTGGGCCTGGCATCAGGGCCCTCGAGATAACGTGGCACCATCACACATCTGAGTCCCAAGAGGCCTGGGCCCCAGCAAAGGGGGTTGGCGGCCGCTGCTCCAGCGTGGGTGGGGGAAGGAGGCTCCACCGCCCAGAGACGCCCCTTCACACCGGGTCAGGGCGCCTTTTCCGTGCTGGATGCCCCGCGGCTGGGTCCCCGCACCCCTCACACAGACCCGCTCTGTGGGGCGGGCGCGGCAGCCCGTGACCGCGGAGACCGAGCCGTCCCGTGCGGTTTTAACGGCCAAGGCGGCTGGCGCCGGCTCCCAGAGGTGCCGCTCAGCTCGGCTTCTCGACGTGCTGACGTCTTCCCCCAGCGCGCCGGACTGATTTATAAATGGCTTTCGTGATCCTGGTTCCTCACCGCCAAAGGATTTAGCTTTGACAAAAGATCAAGTTTTTGCATGACCTCTGTAGCAGGAAGCAAGGGAAGGAAGTTCAGCGGAACTTGATACAGAGGCGATGGGTCGTGCCCACGAGCACGGGGAGAAGCCCCGCGCGTGAGAACTTCCTTTCCCTTCTGTGTGCACGCGTGTCAATGACAACATGTTACTTTAAGCAAAAAAAAAAAAAAAAAAAAGGTGTAAAATCACGACTTCTAAGGATAACGTGAAGACGGGGTGGACTGATCTGATGAGCGGATTGACATTCTAATTTTTATCAAAGATTCGCGTATAACTATTTTTCATCAAGGCAGACAATGCCAGTAACTTGAATTTTTCTGGGATGAAAAACTAGCTGCAGGGATGATCTGCATCTACGCGCTGCTCTGACCTGTGGGGCCCGTCCATCCGCTGTAGCCGAGTAGCGGCCCGTTTACTTGAGGAACAAGTAAAGTGGGTTCCCGCGACTGTCCGCGTTTCAACGATGTCCGTTGTCTCAACATGGCTTCACTGTTACGTTTACGCCAACAGCATCACTGGCCAAGCAGGTGCTATTAACCCGGGATGAGGGCCCTGCTCCCCAGTTTGCCTCATTCTCATCCTGCTCTTTCTTTTTCAAATTGCCTTATTGCTGAAGAAGGGTTTTCACAGGGAAATATTTTGAGGGTGTGGATTTTGCGGTTTGAGATTATTAGAAACGATTTATGAACTATGGGTCTATAAATTTCAGGAGGCTTTTCTATATAAACTTTTGGGGGACCCCAGTTGCAGCACGGCCTGCATTCGCAGAAGTCGTCCTCAAGGGAAAGGGCACGCCTGTGTGTGCCTCACTTCCGACAGGAGAGGCGCTTGAACACCACCTGCAGCTCTGCCTCAAGGAGAACTGAGACCCAACCAGCTTCGCTCCTGGCGTCCGCTGCGGACCGCTCTCCTGTCTCAGCCTCGCGGCCTCTGCCAGTCAGGCCAGGCCCGACTCAAAAGCCTGACGGTTTACACGGCTCCTTTCCAGCGTGGGCCGTGAACGTGCAAAGCGAAAATGAAGCACGGTAGGAAAAAGTTCTCAACCTTTTCAGAAACTCTGTGCAATCTTAACTATCTTGAATAAACTCCAAATTGAAAAATAAATGTAAACATATCTAAGGCCCTAAAATGAGTAGGATACAAACAAAATACATAGATACTTATCAGGAAGGAGACAAGACAGTTTGTGTTTTGTTTTGTTAATTGCCTTTTCAGTTTTTACAGTAATATATGGCATTTATAATGCACTTTGAATGCAGGCCATTAAGACAGTTTCTACAATCAAAACTATTATGAAACATTTTACTTGGACAAAACACCATAATGGTCTGCAATCATTTTGCAGACTGTGACTAGCTCAACTGAGGTAATTCACTCTGTGCCTGCCTCCTAATAGTGGCAGGAAAAGAGGCATTATTATGTCTGTGCCATAGAAATTCATCTCGTGTCTAAAGCAAAACTGCAATATTTTTATTAAATAATTTTTGTAACTCTGTGAACACTGTCAATTTCTTAAATAGCAAAGACACATACCCCACTATATTTGGGGTTCCCCTGGAAATGTCTGCTGGCATGTGCAGTGTGGGGCAGACCCAGGGCACAGCAACCCCTACCTTGGAAGACGAAGTGGAAGCCCCGGGCAGACGCCCCGCTCTTGGCGCTGAACCGAAGCAGGATCTGATTTGAGGTAGCCAGCGGCAAGGTCTCACCTGGGGGGAAATGCAGGATGGGCTGTCATGCCCCCAGGCACGGTGGGGGCCTCAGCTCCTGAGCTGCACCACACCCCAGCTCCTGTGAGCGTGGCATTGGGACCGAGGCCCCAAGCGCCATGTCTGTGCAGGCGTCACAGCTCTGCCCGCGCCCGTCCTACTGACACGCCGTCTTAACCGTCACCTTGTCTGTGCGTCCTTGGAAAACACCTGAACGTGGTCTGTGGCAGGCAGTGCAGGGGCGCTGGGTGAAAATTGACTCAGTCACCTTTATTTAATAAATTCTTACTAGGATTTTACTGAAAGTAAGAAAATGTCTTCAAATCCAAAGCTAATTTAAAAAAGAGAAAGAACCCAGAAAAGCCTCTGCACACTATTCGGAACAGCAGCGACGGCAGCGGGCCCAGTTTCATTTTTGAAAGGAAAGGACGCTGCCGGTGATTTTCAGTGAAAGCACTTGAGGAACACCGTGTCCTTAGAGCCACGCTTTACGAAGCCCCTCAAGTTCACACGCACGTGTGTGCACACACAGGCGCACCAGACACGCGTGGGGGTGGGGCCTCTGGGCGTCTGGGTCAAGCAGTCCATGCTCTAGATCTGCATGTAGCACAACCGGGAGGCGGTCACGGCACTGAGGTGGGTCAGGGGACACTTGCTGACCACCGGTCCCCAGTGCAGGTGGGACGTGGCCACGCCGGAGTCAGAGGACAGAGCCAGCGGTTTTGGGGCCGGGAGGAGGGAGCGTTGGTAGCTGACACGGAAAGTGTGGTTCTGCTCAACAAGCAGGGAGTGCAAAGATGATTCGGTCTCCCCCACACAAAAGCCGAGCACCTTACCTGAGTGGGACCCTGAGAGGGAGCTCAGGAGCCGGGCCTGGGGGTGGGCACCGTCGAACAGCTCCGCCAGGTCATTCAGCGCTGTCTGGAAGTAGGCGAACTGCCCGAAGACCACTGCAACACAGGGCAGGCAGATGCTGGGGGGCCACGCTGGGGGAACTTGCTGGGCGAGGTGTTGGGGGCACACTCGGGCGGGAGGAGCTGGCCTGGGCCAGGCTCCAGCACATGCCATCCCAGCCCCAGCCCCACAGGCGCGTGCAGAAGCCTCCTGGGGCCACCACCACAATGGAGAGTGGCCAGTGGGTGCCCCCCCAGGGCCTGGAGGGGAGACCAGCAAGTCTCAGGACAAATGGTCCTGAGACCCAGGGAGCACCGGTGGCCGCACTGTTCCTGCGAGGCCGGGGAAGTGACAGGCGTTCCCAAACCCCACACGAGTCCCTTACACGAGTCCCCATACCAGTCTCTTACCCAGCAATTAACATTCTTGTCACATAATTGTGTTTTGAAAAATATTTTACCTCAAATAGATTCTAACTTTAGAATTTGTATCAACTTTATTTCCGAGCGTGGGAAGCTGCTATTTTAAGTATAAAGAAAAACCTTGACACAGTAGGATTTTTAATTTTACTCCTGGAAACACAAGGGAGTTTCCTATAAATCTACAGAAGCCTCCACCTGGATTCCTCCAGAAAAGAATCCAACTCAAAAAGGAGGTGACCAGGGGCTCGAGGCCCAGTCCCGGCAGCAGCTGCGAGGACCGACGTGAGTGGGATGTTCTGGCTCATTCCAGATCAGACGCTTCTGAGTGGCTTCCAGGAGCGAGTCCCTCTGAAGCCCGTGCTGACCCGGACGCCAAGTTCAGGAGGGCACTTGGCAAGTGGGCCTCGGGCTCAGGGGTCGGCCTGTGTCCACGCTGGACTCCTCCAGAGGCCACATCCCGGGATGCCGGGAACTTGCCGCCCAGCACAGCCAAGGCGCTGCCCACAGGGACCCGCCTCCTGCCCACGAGTGCAGCTGCCGCCCGCCCGTCACCGGGTAGGCTCTGAGGCAGACATGGTGTCACCGATTTGAGAGTGCGGGGGCTGCGCAGACATAGCAGAAACTTCTGGGGGGGCCAGTGCCTGGCCAGGGCAGGGTTATCTGTTTCCAGATGACCCTGCAGGGGGCTGAAAGGAGATGGGTAATGACTTGAAACAGGGAGGCTCTTACCGAACTCCTTGGGCACCGTTATGGAGTAGAGACAGGTCTGGCCCGCTGTGTAGTTGCGAGGGTAGTTGGGCGACAGCACCACCCCGTCTGGCCCGGTGTACTGGCCCCCACAGGGCGCTGCAACAAAGGCTCAGCTCACGCATGCATGCGCCACAGCAGGGACGCTGGAACAGCAGGCTCCCTGCCCCGGGGGCCTGCTCAGAGCTCAGCTGTGGGCCTCGGTCCCGGCCTCCCTCCAGCAGCATGCTGGGTCATCAGGAAGAGTCGTGACAGCAACAGGCCTCGTAAGGAGGCTGAAGGACAGCGCCCGCCCCATGGATGATGCCAGCAGGCTGCCACCGGCAAAGCCGGGAAAACCCACACATCTTCCTTCAGTTCTCAGGAGCCGCTCTGCTCACACGGCACACGGCTCCATGGAAGCTGAGGAATGCCTTGGGGCAGCAGGCAGAGGAGGGCTCAGGTGAGGGGCCAGGCGTCTGGCAGGGCAAGGGGTGGGGGGCAGGCCATGAGCACCCCCCCGAGGGTGCGGCCCTGGTGTGCACTCAGCTCTGGCCCAGGTTCTTGGGAGATCTGGAGGGCGGTGGGCCTCGCCTGGGGGCGCCTGAGCTCTGAGCACTACTTAACGAATCTGCAGGAACGGGGTGCTCAGGGGTCCACTGCCTGGGGCGCCAGGTGAGGGACAGAAACGGTCTCTTGCACACACTGGCTGTTCTATAATTGAAGTTGCTACTGCCTGTGAATTCAAACTGGGTGCAATTTGATAGCTTTTAATAGGTGATTTTATCCATTTAGTCTCTATGTGAATTGATAATTGACAACGCACTGATTTTGGGGAGAAATGAAATGTTTAAAAATGTGTGACTACATGGAGCTATCGGGGAGCAGGAGGGTGAGAGGAGAGGAGAGAGTATACACCCCAGGAAGAGACCAGCCGGGGGGCGGGGGCGGAGGCAGACAGGTGGGCGAAGCCTGGAGACTGCCCCGCCTGCGGTGGAGACCAGGCCTGGCCAGGGCAGCAGGACGGCCTGATGGCACCGGCACCTTCCGCAGCTTCCAGGAAGGCCCAGCCCCAGGAACACGGGGAGCGGTGGGCCCCGCACACTGGACCCTCCCCCGGAGCTGGGCCCCACGCACCTTCGCAGGCCGGCAGCGCCCGGTCCCAGGCCGGCCTCCCGTCGGCGCCCATCACACAGGTGACAGGGGCGGGGTCCCCCAGCGTGTAGCCGGAGTCGCACTGGTAGCTGACGCTGGAGCCCAGCTTGAAGTCCGAGCCAACCCTGGTCCCGTTCATGATGCTGCCAGGGTCGAAGCAGGCCTCCCGGGGCTTCTCTGCAGGCACAGGGGGAAGCCCTCGGCACTGGGTCGTGTAAGACACGACGGAAACGCCCCCCCGGCTGACTCGCGAGCAGTTAACCCCCACAGGAACAGCCACCGCCAGGAGTTACCCAGCTGAGCCGGCATCCTGGAAACACCCGGTTAATCATCACCAAATTGGTAACTAGCTGTCAGGCCACGTGAGACATTCCTTCGTGTTAAAGGCACATTTCTCCTTGTCACAGCGCGTCTGACCAGACTCTGGCCGTGTCGCCTCCACCCCGAGGGTGCTCCTCCGGCCCCGTGCACCCTGCTGAGGCGAAGGCCTGGTCCTCTCCCCGTGCCTGCTGACAGTGACAGTGGGAGCGGGAGAGGCGGCCCTAGCGGAGGGGGCCTCCCTGCCAGGTGGCGCCACAGCTGGTCCCTTCAACACGGGGCCCCTGCGATGCCCCAGGCAGGCGGCTCCAGGGGACCCAGAGGCCCACCGCCTTAGAAACGCGTCTTCCAGCCCCGAGGAGCTTCGTCTGTACAGAGTCTCCTGCCGTGCAGCTGCCGCAGGACCGTCTGACGACTGTCCTGCTCTGTCACCCGCGGCCACTCTAAGCACTCGTGCGTCCGAGGCACCCCTCCCCACGAGCACCCCCGCCTCACGGCGGCGTGGACACGAGCCAAGCTCCCTGGCTCCGTCCCGGGTCCTGCAAGAGGCCGAAGCCGTGCAGCCGCGTCCCTCAGAGCTGCGGTGGCCCACACGGGGCCTCACCAGCAGCCTCTCAGTTGGCTCGGCTGACCACAGGCCGCCTCACTTCTCTGGATCGAGTCTCTTGTCCCACTGGCCAGCAGGGGTGCCAGGGGCTTTTCTGTCTATGTGTGCGACACAGGTTCTGCCCTGGGTCCCCTTTCTTGGGGATACCAGGGGCCCCCTGATGGGAGCACGACTGGCTGCCAGCCACCTGGTCCCCCAGCCTCCCCGGCCAGTGCTCCTGCCTCTGCCTCTGGACTCGCTGAGGACCCCAGGGGGACCTGTACCCCAGGACCCACACAGAGAGCGGCTCCCCAGCCCTGAAGGGCACCCTGCCTCTTGAGGCCGCCTCCATCGTCCACTCAGCCAGCGGGGCGTGGAGCCCGGCAGGGAGGCACCCGCGCGAGGAAGAGGTGCAGGGGCCCGGCAGTGGCACTGGCGCCAGAAGAGGCTCCTCGTGGTTGCCAGCTCCAGTGCCCAGGGACGCGGCTGCCGGGCCGCGTCCATCTGCGGTTGTACATTTTAATAAAGATTGGTAACTGCAGGTGTTGGGGTTTGGGGGAAAGCATGAATTTATACTTAAAACCATATAAAGAAGTAAGTGGATAAAGTGTGGCAAGAGAGGACACATCCACGATCCGTTTCACACGCTCTCCAGTAGCGGAGGGACCGCGCACTGGTCTGCCGGCCCTCACCGAGCAGACTGATGCTTCCTCAAGTTTCTCGGACACCTCGCTGCCCTAAGTCTCCGTCACTGCCACGCGTTCTCTTTGTCGGGGGGAAACAATTGGAAATGCCTGTATTCATTTTCATGGACACAGTGTGATGCTCAGTTCGGGGCGTCTGTGTGTGTGAGTCTGTGCTCGCTCTCTGGGTGCCCGATGGGGAGCTGGGGCCTGGTGCAGCACGAGCCCTCACTGGGTGCCCCAGTCCGGACCCCCGGTCAGGACCCCTCAGCCGGTGCCCCCAGCCGGCACCAGAGGAGGGCAGGGGCAGGGCAGCAGGCGTTACACTGAAGACGCTGAGCTAAAACTAAGCTGTTTTGTTGCACATGCACTGTCCTGAAGGAAGCTCTGAAAGCTGTCACGGCACAGGCCGGCATAACCCTAATGCGAATTCTGCGGCGCACAGGCTATAATTTACTTGTGAGTGGCCAGGGGTTCAGGGAAGGAACTTTTGTCCCCTTTTCTCAGTGAAGGCAGCAGTGCTTCCCTGGAGAGCCTCCGCCTGAGATGGTCCCTCCCTGACAGAAAAGGGCGCTGGGCAGCTGCACCTGAGACTGGACCCGCCCGCCTGGGGGAGCTGAGGCCGGTACCTTTGAATTCGATGGCGAAGCCCGACAGGCCCACGGAGGCGTCGCTGCGGAAGGCCAGGAACAGGCTGCTCCCGCTGCTCTCGAGCCGGTCGGGCGCCTGCGCGCCCTGGAAGCTGCCCACCAGGGGGCTGTTGGAGTCCTCGCCCTCGTACACGTGCAGGAAGTCGTAACTGGGCTCCATGCTGAAGCTGCGGGCGACACGCAGCTCATTCCGGCCCCTGGCGCAGGCCCGCAGCCAGAGCCCTGTGCGCGAGGCTGAGCAACCTGCGGGGCTGGGAGGCTGCAGCTCAGGACTCCCTGCAGGACAGGCCCCGGGAGAAGCGCAGCCACTTCAGCTCCGACACCAAACCCGCGGGGCACCGGGAGAGGCAGTACCTTTTGAAGATCAAGGCGATGACGAAGTCGGGGTTCACGCGGATGGTCCAGTCACACTCCTTCCCGGGAGGGTAGGGCTGAGGGTAGTTGGGGGACAGGATGACGCCTGACGGGCCGGTCAGGTTCCCACCACAGGCCGCTGCCAGGAGAGGGGAAGAGCAGGGACAGCATGTCATGGGCGCATCAGTGATACGCGTGGGCAGACGCAGAGCACTCGCCACGCAGTCCGCACAGCCGCAGACACGGCGTCCAGGACGCCTGAGCCCAGAGGACTGGCGCATCCTTACAGCGAGAGGACCTTCTCCCCGGCCTCGCCCAGCGCTCAGGATGGCTTTTGAAGGGCTGAGAAGTAAAATTCACTTCCTAAAATTTTAAAGTTTACTCAACTAACCTAAACAGATTACATCAATCCCCTTGCTATGCATGTGCACACACACACGTGCTATGCATGAGCACACACACGTGCACACTCACACGCACTGACACACACCAACACGCACCGGGCTTTTGGCAAATAAGATGAGGTGCCTGGCGTTCAGCTAGCAGGATGCATGCGTCTCTGCGCACACGGCCTTCCCGACTACCTAACTTTCCACACGAGGAAACAACAGAGCAGAGATTTGGGTCACAACCTCGGGCGTGTCTGAAGTCAGGCACCAGGAGGTCCCACAACCCCTCTCAGACACATACTCGGGGGCAGAGCCCCAACCCCAGCGCCCCTGGTTTCCATGCGTGTGGAGCCCATGGTCTCGGGGTCTCCCAGGACACAGCTGTAGGGATCAGGGGTCTGGTAGCCATGAGCAGAGCTGTGCAGATTTGGGGGGCCCGAGGAGGAGAAAGGGGTGCCTGAGGTTCTGAGGAGACTGTCCTGTCTTAAAGGTCGTGAAAGAGGAAAAGGGCAGGCGGGGGCCTGGCTGCTGGGGTGCTGTCTCAGGACTCGGGTGGGGTGTAGACACGGGAGGACAGGCCCCCAGTCTGCAGAGTGACAGAAAGATGAAGCCGTTTCCCCCTGCACACTCCTTTTCCTGTACCGCGCGCTTGTGTGTGGACAGCCTGTCTGGCACTTGCTGCGAGGTGTCTGCAGGGCTGTGGCAGGGCCTTGAGTGGATGCTCAGAGGGATGAGGTGGGAGCAGCTTTCTGGGCCGCGGCCTGGGCTGTTTAGTCAAAATGAGGTAGCAGGAGAAGCAGGTGCAGGCGAGACTGCAGGTGAGTTGGAAAGGTGGCAGATTCCACATTAAGTGTTTAGATCAGTGTAAACAGGTGTTATCTTGAAACAGCAGTTTCGCTTTTGAAGCCTTCCTCCACGATCCTAAAATCATGCAAAATGGGATAAAGTGCATTTTCTATTTAAAACTAGGCCAAGGGTTTTGGAGGATGGTTGCCATTTACAGGTGATCACGCCACCTAGACAGGGAAACGCGCTGAAGTCTCGCTGGTCTCCCGGTGACTCAGCTTGAAATCAAGTGCACGGCCGCTTGGCCAGACTGGGGGCGGGGCGGCCGGGGTTAGACGGGCGCGGGCCTCCGTCACCTCCAGGACACTGCTGAGGGCCTTGTGGTAAATCAAGAGCTGGCATCACAGCTGGCAGGGCGCTGCGGGCGTACGTGACAATAGGAAGGTTTCAAATCACAAAAGCCTCCAAGGTCACCCTACGCAAAATGGCCAGTCAGCCCGGAGGCCCTCTCGCTGTCCCCGGCTCTCTCACAGATTCCTTAAATGTTACCTTTTCAAACAGATGAGAAAGAAGTACAGACACTGACTGTGCGCTGAAAGAATCAAGCTTGGTCGTGTTTCTTTAGAAAAGTAAAGGGAAAACTGTAAACGGTTATTTCTGTTGAAGTGTTGTGGAATGAAAGGACAACTGTGCAATGATTATTTCATATAAAAATAAGGACGGCCACAGCGCCCTGTTTGTGGTGAGTCTCTTGGGCCACCAGAGTGTGCGAAGCCAGCGTCGCCCTCTCCACAAGGGCATTAAGTAAGAATCTAGCGAATTTCAGAAACAAGTGTCTCCTCTTATCGCCCACTGACACAAGCGGTGTGATTTCCCTTCGGCAGGATTCTATGTGCAATGTACTGAAATGACGGGAAAAGCACCTGAAAAGAGGAAGTACATTTCCGCGAGGGCTCTGCCTCGGGCCGTGTTTCTACTCCAACAGGAGGGGCTGGTGGGTGAGGCATTTGCAGCTGCCCAGAATTTTTAAATGACGGTGATTTTTAAATGACGGTAATTTGTAAAAGACGCCAGTATCTGAGTAACACTGTTACTGACGGGAAACGGGAGGTACAGTTGGTCACTGTGCTGAGTAAACGGCCTCCCCCACTTCACCCGACACCCCAGTCCCATCACTCGGCCGTGTCCCATCACTCGGCCGTGCTGCCTCGGAAAACTGGGCCTCTGAGGGAAGAGACAATGGATTCCCGGGCTTCCCGCGCGAGCCGCCCCACGCGGCTCTCCCCTGCAGCGGTACCTATGCACGTGGGGGGGTCCGGCTGCCAGAAGAAGCGGTTGTCCAGCTGCACACAGGTGATGGTGGCCTGTCCTTGCAGCTGGTAGCCGGGGTCGCACTGGAAGGCCACCGTGTCTCCCGGCTCCCTGCTGTCCCCGTAGCGGGTGCCGTTCTGCGGCGTGCCGGGGTCATTGCAGGTGGAGGCGACGGACGCTGCAGAGAGGACAGAGGCGGTCGGCGCCTGGTGCCCACCTCCGCGGCAGCCCCGCGACGGGCCTGTCTGATGGGTGAAGTGAGCCGTCTGTCCCACCGCACGTGGACACGTGTAAGAACTTCTTGCAGCCTCGCGCTGGCCCAGCCAACCCTGGGCTCAGCATGTTGGCTCCCAGGGACTACAGCGTGCCTCCGTGTCACACTTGGCAGCAGCCCGGCGTGCCCCGCGCCCCCACGGGCACAGTTTTAAGGCACCAAAGGTTGACCAGCCACGGAATGTCTTGGCCGCCCGCCACCTTCCCCCACCCCCCAGAGGGCTGTGGGCAGAAGGGCCGGAAGGCCGGGAATCCCTCTGGACGAGGGTGGGCACATGCCCAGCCTCCCAGTCCCTGGGGGCTGACCCACCCACAGCCCGCAGTCGGCCACTCGGCCGGGAACCTACTTGAGAACTGGATGGAGAAGCCGGACTTGCTGATGAAGAAGTCGCTGGAGAACTGCAGGGTGAGCGAGTTGAAGGTGCTGTGGACGTCCTCGGGCAGCGCCGAGCCGCTCCACTCCTTGAGCAGGATGTCGCTGTCCACCGGCCCGTCCCAGACCTTCAGGATGTCGTGGGCCGCCTCCGTGTCGAACACAATGAAGTGCAGGCTGCAGGGAGAGACAGGGTTGTGGGCCAGGGTGGCATGAGCCCTGGGGGCTACTGAGCCCCCCCACCAAGACCCAGGCTGCTTGCAGGGCACAGACCACCCAAGGGCGCCTGGAGGCCGTAGCAGCAGCGCCGGGGTCAAGGCTGCCATGGGCAGGGGGCAGGAGGCGGGGCTCCTGTGAGCTCAGGGGAGGGCGGGCCTCTAGGGGTGCGGCTCCGTGCCCTCAGCACCTTCCAGGGCTCGCAATGAGACACATATCTGCGCACTTTGCCCCCTTTCAGTCGCTTAACCAAGTGCTGGTTTGCAACGTGTTTAGGTGAGGGACACGCCAACGCAAGTGTGGGTACCGCGTCTGCACCCCCAAAGTCCCCGACCTCCACGGGCCTGGGCAGCTCTGCAGGGGTGGCTGCGCCCCTGCTGGTTCCTGGGCCCCGAGGGGTGGCATCTCGCCCGCCGCGCCCGGCACCCCAGCGTGGGCCCCTGAGGCCTGAACCCGGCATGGCGGACTGGCTAGTCCACTGCCTCTGCCCGGTCTGGCGGATCCAGGCAGCCTCTCGGGACATGGGCCCGACGCACGGGGTTTTCCTCGGAGGCCGTCCCTCCCACTTCATACACTACCTGGAACTGCGTGCCCACCTCCCCCTTGCCCACGTGTGTCCAGTCCACCCCACCTGACCCAAAGACGGACCTGCCGAGGCTGAAGACAGCAAGTCCAGCCCTGGACTCGGTGACGACGCACCCCTGAGCCTCCAGGCACCCACGGGGCCCTCCACAGTGGCTTTGTTCATGCCCAGCACGTGCTGCTCCGACAGAGAAGGGCAGACATGGCCGTGGAGGCGGTCCAGGGCCCACCTTCCTTCCAGCTCGAGGCCCAACTCCCCGCCGGCGGCCCTGCGGAGCGCCCAGTCTCTGACAAGTGACCCTTGTGCGCGCTTGCACCGCTCCCACGTTGCCTTTATAGCCGGCGTTTTCTTTTTTTAAGATTTATCTATTTATGCGCACAATAGCTGGGACCCAGGCCAGAGGCGCAGGGGGTGAGAGGGTCCACCAGGGACAGAGTGGGGAGCAGAACAGGCGGATCCACTGAGATCCACTGCTGAGGGGGGCAGCGGGGAGACAGGAGAGGTCTGCTGCGCCATGTGGGTAGCTCCCTGGCAGGCCAGGATGGAACCTGCGCTGCAGAGGCCACGGACAGCTCCACAGGCTGCGCCCAAGCTGCTGCGCCACCGGGGAGGCCCCTGTAACCGGTGTCTTCTGATATCCCCGCCTGCCGCTGCCTGGCCTGGTGGTGCCTTTGCGGAGTGCTCTGCCCGTGAGATGCTTTAATGCGCCCATCATCACGTTCAGGGCAAAATGCTCATGTTTGCTATGTTAGGAGACATTTCTCTTCTTCTTTTGTCGACCGTAAAAACATAAAAACATGGTTAAATCTCGTTTCCTAACCCTGTGTTGATAGCATCACAGGATGTGGTTCTCGGCTAACCAGTGGGAGAAGCCACAGCTCAGCCCCACCCCGCCACTCCTGTGCCCGTCCCTGACGGGCAGCAGCTCGCTGACCAGCCAGGCTCTCTGGACTGAAGATGTCCCCAGGACAAGGCCTGACAGTGCCCCTCAGAGGCCCGTCCTCACAGGCTCTCACTGCTGCGCATTGATGACGGCTGTGGGAAGGGCCTCTCCCGAGGCCGGGGTGCTCTCGCAGCATAGTCTCCAGGCCCCAGGGACTGCCCCAACTGTCAGTCGGCCCCACTCAGGCTGGGGCAGGCCCCCCTCAGGCACTGTCGCGCAGAGCTGACAGGCACACATCTGGGCCTGCTTTAGTCATGCTGCTGCAAGGCCGGCTGCGTGCCCCCATGATGAGGGACAGGTCCTATGCGCCCGCTCAGGGCCTTCCCAGGACCGCTGGGTGGCCACTCTCCACGTGGGAGCATCCATTTCTTTTCCTGTCCTTGCTGCTTCCACTGTGTCGGGTCCTTTTGGTGCTCGTGACACCTCAGCAGAGACTCCCACTGCATGCCCTGCCGCGCAGGACACGAGATGTGGCTTGTTCCTAGTACGGGATGTCTGGGTGTCCACGGGTATGAGGGCAGAAACATGCCAGCTCCAGCTGCAGATGTCTTTTAAATGAGCTTGATGACCGCATGGCGCGGGCTTCTGTAAACTCGCTCATCTGTCATTGGTAGGATCTGGGAATCACAACCGTGGAGGTGAGCTGTGGGCCGCCAGGGCCTCCCTCACCCAGCCTTCTCATCGTCCTCCCCTGTTTTGAGGGGATGGCTGTGCCCAGCCATCACGTGTTCCTGGATGTGCCACCCCAGAACTGCTGCGCATTGATGACGGCTACGGGAAGGGCCTCTCCTGAGGCGGGGCGCTCGCCCAGCACAGCCTCCAGGCCCCCAGGGTCTGCCCCGACCTCCAGTCGGCCCCACTCAGACCAGGGCAGGCCCCCCTCATGCACTGTCGCACAGAGCTGACCGGCACGCATCTGGGCCTGCTCGGAGCTTTAGTCATGCTGCTCAGGAGCGTCAGACCTATGTAAATGCAAAGTTCACATCTGTTAGCTCCAGGAATTAGGGTGAGAAGGGGAACCGCCACTTGCTATGAAAATCACCGCAGTATCATTTTACATGATTGTGCATTTAGCATTTGATAAAATTAAAACTAACCAAGGAAGGAAGAAAAACAGGAAATGAAGCACACGTCTAAATCGACGGTCGGGCATTCTGCCTGACGCACACGTGCGTTCCTGAGAATGTAAATCACCTGGTGATCAGGGAGAGAAATAGAGACTAGTACAGGGTTGCGCATCTTACATCTTCCAATTATTTTAAAATTGGATAAATGAATTTTAGGAATGTATCCAAAAGAATGAGATGTTCAAAGGAATTAGAAGCTCAGTAAATATAACACAGGGAGAAATCCATAAAGTATTGGTAAGTTAAAAGATAGAGAAAACACTATGCTTTTTATTTGCATAAATAATTTCACCCATTATTTCAAATAATCTGACTATAAATTTTGGGGATTTTTTTACAACTCTAGATGTTAAAATATAACATTTAAAAACGTATCATGAGATTTTCCTACAAGTAAATACACTCTGATATGGAGAAACCGTGAACACTGCGCCTCTGGGCCCGGGACAGGCCAGCGATGCCGTCGCCCCCACTGGTCATCAGCGTGCGGGCTGCCACTGCAGAAAGCAGGAAAAGGGCACAGGCCTAGACCAGGGGAACAGATCTCTCCTTACTGTGGATTCTGCACACACAGCATACGTACAATCCTCAACATCATAGGTTTACAAGTGAACTGACACCAGGGAAACAAAAAAGAGAATCCATTTTTCAGAGAGAAACCACAAGTCAATGTCCGACGCTATGCTACGCTACAGGGAGTCGCGTGACTCCAGACACGGTCACGTGGTGTCTCTGCGGAAACTAACACGCGTCCCTCAAAGCCACACGCAGCGTGCGGGTCCAGGCAACTACAGGGAGGGCGTGGGGCCGAGGGCCACGGCGCCCACACCAGCACTTAGGCGCCCTCGGCGGACGCAGAGAGGATGGTGGGGACAGGCGGGCGGCGGGACAGGCCCAGAGGCTGGCGCCGACTCATGGTCCCCGGTCCAGGACAAAGGCGGCGACGAGGGAAGACGGACTTCTCCACAAAGGCCGGCCGGTTTCCACCGTGGACGCGAATCCTCGGCTCCTCGCCAGGCCACAAGCGGGACGCCAGCCAGATGAGTGGGGACGCCCGTGTGGAAGGCACCAGTGTACTTCCCAGCTCGGGGCGAACGGGATTTCCTAGCCGGGGCGCAGAAGACACTGGGACCGACCCGGCAGGCGCTGTCCCTGAGACGCAGAGAGAAGCGCGTCCAAACGGGGACGGCTCATGGAGAGCAAGGGCCTGCGCGTAGCGACAGCTGCCATTACCGCGCTGAGGACCGACCCCGAGGGTGAGGATGCCAGCGCCCAACACGGGGCCGGCGGGTGCCGCCCCACCTGTGGGAGAGGCCAAAGCCCCAGGATACAAAGGGCGTCGCTACAAACCCCGGCACCAGGCTCGTCCCGAGGGAGGTGGCTGCTGGAAGGGGCGGCCTCGCGAGCAGGCACAGCAGGCAGGGCCGGGCCCGGCCGTCCGGCTCCGCCACCGGGCCGCAGGCGCACGGGGCGCACGCCAGGCACACTTCTAGCACCAGCGCAGCCAGAACTCGCGTGGATGCCCGGGGCAGCCGAGCCTGGGCCATGCCGAGAACCGCCTCCGGAGTCCAAGGAATCCTGCGATGCGGTGAGTCTCGGGCACACGAGGTGACAACCGCTTCCCGTGGAAAGACACCAGAGGTCACGGCCAGACAGGCTGGGCAGGGAAATCAGATCCGAGCGAGGCTCAGACCTCCAGATGAGGGCGTGTGACAAGACCCCTGCACCTGTCCCACCTCCCACAGGCAGGACGAGGTGCTGCTGAGTGTGTGGGCGCGAGCCCCCCTTTGCCTCAGGCGCCTGTGGTGGGCCTGTGGGCCGCGAGGCCAGGGCCTCCAGGAAAGCCGAGGAGGCCGTTGGCAGAGACGCCTGTCTCCCGTCAGACTAAGATGCAAAGACCGTTCCCTCCTGAGAACGTGGCGTCTCCACCTCTCACATCTGGGGGAGCCACGTCTGTTCCGTTGAAGCCAATGCTGACCTGCAGACAGCTACACCCATGCAGGCCGGCGGCCCGGGCGCCCACCCACACAGGCGGCCAGGGCGCGGCTGCCCTGGCGAGAAGCGCTGAGACAAGCCAGACCTCCCCAGGGAGTCAGGTAAGCGAAGGCCCCGCAGGCGGGGCTGTCACCAGGGCCGCCCAGAGGTGGCAGGGCCACGAGGGCGGGCAGCCTGGGCATGACCGTCACCTGGAACACCTCAGGACAGCGCGGCGGGCGCTCGTGTGAACCTGACGAAAGCGCTGAGCCAGCAGCTTTTACACGCTTGCATTTGCAGGAGAAACTAGCAACACAAACACCAGAGTTTAACTCCAGTTCTCCTGGGCGCCAGGGTTAGAGCAAACGACTTTCCAACACTGGTACTTCTCGGCAACACTCCTCAGGTGTCGCACCAAAGCGGGGAGAACTCGGAAGGCCCCACAAACACGCCTGCACGTATCCTCACGCGCTGCGCCGGTGGGCAAGGGAACCGGCCGCTGCCGCTCACAGAGCAGCGTCGAGACAGAACTGATGCCGCTGTCGGCCCCAGTCAGAGAGGGTCCGGGAACCTACTCAGACGCTAATCACACACGCGCTCACACGTCACAGGAGAGAGGACGCTGACCTGAGGCCCAGGGGCCGGCGTCTCCCCCTCCCCGGCTCCGCCCCGCCCGCGGCGCCAAGGCGTGGCTGTCCGACGTGTCCGTCACTCCTTTCAAAAGGCCCGTCTGTGAACGTCCAGTCACGTCAGATGAGCGTCGGGAGTGAAGAGGGCCAGGTGCTGGGGTGGTGCGAAGAGGCACACGGGGCTCGGGTCCAGGCCTGGGGAGCCAGTGCGGGAGGCGGCGGAGGTGCCAGTGCAGCCGCGCTCGTCGGGAGTGTGGGAGGGAAAGGGGAGCCCAGGGAAGCGGACGGGTTGCTGGGGCGGGTGTAGGAACAGGACGGGAACGGAGGTGAGGCAGGAGTCGGGGAGCAAAGCGGGGATGCGGGTAGCAGCCAGCGGGCAGGAGAGCCCGGCTCGGTGACTTCTGCTGTCATACGTCGCCCTCGCCCCGGCCAGGCCGCACCTCGGGCGGACACCAGGCTGAGCCACCCCCATGCCCGTCTGCGGGCCCAGCTTCGCCCTCTGTGCGTCACCCCTTCATGCCTCTCGGAGGCACGTTCTTGGCCTGCGCTCCGCCGTGTGCGGAGACCCCGCAGAGGCCCACGAGGTGACAGGGTGGGGCTGCTGTGCAGGTGCCAGAAATGACGGGAAAGCAGCAGCCGGCCGGCCACAGGCCTCACAGGCAGCAGGGAGGGCCCAGGGCCAGCGCCGGGCACCCAATCCCTCCCCAGCCAAGCGCCAGTCCTGGTCACCGCCCCTCGCTCCGGGGCGTGCCGGTGCCTTGAGATGGCTCCCCCTTTCTCTTCTCAAAGATGAGGGCGCTCCCTGCGGCCTCACAGGAAAGGGGCGACTTGGGGCGCTTATGCCTGCCAAGCCCGGGTGCGTGGGTCAGCCCGCCTGTCCTGGGATCTGCACGTCTGCTCAGAAGCAAACCGAAATATTTCTGGGCCTCTAAGCCGGGCTTGCTGCCTCCCTTGGTCGCAAGGCCCATGGCCAGCATCCCAGCCCCTCCTCGGAGCGGCGCCAGCTGACAGCCGCGACACGTTTCTGATGTCCTCATCCCGCAAGCGCTTTTCTAAGGGCGGTCTCAGGTGAAACTTCCTACCTACGAGCTATCAGGAGCGGAAAAACTTTCCAAGTGCGTTTTCCAGACAATTACACTTGCAGAAAAGCAATTAAAACACAGAACAAGACCCATGTTGCCGCAGGCGGCGCTACCCATGCTGTCTCTTGACAAGGTCCGGGCACTGGGGGAGACTCCCGGGAAGAGGGGAGTTCTGCACTTCCCAGAAGACCTGAACTAGGGAGTTTCCTCAGCAACGCCTGCTCATGCTCTTCTGCTTGTTCTTGGTTAATGCGAAAGTAAGTTAGTTATAAATTGGCTTGTGAAAACCTCAATCGGGCCAAGGCGTTAATTGGCCTGTTGCTCTTACGCGTGAACTACTACAAAAGAAAGTAAAATTGCTAAAGCGTAGCCAGGAAAGAAATGTTTCGGCCCTGAGAACTATGGAGAACAAGCTGCCCTGACCAGCTGTGCTTGGAAACCATGGCCTACCCCAGGGGGAACGAGTTTGCGGCGGCAGGACGCTTCCTGGGATATGCAAAAGGTCAACAGTTTGCAGGCCGTGTGGGGGTTCGGTATTTCCAGTTAAGAGCTAGACTTCCGTAGGATTAAAATAGACTCGATGAGTTACCTTAGGCCACTTTGAAGTCATTGATAGATTAGCTGGATTACGTGTGTGCTGGGGAGATAGGCTGATTTTAGCGACAGCATATAGGGTAGGACTTCCACGCCCGCTGCAAAATTAGGAAAGTTTAATAGGGTGATTGTTACCGACTACTGGGCTGTCTTAGGTGATTGATCACGATGGCAAATCAGTTGCGGTTGCACTAAGAAAACTAATTGTCGCTGATGTTTTCCTTAAGGGGATCAAAGAAGTGCCCTTTCGGCAGGACCCCAGGAGGGTCTATGTTCATGAGAAAATAAGTAATGATTGTCTGTTTTGCTTCAGTGCTTACGGTGATGTCATCTCACCGCTCGCCGTAATGTATAAAGACCCGCCGAGACCCTCAGCAGGACATACTTGCACCTCATCAAGCGTCAGTGTCTCCTCACTGCCTCATCTCCCCCCTCCCCTCAGCCCTCAGTTTTCACCGACGCTGTCTCCTCCTTTCAGGGACTCCTGACACGACTTTCTGCTGAAATGGGCCTCCAGCACCGCGCACAGCCGCGTGAGGGCAGCACTGGCGCCACCTGCCGGGAGCTGGCCACGCAGTCGCCCCTGTGCCGGCTCTGGCCCGTCCCTCGGGAAATGCGCACACGCCGCTCTTCGTGTGGCTGAGTCTACTGCACGCCGTGACGTCGCTCTTTGTCAAGTCCAGCTCAGCTGCTTGAACAGCACGTGCTAGGACAGCCCTGTCCAGACCCCAGCGCCTGGGGCTGTGTCCTGCCTCGAGCAGAAAGTGGTCTGTGCTCAGCCTGCTCGGGGCTCAGAGGGCCTCCGGCCCAGGCGCCGCCCGCACAGGGCTGTCAGCGGAGGACGTGCACGCAGGGATTCCAGGCGCCCCGGCCGCTGAGAACTGTCCTCCCCACCAGCCGCTGGAGGAACACGACAGTCCCCGCTGTCCGCCCAGGCTCTTGCCTGAGAGGCTGGGAGCCGCAGGCCTGTGCCCCAGGACAGAACCCCCAGGCTGCAGCCCCTCGTGTGTCGGGGGCAGAGATGCTTTAAGGAACTAAGTTCTGGGGCCATCCATGACCCGCCCACCTTTGCAGGTCGCGGGGCCCAGGCGCGCGGTACCTGATGGTCCTCCCCGGGTCGGCCTCCAGCACCCACGTGCAGTGCAGGTTGTTGTCGTAGGGGGCCGGGTAGCCCGGAGACAAGATGCGCCCCGAGGTGGCTGCGTGGACCTGGCCCCCACACTCCGCTGCAAGAGACAGGGAGCCGGTTACTCGGGGCGCTCCTGGGGCCCCCTGAACACCCACCCACGAAAGCCAGCTCAGCAGCGCCGTCTCCCAGGCCCGCGACGTTTCTTCCTTGCAGGGAGACCCCGGCCTCCCGCCCGGGGACGCGCGGGGGCCAAGCCTGCTCTGCTCTCACCACAGCCCCGCAGGGCGCCCGCCTCACGCCCGGCCGCAGGCGGACGGCGGGCCGGGACCCCGCGGCGGGCGAGCAGACCCCACCCCGCGCGGCCCGCCCGGGACGCACCCACGCAGGAGGGCAGCGGCCGGTCCCACACCCTGCGGTGGCCGCCCAGGCAGGTGAGCGTGGCGCTGCCGTGCAGGGCGTAGCCGGGGCTGCAGCTGTACACGACCGCCGTGTCCGCGAAGTGGCCGTCGTCGCGGATCCGGTAGCTGTAGCTGGGGGTCCCGGGATCCTCGCACTTCACGAGGTCAAAGCCTGCGGGGCAGAGGCGGAGGGGAGCTTGGGGGCCGGGGCCGGGGAGGGAGGGAGCCCGACCGGGAACGCGGCCACCGCCACGGGGCCCGCCCGCCGCCGCCGCTCCCTAGGCAGGGGGCGCCTCCCCGAGACCCGCGGCCCGGGACCGCCTTGTGTGGCCGGCGCAGCCCGCCCCCGCCCCCCGCCCGCCCCCGGCCCTGCGGCCGCCCCGGCCTCGCCAAGACCCGCGGCCCGGGGTGGGGGGGGCTGCGGCGGGGCCGCCTGGAGCAGCTCCGAGGCGAAGGGCCGCCCGCTCGCCCCGCCGCCCGCGGGCCACGTCCCGGGGCTGCACCCCGCACCCCGCCTCGGCGCCGCGAGGGCGGACGCGAGCCGCGAGGCGACGCCGAAGCACCGGCGGGCCCGGCCGCCCTGCCCGCGCGAGGCGGGAGCCCGGGGCCCTCGGCGCGCGAGGCCGGGGGAGCCTGACCGGCAGGCCCCGGGGACGGTCCCGCCCGCCTCCCGCGCTGCGGCGGCCCCGCTCGGGAGGCGGCCCGCGGCGGGCGGGCGCAGCCCGGGTCGGGTCGCGGGGCCCCGGGGTCTGGACGCGCCGGCCGGCGGGGCTCGGCTGCCCGCGTGGGGGGCGGGGACCCCGGGGCGCCGCGCATGGACGCCGGCCGGGCCCGACCCTGCCCGGGCCTCCGGGCGCGCCGGAGCGGCGGGAGCGGCGTCTCCCTGAGCGAAGCGCCCTCCTGGCAGGCCGGAGCCGCGTCTCCCGCAGGACCCGCGCACCCTGACTTATATCCTGGCTCAGGGAGCCCCGCCCACCAGCCTCATTGGACCATTTTTCAATTTCGTGGCTGATTGGACCATTTACCCATCAGCCCATAGCATCTGATTGGTCCATTCCACAGTCCCGGACGTGCACTTTACATAAAAGGTTTCTGAGGCTCAACTGCGGTGAGAGGCCGGTCCTGGCAGCAAAAATCTGATTGGACCATTGAGCACCAATCAGCTCATAGCTTCCCCCCTGATTGGTCCATTCCACCATCCCGGAAGTCCACCGCTCCATAAAGGGTCTGTGGGGCGCACCTGCCACAACCGACTCGCGGTGGCGCCGGCCGCGGCGGTTCCAGCAGCCGAGGAGCCGCCTCAGCCCCACGCGTCCGAGCCCTCCCGGGAAACAGCCCTTCAGTGCCGGCGCCCCTCCCCTGGGCTCTGAGCCGCGCAGCGGGGGCGGCGGGGGGGGGGCAGACCCCGCCCGGGAGGGAGGCCCCGTCGGGAGCAGCGCCCGCTCCTGAGGCTCGGGGCTCCCCAAGAAGCCCCAGGGTCTGAGCGCAGATTCGCGGGGCGGGGCGGGGCAGTGCCGGCCTCCCCGAAGCCTCCCTGTCTGCCTGCGGCGGCCCGGGCCTCCCCGGCCAGCCCCCGTGACCCCCGGAGCCCCGCCGCCCAGGCCTCCCCGCCACCCTGGTGACCCCAGAGCCCGGCCGCCCAGGCCTCCCCGGCCACCCCTGTGACCCCCGAGCCCGGCCGCCCAGGCCTCCCCGGCCACCCCCGTGACCCCCCGAGCCCAGCCGCCCAGGCCTCCCCGGCCACCCCCGTGACCCCCCGAGCCCGGCCGCCCAGGCCTCCCCGGCCACCCCCGTGACCCCCGAGCCCCGCCGCCCAGGCCTCCCCGGCCACCCCTGTGACCCCCCGAGCCCGGCCGCCCAGGCCTCCCCGGCCACCCTGGTGACCCCCGAGCCCGGCCGCCCAGGCCTCCCCGGCCACCCCTGTGACCCCCAAGCCCAGCCGCCCAGGCCTCCCCGGCCACCCTGGTGACCCCCGAGCCCAGCCGCCCAGGCCTCCCCGGCCACCCCTGTGACCCCCGAGCCCGGCCGCCCAGGCCTCCCCGGCCACCCCTGTGACCCCCCGAGCCCGGCCGCCCAGGCCTCCCCGGCCACCCTGGTGACCCCCCGAGCCCGGCCGCCCAGGCCTCCCCGGCCACCCCTGTGACCCCCAAGCCCAGCCGCCCAGGCCTCCCCGGCCACCCTGGTGACCCCCGAGCCCAGCCGCCCAGGCCTCCCCGGCCACCCCTGTGACCCCCCGAGCCCGGCCGCCCAGGCCTCCCCGGCCACCCCTGTGACCCCCCGAGCCCGGCCGCCCAGGCCTCCCCGGCCACCCTGGTGACCCCGAGCCCGGCCGCCCGGGCCTGCAGAGAGCATGCAGGAGGACAAACAGCAGGTGCAGATGCTGCGGTCTGAGGGCAGCCGGTCACGGTGGGCGAAAGGAGCGTGGAAAGAAGCGCGGGACCCGCGAATCTGGGGAAGGCAGAACGCGGCTCCCAGGGGCTCACTCCAGGCCACGCTCGCCTGCAGCACACACACCTGTCCGGCACCCCCGGGCTCGGGCCCTGCACAGAGTCCTGTGAGCAGGAGCCGCCGCTTAGGGACACTGACCTCACGAGTCAGCTCCCCGGCTTGGACACCCCTGACGCACCCCGAGACCCAAGAACACACCACGCCACAGTTCGTGCAGGAAGGAGCATCTTCTCCGGCCCCAAAGCCGGCACGGAAACCTTTCTGGAGATGGAAGGGGCATTAAACACCAAGCAAGGAACAGAGAAGCACCCGCCACGAGGCCTGCGGCGCGTCGCTGTCTGCCAAGAGAGAGTCCGCTCCTTGCCTCGCGCCTCACCCAGCCGGGAGCGCCAGCCCGTCCCATGGCCTGACTGGAGACGCGAGCTCGCCCCGGGCTCTCCTCTCCCAGGCTTCCGTTCTCTACGGGTCACGTAACTCCCTCTCGGTGTCGCCAAGCCCCACGCCGCGCAGGAAGCCCGAGCCTCAGCCCCACCAGAGCCACATGGCAAACAGCCCCTGCCCGTCCGAGAGCGGAGCAGCATCTGGACGCTCCAGGATCCGGGCGTCCAGTGTCCAGCCCACCGTCGCGCCCTCTTCGCTCACAGGTCCCCCGGGCTCAGGAACTGTCGCCGCTCCAGGCGGACGCACCAGCTGAGGCGCTGCGGACGGGGTGATGAGCCTCTTGGGGGCTCCGAGGGCCTGGCCCGGGCCTCCCCAGACGGCTCGCACGGCAGACCCTCCCTCCGCGGCCCCTCGGGGGTCACACGAGCCACCTTCTGAGAGTTCCCGCGTTTGCTCCGTCCCAGCCGACGTGGTGGCAGAATCCCGGGAGGCTCTGACGCTCGAGCTGACTCTGAGTCTGCTGTGGGAGGGCATCTGCCTGCGCTCTGATCAAAATACCTCAGAAATAGTTAGGATTTTCTGTTTAGATCTGCAAAGACATTCCTCCCAAGTAGAGGTACTTTGTTTTCACGAGAACCTGGAAGACTTTAGAAGCATCGGTGTTAGGGAGATCAAGAGTTATGACTGAAAATAGAAATATCCCTTTCTCTCTCAAGTCTGTAAGAAGTCAGTGTTCAGAGGGTGATTCTGTGTTTTCTTTATGTTGTTAGAGCTTTTAAAAAGATTAAATCAAGTTATTTGTGTCCAAACTATTAAGAGTTGCAACTGTGGTTTGAATCTATTCAGTAATTCAATTCCTCTCTGTCTCCAGCACTTTCTTAAGACACACACTCGGAGACGCAGTGGGAAAACTTCCCGGCCAAAACAGGCTCCGGGCCTCCGGCGGATGAGAACCGCTACGTGGGGCTCCCGCAGTGACGACAGCCTCGCTACCTGAGGATTAGATTCTGTGTCTCCTCAATCTCTGACCACGCGTCGGCGGTCATGGCTCCCACTCCAGCCCCAGCACCTGGCGGGCCCCGGGCGAGGCCCCAGGAGGGTACGCAGGTCCCCCTGAGCCCACGGGAGGGGGCCTGGCCCCGCCAGCCCTGCCAGCCCCCTCCACGGAGGACGTGACTGGAGAGGCCTTGCCGGCTCGCACCTGAGGGCACCCGAGAAGGGCTACATGAAGCTTGGGATGTTTCTGGAAACCTATCGGCTCGTCCTTCCCCTGACATCTTTGATGCGGAGAACACACTGCTCTGGCAGCCATCTCTCCGGTCATCAGCGGAAGTTGCCGCGTGTGGAAATGCCCCAAACAAAAAATGCTTCCCACGCCCGCTCAGTGGACAGGAGGCGGCACCACACCGACACGTTCTTTCTCGTTCATTCTCTTGATGACGCCTCCGTGACGAGGGGGCTCGGGGAGGACTCGTGCGGCCGGCGTCGGCTCACGGGGCTCAGAGCTCGCCGGCTGGGATCTCCCGGGATGGCCGCGGGCTCTGGCTTCAGACAGAGCTCCTCTGCCTTGGGAATGAAACGTGGGTGAAGTGCGTGTGACTTTTAAGTTATTTTCTGTTAGATTATGCGTCAACGTTGTTTGTAAGCCGGCACTGGTCTCCGGCCGGTGCTTCGCCAGCTTGTCCCTGTGTAACTCCTTGTCCCGTGTGCTTCTGCTGTCCCCTGTGACCCCGAGACCCCGCGGTCCAAGGGCTCGGATCGTGTCACACGAGAAGCCCCGAGCGGCAGAGGGAAATCCAGAAGCAGCCACGGGGCACAGGCGGACAGAACTCACGGAGCCACCACAGCCCGGGCCGGGAGTCAAACCCGTTTTAAACGCGACGCGTGATCCCTGCGCACACGCTCATGCTCCGCCTGTGATGGCCCGGCAGGCAGAGGGGGTGGCCCTGGGGGCCACGGAAATAGGGAGAACACTGGGCTGAGGCCCCCAAAATCCCCGGTTGGGGGGCCCGGTGTCCCGGGCAGAGCTGTTTCCAGGAGCTTCTGTGTCTCGCGGGAGCTCTGTTCTAAGCACGTGGGGGCAGGTGAGGGGGCTGGAGCCCGAGGGCTCCCTGCCTGCCTGAGTGGACACGGCCTGGGGGGAGGGCCGGGGAGGGCAGGCTGCACGGGGGCGCAGACGGGCATGTGCGGCGCTCGGGCAGTGCGGGTGCAGCTGCAGCAGGAGGGAGAAGCAGGAGGACGGGGGGTGGAGGTGAGCGTGACCCCGAGGAGGGCATGGCGAGCGGATACGCTGGGCCTGGAAGCGTGGACAGTCCCGCTCAGGCGTGGACGGGGCTTTTTTCAGTTACAGGATCCAGAATGCCCTGGCCCGTGCCAGAGGAGCCACGACAGAGACATGACCGTGACCGGCTCCCTCCAGCCCCACGGGGCTGCACCCCAGACCCCGCCCGCCCCAGAATGACCCTCCCGGAAGCTCCGGGCCTGCCGGCGCTCTCACCGCGGTCACTGCTCTTATCGCCCCAGGAGAACGGAAAGGAGGCGTCCTGGCTCGCCCTAGAATGTTTGTTTTACTGCGTTTGGTGAAGCCTCTGTGCACCGTCATGTTCTCAGTCTCCAGCCGCACGCTCGAGTTTGAGCCTGGCCCCTCAGTTACCGACGTCGCCTTCTCTGGGCTCGGTGCCTCCAAGTACCAGTGGCCAGCAGTCCAGCCATTGGTCGGAAAAGCTGGACACAGCCGTGTGGAACAGTTATCCACCATCACAAAGTAGAACAGCTAATTGCAAAATTAAAAGGACTTATTCACAAAACTGGGCCTCGGGGAAATCACGCCGCACTGCAGAGGGCTCCCCGGCCTTGGCACCTGGGTGAGGGGCAGCCTCTCCGCCTGCTGCGGGCGGGCGTCCCCGGCTCCAGGGCTGCGGCAGTCTCTGCGGTGCTCCGGGACGGGACTCCCGCAAAGGCTCGCCAACCGCTCAGCGAGTCCACGGTGCCGATATGGCCCTGGCTCTCGGCTCCGTCCACGTGACAGGCGGTGGCTGGTCAGACTGTGTGGACGCCAAGGCCCTCATGGTCACCCTGTGGCCAGGCCCCTCTTGCAGCAGCTTGGTGTGGGCGGCCCCTGGGCTCTGAAGGTGGGGCTGGCTTTACTGCAATGGCAGGAACCTCACTTCGCCGGGGTGTCTCCGAGTCTCCAACGTCCCGGGCGAGCACCCGGCAGCTCAGCTGTGTCTTGTCATGCCCTGGGGCTAGACCAGGGGGCTGCCACTCTTGGTGTCCACGGTGCTAAAGCAGATGCCACGAGGCGACTAGCACCCTCTGGCGGCTGCCCAGCTGCTGCCCCCTGGGGCTGGTGGGTGCCTTTGTCCCTCCCGGGAGCCGGTGCAGCTCCTTCCCGCCTGCCCGTCTGGGCACTGCGGGGACGTGTCCATGTGTCCTCCGCACAGGCGGGGCAAGGCGCCCACACAAGCACCCAGGTCCAGTCCCACCCAGGCCTCCAGCTCCACGACCCTCGGGAACAGGGAGGAGAGGCAGCCCTGGCTGGGCCTGAATTCTGAAGTCCTTTTATTCTGGTCCTTTTTTTAGAAAATGTTCTTAAAGTGTATTCAATAAATATTTATTATGCACCTGCTATCAGACAGACATAGATATTTTCCCCATAATGGCTCCTGTGTCTGACTGACAGCTCTGAGCTTATTCCAGAGTCAAGACAGGAGCTGGGGACAATTCTGATGGCCTCAGAGTTCCCGGTGGGGGTTTCAGTCCTGCTGAATGAGGAGACACTTGCAGACAGAGCGGAGCCGTCTGGGTTCTGGGGGTGGGGGGGCGGTGGCTCGCCACTTGTTGGTTCCGGGAGGCTGGTGAGACTCAGGCCAACACAGCCGAGGTCCACGCACATTCCGGGGAGGGCCAGGTGGGCTGGGCAGGCGCCCCGTGGGCAGAGGCAGGTGCCCACAAGCCCCTGTTCACGTTGCCAAGCCACATGCTCTGGGAGAGGCTCAGTCACACCCCCAGTCAGCACCCTGCGCCGGGAGCGCCCCCACGGCCGGCACAGGAGGGAGGCAGGGTGGGGCTTCCCTTCCAGGGCCAGCCTGTACCTCGCTCCCGCCGGGGGCTCAGCCGAGGTCTGTAGTCCAGTGTCAGCACACACGAGCCTCAGGCCCAGCAGGAGTGTCGCCTGGAACGGGGTCCCCACACACAGAAGGCGAGACGGCGGGCGCCCAAAGGCGCGACCCCTGGCGGCTTCGAGGCCATGGAAGGGGAGTGTCAGAGAAGCAGCCTCTGCTTTGAAGACACACCGAGGAGCTGTCGGCCGGGCCCGCGCTCAGATGGCGGTGCTGGAGGGCACGGGGGCGGGAGGGGGGAAGGTGGGTGCAGGCACCTGTCCCCCCGGACGCCACGGGCGCTCGCCGAGCCTCATTTCTACTCTGGTCACGTGCCCCGACTGGCTCGTGCGTGCAGATTAATTAGGGTCTGAAAGCCTGAAATATCAGTTTCCCTAAGCAACGCAATTAACGAGCAAGAGGCAATTACGAAAGTCTTTTGAAAATAGTCGGAAGTGCCTTTTCATAGCCTCACGCGCTAGAAATTTTCTCCAAGCGATTTAAAACCATTTATTTCCAAAGCATCTTCTAGGGATGACTGTTTGAATCAGGTGTCTGATCCCACTGTAGGAGTCTGGGGTTTCGTAGACTTAATTACTTGGTGTTTAATCTAGGAATTTAGTCTGTGGTTAATCATATTTTGATTTCAGAGCTATTGGCACCGTCACCGCTTCATCATGACCGGAGCCCTTTCCGAACTGGCAGGACCTCGGCCCGAGGGACGCCTCCCCGGCCAGCCCTGGCCCAGGGGCCGCGAGTGGGACAAGAGGCCCGGACACCTCCCCCCCGCCCCAGGATGGGCTCGCCCGAGGAGCTAAACGGCCGTCAGTCACCGCCAATACGACTTTCTGCTGTTTCCAGAGTCTACGCTGCTACGTGATCACAGCTGGACAGCGCCCATGACACACCCACAGATCCCACTCTCCGGAAGTTACTCGGAGGAAGGGCGGGGCGGCTGGGCTGGACGCCACGGGGAAACTGAGTCACAACAGCCGCAGGAGGAACCAAGACCCCACAGAAGGTCAGCAGCCCGGGCCCGACTCCCGACACGCCGACCGGAACAAAGAGAGGAACCAGGATCCTAAAGGCCGGGTCTCCGCCCGGAGAGATGCCGCTCTGGGGCCTTCCAGAAGCTTCTGCACAGTGAGCGCGAGGACCCAAAGCTCAGACACCACGAGTCATCCTGGCTGGACGTAGCTGGAGGGCGATGGCAGCCGTCGCCAGGGCGGGACGTGGCGAGAGATGAAGGTGGCGTGGGCCCCCTGGGGAGGCGCTGGCTGAGGGCCCAGACGTGCGTGGGGCGCAGCCGGGGCAGGGAGTGGGTTAGGCGCATGGACCCGGGGGCATGGCTGCCAGGAGAGCCAGGACTGCAGGGCCCGGGAGCGGCCAGCGGCCTGGGACTGTGCTCAGCATGAGGGGGCGTCACCAGGGGCCCGGGAGACACTCGTGGGGGCAGGCGGGGACAGCCGCGTGGGGGCCCCGGGCCCCCTGAAGCCCCTTCCACAGGGAGAAGCTCTGGAAAGCGGCATCACGGTGGAGAACAGACTTCCGGCGCCAGTTCTGCTCAGTTACTTCGCACGTGGCGTAATCTTCCTGCTCTCCACTTTCAGAATCTCTTCAAAGTGACGTGAAAATGAAACTTTGCTGGGAGTTGCCGGCTACACTTGACCGTGGGGCGCTGGGCTGAGGCGGCCTGTCTCTGCGTCCTTGCCCGTGTGCGATGAGTCGGCCTCCACGGTCACTCGCGCTCGTGGGCCAGCGCGCGAAGCCCCAGTGCCCCGAGCCACGCGTCTGTGCCGTGAAGACTCCCACGGCCGGCCCGGTGAAAGGCTGATGTTTCCTGATCGTCCACGCTTCTCCGTTCACTGCCGTCCACGTAATGTGCTGTCCACCCACCCGGCCACTCACCGGCTGTCCACGTAACGTGCTGTCACCCTCCCAGCTGCTCATCTGACTCTGTTCATTACCAAAATGCTCGTGTGACAGCTGCCATATCTGAAAACACACGTTTCTTCTCCTTGGCCTTTACCTTCCTTAGCTGTCTTCGAGTTCACCTTCAAGTGAGCACGTTTCCTGGAGAGCCTGGCTCCACACCGCTGCGCCCCCAGTCGAGTGAACCCTGACTCCATGCCGCCGCACCCCCAGTCTTGGGTGAACCCCGACTCTGCGCCGCTGTACCCAGTCTCAGAGGAGCCCCGGCTCACGCCACCATGCCCAGTCTCGGGTGAACCCCGACTCCACAGCGCCCACACCCAGTCTCTGGGGAGGCCTGGTCCACGCCGCCGCGCCGGTCCTGGGCACATGGTGCATTTAGTTGTCCGGGAAATCCCTGTGACAAGGACCCTCCCACCCGGGCAGAAATCTGAGTGGACATGTGTGTGCAAACGCTTATCCCCCTGATGCGGTCAAGTGTGCATGTGATGCGCCCTCTGGTCTGACACGCGGCGGTGTGGACAGCCAGCGGGCGACACAGGGCAGACAGGCGGGGGGGCACCTGTGGCGTGGTGCGAGGTGGCCATCCAGAGACCATGGCGGTGGCCCCGCTGGGCATTCCAGAGCTCTCCTCTATAAGCCTGCGCGCATTTGCCTTGGTTCTGTCACAGTCGGCATTTTTAAGTCCGGAAGGTCTTCCACACACATTTTTCTTTCCAGGCATAGCCACTTCCCCGTGGACGCAGAAATAGCCCAGGAGCTGGCGCCCTGCGGCCGCAACAGGGGTGGGGGGTTGGGGGGCACTTACTGGTGTAGGTGAGCTGGAAGCCCTGGCGGGTGTCGGAGCCGTCAGAGTCGAACTCCAGCCACAGGTGGTTGGACGTGCTGTTGAGGACCCGGCCCTCGAGCTCGCTGCCGGTGAAGGCGCCCAGGGGCCGCGAGGCACTGTCCTTGCCGTCATAGACCTGGGGGAGAGGACCCCGCGTGAGCCGGCACGGGACTGGCGTCACCGTCACCCTAACAAGGAACTTGATCTTCCAAGACAGAACTTTGCACTAAATGGTCCCCAAGTTACAGAAAGCGGGGCACACTTTTGTGGAAGTTCCGCCTGAACACCCCTTCATGCTGCAGCTGCGGCTTGAGAGCCCACCGCTGGCCCAACAGGTGAGCTGGTCAGAGCCACGCCTGAAGGGTCTGCTCGCGGGGAGCGTGCCCTCGTCTGGCCTCTCCGGGGCCCCTGTTCTTGTCACCCCACAAGGCCCCGGAGATGCGGTCGGAGTGGGCCTTGCCTGGAGTCGGCCTGGATGCGCCTGCTCAGGGCTGACGGGCTTTGAGCTGGAAGGGACTGGCAGTGCCCTGGCGAGCGGCTGTGTCGCACCCACCCCGAACTCAGAGGGCAGCAGCGCTCTGGGAGCGTGGGCCTGACGCACACCTGGGGTGACCGGGCCCCACACCATGTTGCCCTGCTTCCCTGGTGCAGGCTGGCGGGGCCTGAACGCTGGCAGTGGGCCCCGGGGCTGGGAAGCCCACAGTGCAGGGCGCGCGGAGGCAGCAGGCCAGCTGAGGTGCCATGGAGCTGCGGGGCGAGGGCCTCTCCCAGCTCCACAGGAGCTAAGCCCCAGGGCTGAGTCCAGCCTGCTCACCCCGCCAGCCCCCGGCCGCTCCTGGCGCCACCAGCAGGGCGGAGATTCTCTTAACTTGGCTTTTCCACAAGCGGCAGGAAGCACCGCGTGCCCGGGGAGGCCCACCACGCGGCCTCTTTCTGGCCACACCACGTGGGGGCGGCCGAGGGACATGCTGCCACTGAGGGTTTCTCGCGCTGAGATGCTGATCAGCACCCTCACTGACACGCGTGTCAGGACAGACGTTCCCGGGACGGCGGCTCCTTCGCAGCTGCCCGTGGCAGCCAGGCCTTCGCCTTTTTGTTATGATCGACACCTGGCGCTGCGGCCATCGTGGAAGGGAGTCCTGCTCCCTCCAGCCAGCGGCATCTGTCAGGCCTGCTCAGCGCAGTCGCCCACCGCTCACCCGCACCGATGGGCGCGCACCCTGGAGAGTCTGCTGCAGACCTGCTGCGTCTAGAGCTGAGGCCATTCACGTGGCACGGGACACGACACTCACCCGCAGGCCCCGACACTCCCGTGCTTGTGGCTCCCCAAGGGGCCCAGGGCGGGGCCATGTCATGTAGGGGGAGGTAAGCAGACGCCTTGGAACTGTGGGAAGGGGGCAGGAAGCCGAGTCCCAGTCTTGGCCCTGGGCCTGGACATGGTGCCCACTCACGCTGGGACCAGCATTCTCTGCGCTCAAACCCCCCTCCATGTGCTGAGAGGACCTGCGAGGACGCCACGTGTAGCCTTGCGATCTGGGGAATTCCCAGTTGGAGCTGGGGTTATATAAATTGAGGTGAGGCCTAGGAGCCCCTACACCTGCCTCCTGTCTTTCCTCTGGGGCCATGCATAATGTGGGTGGTGGGTGGGCTGGGTCCTGAACCCCCAAGCTGGGGCGTCCCTCCTGGCGCTGGCTCTTGGTGACCTCTAAGGCACAGAACCTCCCCCTTCTGCATGGGAGGCCACAGCAGGACACCATGTCCCGGGCTTCTTCTGAGAGCCAGACCGTGTCCAGGGCCACCCCCATCCGCCACGCGGCCCTGCGTGGTCACTCGCACCATGACCGTGGGGGGGGGGCAGGTTTTCTGTGAGCCGCTCTGTGCGGACAGGCCCCAGGCCTGGCCCCGTGTGTTCTGCCACTGAGTCCTCAAGGCAGCCCGGGGGCTGTCTCGTGGCGCGTCCAGGTGTGGACTGGGGGGCGCGGCGTCGCGCTTTGTCCAGGACGGCTGCAGGGGCGGGGGGTGCAGGCGGTGGCTGAGCCTGGGCAAGCCCGGGCGTCCGTACCTTGAGGACGTCACCGTGGAACAGCTGGAAGGTCGGGGCCCGCAGCCGCACGCCCTTGCCGGGCTCTGTCTCGACGCTGTAGACGCACTCGTGGTTGTTGTCGTAGTTGGCCGGGAAGTTGGGGGACAGCAGCGTGCCTTCGTTTCCCCGGACGCTCGCGCCGCACTCCGCTGGGGTAAACGGGACAGTGAGAAAAGAGGGTTCAGAAGGGGAACCACTGACGTGACGGGGCGCAGCTTCAGGCCAGGGCGGCCTCTCTGTGACGCGCAGCTGACCATCCAGTCTGACTGATCACCCACGGGACGGGAGTGCTCCCCACGCGCCCGCTGCCGAGCCGCCTCGGTCCTCTAGGAGAAGGCCCAGACCCCGGACGCCCGCGGCCTCAGCGCACCCGCCTCGCAGGACGCCCGCCAGCCCCCAGCTGTTCCCGCGTCTGCCGGCTCCGAGCGGCCCCTGGGGGTGGGGGCGGGGCAGCCGGGCGGGGGCCACCGCTCCTGCACACTCACTTCGCATGAACAGCCTGTGACCAGGGTGAGACAGAAAACCCGGGTGTGTGCACCCGTGTGTGCCTGCGCTTGGGTGTGCAGGCGTGTGCACCTGCGTGTGTCACTAAATGCCATGTCCTTTCCTTCTTCAGACCGATCAAAACACGCATGCACTGCTCAATAAAAAGCAAAACCCTCCCAGACACGGGGAGGGCGCCCGGGCAGCAGAAGAGGGGTCTGCGCCCCAGTGGGACCACCCAGCCTGGCCCTCGCCCGGCCCCTCCGCGGCGTGGTGATTCGTCCGGACATTGCTCAGGGCGGCAGTGAAACCCCGAGGCCCGAGAGACCCAGCGCAGAAGCACCTGCTTCCCTGATTTGTTTCATCTTTCATGGCTTCGGAGTCCTGTTCTCACAACCGCCCGCCTGCGCTGGGGCAGCAGCCGAGAGCCTGGGCTGCCTCCTGGCCCCAGGCTCCATCGTGTGACCGCGGGGCTCAGCCGGCTCTTGGCGGGGCAGGCCCATTGCAGGTCCGGGGCTGAGACCGGCCTGAGCTGGCCCTGAGCCCTGGCCCCTCTGCTGGGCGCCGGGCACGGTTCTCAGCAGGCAGTGGACACCGCCCCGCTGTGAGCTTCCGCCCCGCCTCAAGGCACCCAACAGGATGCCCTCGACCTCCAGATCCTCAAGGACATACAGAACATGCGCGCTTGGCATCCACCTTGCTGAGGGTCCCGCTGTAGGACGCCCCGCCCCCTCCCAGGAGTGCCCGAGCCGCGCCCTTCTCCCGGCCCCTCACGGCGCCTCTCCACGCCCATGGGGCCGGCCGGGCGGAGCTGACGCCTCCTTTGTGTCCAGCCTGTTGGCAGCGTCCGTCTCCTACGAGGCAGCTGCTCTGGGCCCTCTTCCTCAGCCACGAGACTGAGGCGCGGCCCCGGCCGCCCCCTGACTGCCCCGGCTGCCCACCCGCCCTGACCGCACAGCCCGCCCGGATGAATGAAATGAAAGCGTGTGGCCACCTACCCACACACCTTGGCAGAGGTGCGCTCCACACACGGCGGCCCCCGCCCAGGCAGGTCAGCTTGGTGGCCCCTTCCAGGCGGTACCCCGGGAAGCAGGAGAAGGTCAGCACGTCCCCGACGCCAAACTGGAAGCCGACCCTCCGGCTGAAGGCCGGGACGCCCGGGTCCTCGCAGGGCTCCAGGTCGTACTCTGAGCAGGCGGAGACGCGGGGCAGAGACTCAGGGCGCTGGGGACACACAGGGACCCCAGGCGCTGACCCAGCGCCCCACGAGGCTGCAGGCTGCTCCCAGGACAAAGGCTGACCTCGCGCCACCGGAAAGCCCCCGAGGGTAAGCGCTTCATTTGAATGATGAAGTCGCTATTTATCTGGACATTTAAGAAATAAGCGCCATTAATTTAGTGCCAATTGGTGTCCAGGCAAAATGCCTCCAGAAGGAAAGGCTCTTGCCCGGGCTGAGCTCGGGCCCTGCGGAGCTGCTGTGTGTGGCCCCGGAGGAGGCAGCCCCCAAAGGCCTGCGCCGTCTGCTCTGCCGCCCACCGCGGGCCTGGCCGTGGCTGGAGACGGCGCATCGGTCTCCACGCCAGCGTCACTCAGCCTGCCCCAAAGCCACGGAGACCTGGGCGAGCGTGCTCTGCCGTCCTGGGTGTCGCGGCTGGCTGCCAGCGCGGGAGCCCACCCCTGCTGCGGTGGCCCTGGCCTGCCGGCTCTGCGGGGGCCGTCGAGGCCCAAAGGACGGAGCAGCGCGGCCCTGCCCCGTCCCGCGGACTCTGTCTACGCTCCTGTGGGCGTAGAGAGGGGGCAGCCAGTCTTCGGGGGACACTTTTCAGGGGGAGAGTTTGCGGGGTCTGTAGGCCAAGAGGCGTTCTGTGGCTGGCAGGCGGTGGGCTGGGCTGGGCCAGCTTCTGGGAGGGCCGCCCGCTCCCTCCCTCCCGGTCACCCCGTGCCAGCACCTGCCTGTGACTCCCCCCCGCCACTCTGCACCCACGGGCGCGCACACATTCACGCACACTCTGCACCCACACTCACGCACACACTTAAGACACTCACACACTCACGCCCGCCCTCGGCCGCAGAGCCCGCGTACCCAAGAAGGTGACGTTGAAGCCCTCGTAGGAGATGGAGAAGTCGGAGATGAAGCGGAGCTGGGCGGTGAAGTTGCCGAACAGGCCGGCCTTGACAGTGTGGGGCAGCACCGAGCCGGTGAGCCTGGCCACGGGCGCCGCGAAGCTGCCGTCCTCCGAGATGAGCAGGTAGTCGTGGGAGCTCTCCAGGTGGAAGGTGTGGAACATCATCTGGACGCCTGGGCCAGAGGGGGCGTGAGCTGCGGGCGGCTCCGGACGCAGAGACCATGTGGCCTCAGTGAGCAGAGCCGCGTCCCGGGTGGGAAGGCCAGGTGGGGGCTGGGCAGACAGAGCGGCTCGAGGGAGGGAGGCGGGAGGGGGGACCCCGTGGGCGAGCGAGCGGAGGTGGATGAGCCCGTGCAGGGACAGACAGACAGACAGGCAGGCCTCCAGCCAGGCGCCAGGGCACAGACAGGCGCAGACACAGGCCCGCAGGCGCACAGCGGGAGCTGTGGGCAGCCACCTGGGTTGCGCCCCAGGAGCTCTGGCCCAGGGTCCCAGGCCCCCGCAGAGTCCCCTCGGGTCGTCCCCCATTTCCTTCGGGTGAGCCAGCTCTTACATCCACTGGGCGTGGCCCCCTTCCTCACCACTGTCCCCGCCCCCGGCCGCCCCTACGGGAGCGGAGCAGAACATGAGGCCGACCCTGCGCGTGGCACCGTGCTCAGAGACCCCGACCCCGATGACACGGAGACACGGAGCCGCAGGCTCTCTCCTTTCTCGCCCCCGCAGTGCCCGTCCGGGCAGGCGCCGGCCTTACCCTTCCCGTGAGAGACTTCGATGGTCCACGTGCAGTTGAGGGAGTTGGGGTAGAAGTCCGGGAACCCGGGGGACAGCACCGTCCCGCTCGTGCCGTGGATGTAGCCTCCGCACAGGGCTTGAAACAGGAAAGGCACCTTAGGGTCAGGCCCACAGGCCCGCTAGGACGAGGGGCTTTTAGAGCGTCCTCTGTAGCAACCAGGGCAGGCGCAGCCCGTGCCCGGCGGGGGCAGGGTGGGCGGCCAGCGCAGCTGCCCTTTAGGAGGCAAGGGTGGCCCGAGGGGGTGATGCTGAGCGGAACGGCCAGAAGGGATGCCAACTGCTGCAGGATCCCCCTCAGGGCGGGCTGGGGGAGACAACAGCCCCAGCAGCCCTCCCGGGGCAGGCACAGGGCGGGAGGAGGCGGGGTGAGTCTGCCTGCGGTGGGAAGCGGCTTGGAACCTGCCAGTTGCCGCAAACTCGCGGAATAAAATAAATCAAAGATTTCCCTGGCCTTTGCCTTTCCCCACATACAAAGAGGGTGACGTCGCCCAACGCCCGTGTTATTTTTCCAAGACTGAAGCGAGGGGGGCTCCGCGAGGAGATGCGGGCAGCTCCTCTGACATCATGGGATGTGACACGTTAAGGTCAACATTGGCTTCTTCTTCCTTTGCTGAGAATTGGGGGTTTTTAAGGTTTAAATATCCTTCTGCTGTGTCGTCTGTTACGATAAAGCAGCCCTGGGGGTTGAGGAGGTTGCTTGAGATTTTAGAGGCCGACAGGAACGATCCTCGCAGTTAACCCCAAGCCGTCGGCATGACCCCGACGCCCGCAGAGCCAGCACCTCCCAACACCCTGCCCTCGCAGGCTCATCCTTCCCTGGTAGGTTCTGCAGCAGCAGTGACGCAGGGCCTCCACACCCTGTCCCCGTGGGGGGCGCGCCTCGGGTGCAGGCGTCTTGGGGGGGCACACCCGGGCCTCGCCTCAGCTCCAGGATGCTCAGCCCACGGGCAGCCCGCGCCTCCAGACCGGGTCCTGCCCAGGCGGCCGCGCCTGCTGTTACCCAAGCTCTGGGAGCCTCAGCCCTGCAGACCGTGCCGTCCGACAGGGGAGCATGCTGTGTCTGCAGAGAGCGGCTTCTGGGCGCCACTCTGGGCCTCAGGCTGGTTTTGACCAGGCCCTTTCCAAGTCCTGTTGGCCATGAGCTCACCGTCAAGGCCAGGGGGCTGTGCTGAATGGCCTGTGCTGGGCACCCACAAGGCTCGCTGGCTTGCCCAAGGCCTCCTGGCCACCCCCGGCAGACTGACCCGAGGACTCAGCCCAGGCGTGGGGAGGCCCTTGGGCGGTGCGTGGGCCCAGGGAGCAGTGTTGCTGCAGCCAGAGCCCTCAGAGGGACAGCCCCAGAGGCCTTGGCCTCCTGGTGTGAGGACATGGGGATGCGGGAACCAGCTCGTGGGTACGAAGAAGGTGGTTAGGACAGAAGTGTTGGGAGGGAGGGACTGAGCTGGGCAAGGAGTGGTCAGCTGCTGGGCAGGGCCAGGAAACAGTCTGGTTAGATACCAAACCACCGAGCACAGCAGATATTGACACGGAATCAAGAATCCCCGTGGCCTGAGCCGGGCAAGTCCTCTTCCGGGCAGAGTCCCGGGGCCAGAGCACCATGGTGCCGGGACCAGCAGTAGTGGGTGACCCCGATGGCTGCGCATCCTCTGCGAGCCGAGGACCACACGGCTCTGCACCAGGCTCAGCGGCCGCGGCCTCCACCCCTCGGCCTGCGGGGGAGCCGGACTGGGGTGACTGGGAAGCCTGCCCTGCCCAGGGTCAGTGCCGGCCGCAGCGGTCCCCAACCTAGTCGCGCCGAGGCTGGCCCGGCAGACAGCAAGCTCCTGTCTTGGCGCGAGAGTGTCCGCTCAGCTGCATGCACGCGTGACTTATCCTGCTGTGGGTTTTGGGGGCCGCTTAAGAAAAGAAACTGGGTGCTAGTGCACGTGAGCAACGCTAAGGCCTTTGAAGGGGAGCCTTGTTCTGGCGCTCTTGCTCCAGCGGGCCCTGAGAGCAGCGGACGTGCGCACACAGACCGCGCTGGGACGCCCTGAGCACGGCGGACGCTCCCCCTGCCAGCACGGGGCGCCTGGTGAGCGCTCCCTCTCCATGCGCTGATCCCGGATACAACCTGGTGCTGAACGTTCAAACCACAGCCAAAGTGCCGCGCTGACCCCTAGCCCCGGCCGCTGGGCGGCGGCCTCCGCTCGCTGTCTGTCCTGTGTTTCTGTGAACACGCGTGTGCAAGGCCGCCAGCGTGTGCCGTGGGCACCTGCGGTCACCTGCGTGCTCGTGTCCCCACGCGGGTGTGTGCAGCGGGTGCAGGGGTGCGCTCTGCGCGTTGGACTGTGCGTGTGCGCCCGGCACCCCCCCCCGGGGTTCTGGGGGCGCGTCCCTCGGGCCGGGACAGGGTCCGGGAGACCCAGCGCCGGCCCGGCCGCGCCACCCGCGCTCCCGTGGGCGCCACGTGTGTCCTGGGCCGAGGACGTGGCCCCGCTGTGCACCGGTGCCCGCCGTGGTGCCCGTCAGGGGCCCGCGCCGCCCGCTCGGCCCTGTTGGGAAACGGGGTCTCCCACGGACAACCCTGGCGGAGAGGCCGTGGTCTGGACAGGGCGAGACTGGACCATCCCTCCATTTCCCTCCCGCGGGTGCTGCACGGCAACGGGGCTCTGGAGCGGCTGGGGCAGCCCCTGCTGTGAGCCCAGCTGCAACGCACGCTGCCCCGGCCGCCCAGAGCCGCAGGGGCCTGGCTGTGGCGCGGCCGCCCTGGGGTCTCCCGGGGAAGCCGAGCCGGGTGAGGGCCGCGGGGGCCATGGTACAGAGCCGACGCACCGCCCAGCTGGCCTGGCCCTCGTGCACAGGCTCCTGCTGTGTCCAGCCTGACTCTGGCCAGCCTGGCCAGCCGCGGGAGACCGCCCTGCCCTCCCTCCCACGGAGCCCGCACGGAGCGCAGCTCTGGGGCCCTCGCGGCCCACGGCGCCACCTACCGTCGCAGCTGGGCAGCGCGTGGCTCCACTGCTGGCTGCTCTCACACACCAGGGGCTCCTCGTCGCTCAGCGTGTACCCCGGGTCGCAGCCGAAGGTCACGGCGGACCTGACGCCGAAGTCGCTGCCGCGCCGGTGGCCGTTCACGGGGATGCCGGGGTCCAGGCAGGAGTCAGACTCCAGGGTCACACCTGCTTGCACACATGGGGCCGGGTCAGCCCCCGCGCGGAGCAGGTGCGCGAGGGACGGCGGGGCCGGAGGCCATGCGAGGGAAGCCCACAGGCCTGGGCACCCCGCGCTGTGGGCAGGAGGCAGCGGGCAGCTGGCCGGGCGGGCCTCCCTCCCTGTTCGCCACTTCGCCCCTTTACAGGAAAGTCGGCACTACCTTGGATGGCGTCCGCCCTGCCCGCCTCTCGCCCCCTCCCTTAGGTGACCTGCTGGATGCGGCGGCCACATGCCCGCTCTCCTGTGCACGCGCACACCGACCCAGCACACACGCGAATGAAGTGGCTTTCTAAGTGTGCGCTCCACCAGCCCACGGTTCTGACTCCCCCGGGCGGCTGCCCTGAGGGAGGGGGAGCCTTGTTAGAAGGTGCCAAGGAGAGTGGCCCCGGGCCAAGCCCTGTAACCACCTTGAGTCGCTGTTCCTTTCCCATGTCACTCTCTCTTCTCAGAGTGACACGCCACTCCCCGCAAGGGCATGAGTGAAAAGGGCTCCACGTAAGCCAGTGGGTCCAGAACACTGATGACTTGAGCTACTAACCCAGCACCTTCCACCGTGTTCAAGCTGTTTAACCCCCAAGAACGAGCTCCGGGAGCCTGTTTCTGATCGCGGCTCACCTGTAACCACAGCTTGGGTGATGCACCTTATGAAGAGGGCATCGCATCTGACATTTTTGCTAAGGGACCACAAGGAATGTGCCTGCTGTCTGGTAGTGACAGCGGCTGAGCTCCCCACGTGGGCAGGGTCAGCGTGCGAGCCTCCTGGAGCCAGCCAGGGTGCGCTCGGGCTGGGCAGGCGCGCCGGGGAGGCTGCTCCTGGGGACGCTGGCCAGGGGGCAGCTGTGCCTGCACAGGGCGCAGGGCCCTGCCGATTCCCGCCCTCCCAGGACCTGGCCCGCCCTGGGCTGGTTCCAGCAGCTTGTCTGGGCAATGGCTGTCCCAGGACGTCCACCTCCCCCTCGGTCCTGCTGGGGACGCCTGCATTTTCAGCGGGTCCCAGGACTGGGGGCGGGGGTGCAGATCCTGCCGTCTGTAATGCCGGCCCTAAGCCTCACGATTGGATGAGCACCAGGTACAGAACCGCAAAACACCACTACCGGGGCGCTCTGCTAAGAAGAAACATTACAATAAGCGAGAGAAAAGGAGCAGCGAGGAAAACACCATCTCTGCCCCAGGACTGGGCTGCGTCTCCCGGAACCACCATGGAGTCACCAGCGGGAGATCCCACGGCTTCTCCCCAGTAGGTGGCTGAGGCCGCGCCTCCACCCCTGGGGCGCTCTACCGGGGACCCCCACGCACCCACGTTGTGAATGGCGCTGTCCTCCCTGCCCTGCACCCTGGAGGGCCAGAGGGCCCGTGGCCAGCGCGAGGCCCCCCTTACGGAGCAGCCCTGGCTAGGAGGCCCGGCCGTCCGCGTCCCCGAGACCCAGGCTGGAGCAGGCTTCCGCCCCAAAGCCGCGCCCCGAGAAGAGCCCCTCACACCCGGGAGCCCGCTCGCGACCACGGAGGCCCGGCCGCAGCCCCGGCAGCCCCGGCAGCCCCGGCGCGTCTGGGCGCCAGGGAGGAGCCGGAGCGCCCGACAGAAGCCCGCAGGGGCCGGCGCCCTGGGCCCACGCGCGACTCACTCTCGTAGCGGATGAGGAAGCCCACGCTCGCGCGGCTGCTGTCGGTGGTGAAGAGCAGCGACAGGACGTTGCCGGTGCTGATGAGGAACTGGGGCGCCTGCGTGCCGTGGTACTCCCCGATGAGGGGCGCGGCGCCGCCCGGCCCGTCCCGCACCTCCAGGGTGTCGTAGTTGACCTCGGTCTGGAACCTGCGGGGCAGCGTCGGGCGCGGCCCTCAGACCCGGGGCTGGGGCAGGGCCGAGCCGGCGGGGAGCCTGCCGCGGCCCACGCGCTGGCAGGCGGCCGGGGCGCACGGGGACGGCGACCCGGAGGGGGACACGCGGAGTGCCGGGTCCTGAGACGCCCCAGTGCAGCTCCCCCGAAGGAGCGACCCCAGAGACGGGCAGGAAGGGGCGCGGGGGGGGTCCTCGCCAGAGTGCCCCACCCCAGAGACCCGAGTCCTCCCCCGAGTCCTCCCCGAGTCTCCCCCGGTGCTCCCCAGAGCCCCCCGACAGTCCTCGCCCAGAGGCTCACCCTGCAGAGCCGCTCACCGCGCGCCGGGCCCCGGGGCAGCGAGCCTGGGGCTGGCAGGGATGCCAGGACCCGCGCCGCGCCGCCCCGCCGTGCCCGCCCCGCCGTGCCCGCCCCGCCCCGCCCACCACAGCCCGGCCCCGCCCACAGCCCGGCCCCGCCCACAGCCCGGCCCCGCCCACCACGTATCCAAACCCGCCCACACGCCCGGCCCCGCCCACAGCCGGGCCCGCCCACCACGTGCCCAAACCCCGCCCACAGCCCGGCCCCGCCCACAGCCCGGCCCCACCACCACGTGCCCAGCCCCGCCCACTCCACCCGGCCCCGCCCACATCCCGGCCCCACCCACTCAACCTGCCCCGCCCACTCTACCCGGCCCCCGCCCACCACGTGCCCAAACCCCGCCCACAGCCCGGCCCCGCCCACTCCGCCCGGCCCCGCCCACTCTGCCCGGCCCCGCCCACACGCCCGGCCCCGCCCACGTGCTGCCTCGCCACTGTGCCCCCATCACTGTGCCCGCCCCGCCCACTCTGCCCAGGCCCGCCCAGGTGCCCGCCCCGCCCGAGGGCCCCGCGGGCCGCGCCAGCGCGGGGAGCTCCGGGAGCCTGTCCAGGGCCTGCCCTGCCCGCCGGGCCGCCTCCCGGGCAGCTGCGGGCGGAGCCGCCGAGGCCGGTCCGGGGAGCCCTGGCGCGGGGCGCGGTGGGGCCCGCGGGGCGCGGCGGGGCCTGCGGGGTGCGGCGGGCTCACCTGTCGAAGGTGATCTTGACGGCGTGGCCCGGCCTGGCTTCGATGACCCACTCGCAGTTCAGGGAGTCCTTGTAGTAGCCCGGCCACCCCGGGGGCAGGATGACCCCGCTGGCCGCCGTCAGGTGCCCGCCGCACGGGGCTGGAAGGCAAGGGCGCCGCAGGTGAGGCGCGGGCGGGCGCCACCCAGACCGAGCCCCGGCTGCACCCCTGGGCGCGTGAGAGAGGAGAGCCCGGAGCGGCCGGCGCAGGGTCAGCCTGGCCCCGCGGGCACCCACGGCCGACCGGGCGCGGGGCTGGAGCAGCGGGCGGGGAGCAGGGCCTGGGGGGACACTGCGGGCCGCGGGGGTGCGGGCAGACCCGGGAGCAGGCCGCGTGCCCCGCGTGCCCCTTCACCCGGCTTGTGTTCCTTGCAGTAAGGTAAGTTTTCGTGCACGAAACTGAATTGTTGGCGAACGTTAGCAAACGGAACCTAATTCGTGGCTGATGAGCCAGGTCGGGCCGGGACTGGCCGGGCGGAGCGCAGGGCAGGGCGGAGCTGAGGGCCCGGGAGGGCAGCCACCGCGGACGCTCATCTGTTCTACTCAGCCGCTTCACTTTCTGATTTATTTTCCGCAAAGTTTTTTGCTGAGATTTCCACCCATGTGTGACGCGGCACGTGTCAGATGAAGTGTGTGAGAACATGCCGGGCACAAAGACCCGTCCTTTGGAAAGACGCCTTCGCGGTGCCCGGCACCTGCGCGCTGACGGCACCGGGGCCCAGGCGGCGGCCCGGACACCCACAGGCACCAGCGCAGGAGCCGGAAGGACAGGACGGGCCGGGCCCGGGCCCCGTGGTCGGGGCGTGGCGGGCAGCGGGCTCAGCCAGAGGGCGCGGCAGGCGGCGGCACCCACCTTCGCAGCGGGGCACCGCGGCGCTCCAGACCACGTTGCCGTCCTGCAGCACGCAGGTGATGGACTCGGCACCCTGCGTCTTCACGAAGCCGTCGTCGCAGTGGAAGGACACGGAGCTGCCCAGCAGGAAGCGGTCCCCGAAGCGCCGCCCGTTCACCGGGATGCCGGGGTCGTGGCACTCGTTCTGCCCAAACGCTGGGGGACAGGAGAGGGTGGGCAGCCCCAGGGGGGACACGTGGTGAGACCAGGATACGCGTGTTCACGGGCAAGCAGGCCGTGTCCCAGGCGCCTCCACGGCCGGCGCCCCTGCTGGCCTCCCGAGTGGCCTGGGTGCCCCCGGTGGCCACGAGCTGCCTCCCTACAGAGTCGGGACGGCGAGCCTGTGGGCAGCGCTGCAGGGGTGCTGGTCACTCTGACCCCACATGGCCCCTGAGAGCAGCAGCAGTCGCTAAATTATGTCACCACACCTCGTCCCCAGCGCCTCTCCATGCCCGCTCCAGAGGGCAGCTGTGTGTGGACACAGCTGAGGCACAGAGGCAGGCGTCCTGCCAACATCATGGTCATGCAGTGCTGCTGCCCCACACACCCGCCTCCGGGCCCCGCCGCCCTGCGCCATCACAGGAGGGCGCTGGACAGAGGGATGGGCGGGGCACGGGTGCTGGGTGGGTGGGGGCGGAGGGGTGGTGAGGGGATGGGGAAGGGACGGAGAAGGCGAGCGGAGGGGCCGTGCGGTCAGTCTTCAGTGTGGGGCCCGAGGGCGGCCTCAGCAGAGTGCAGCAGCTTCTGCTGTCAGGTTAGCGCTGGCCAAGGCCAGTCCGGCTACCAGACCCCGCAGGGGGCCTGACGCTCAGCCGCCGGGGAGCGGGGGACACTCACTGGTGTAGGTGATGTTGAACCCCCGGCCGGTGGTGGAGTGGTCAGACTGGAACTCCAGGCGGACGACGTGTCCACTGCTGGCCAGCTGCGAAGGCACTTCGTTGCCGGAAAAAGTACCCAGGACGGTCATTTCTGAAATGCCGTCGTCCTTGACTGCGAGGAAGTCAAACTGAGGCTCCACGTCGAAGTCGTTGAAGATGAGGTGGACCCGGCTCCCGGGCTCGGAGATGACCAGCCACACGCAGTTCATGTTGTTGCCGTACTCCTCCGGGTAGTTCGGGGACAGGATGACCCCCGCCGCCGCCGTGAAGTTGAAGAAACACGAGACTGCGGAGACACCGTGGGTCTGTGGACAGCCGGCGCAGGCCCCTCGGGGCGGAGCACCCCCCACGGGGCGGGGCTGGGAGCCCAGGAGAGCAGGGTCGGGACGAGCCCCTCGGGGGCTGACCCTGGCAGGCGCCGGAGCTCCGGCGTGACTTCCCGCGTCCCTGACCACTGCCAGCCCCTAAGGCCATTGGTGCCCCGCGCCCCTCATGGGCTCGGCTCGCTCTGCACCCCCACATGCCCTGTCTCAAACGACTTGGTCTGGTCAGCTATGGGGTGACCATTGCGAGCTCTGAAAGCCACTGAGCTGGGTGAGAGCACAGGACTCTCCCGGAAAATTCACCTCCAGTGCGTCTAGCCACGGAGTGCCAGCCTGGACTCCGCACGGAGGGCCAGCCTGGACTCCGCACGGAGGGCCAGCCTGGACACCGCGCAGCCCAGGCGGAGGGACTGCGGGCCCTGCGGTGAGGTTAGCGTCTTGCCCCGTGCGGTTTCTCGTGCATGTCCCGGACACTGCCTGGTCAGTGGCAAGATTGAAATTCCTGCTTCCCAGCAGGCCGTGAGTGAAAGCCCTCTGCGCGGGAGGGGGTCTCCCAGGGACACGCCCCGCTGCCACCCCTGTGTGTGCGTCACCGGCCGCCAGGCCCTCCGCTGTCCACGCCGGGCCTGCAGCCGGAATGGCCACAGCCGGATGGCCGCAGCGGGGTGCCGGGCCCTGGCGCCCCTTTATCCCGGGGACGGGGGCATCTCAGAGGAGCTGCAGTTACGTGGGGGATGCGGGAAGGCCGTAGGGCCTGCGTGTGGTGAGGGTCCCCCGAAGGTGGGCGCTGCCCCCGCCCCCGGCTACAGGACACTCACAGACGCAGCTGGGCTTGTTCCCCGACCACTGGTTGTTCTGCTGGCAGGTGATGACCCGCTCGCCCACCAGCTCGAAGGCCGCCTGGCACTGGAAGGTCAGCGAGTCCCCGTGCCGGAAGCTGCTGCCCGTCCGCTTCCCATAGGGGGGGACGCCAGGGTCTCCGCAGCCCCCCTTCTCGATCTCTGAACGTGGGAGAGAGAGAGCAAGGCCTGTTACCCCCCAACCGACAAGAAGACCGCGGCGGCGTGGCGGCCGCTTGGGAGGTGGACGGTGTCCTGTGGCTGCTGCTCGGAGCATCGCTCTGCTACGGGCCCCAGACGCTGCCTCTGCCCAGCAGTTAGTGGGGATCCAGGAGCAGGGCGGTGTCGGGGGTGCCAGGTGTCGAGGGCACGTGCCACGCAGACCGCTGGGGTCCGGGAGGGGCTGCCCCCAACTCGGCTCCACTTGGTGGCCGCCCTGCCCCTCCCCCGTGGCCCTGCCGGCGTCTGCAGAGGGATGGGGGGCGGGTCGGCCCTCCTCCAGGGACACGGGGCCGGGGGGCTGCCGGGAGTGACGTTACTTCAGTCGAGGACGGAGCCATTTTAGACTCTATCAGATCTCACCGGCTGGACATGGCACCTACCATTTCTTACCCCTGAATTTCATTAAAAAATAGGTTTTATTCTTCCAGTGGCGAAATTTAAAATTAAGTAGATTTTCAAAATTCATGCATAAGTTTTGAAAGTCCAAACAATTCCTGCTGCCTGCGAGGGGACCTAAAAACAGTGTTCAAATCACGTCCAGCGACTGTTTAATCAACATTCCAGGCAAAAGGGAACTTGAGAGACAATTTTTAAAAGTACAGAAATAAACAGCCCTGCAGCCAGAGCTGCTCCCGACGCGGTTTTCCTGGGGAAGAACTTTCCAGAAGGCCAGAGGACAGCAGAAGCGCAGGGGGCGGCTGCGGCTGGAGGGAGACAGCAGCGGCTGGCACAGCCAGGAGGGCCTGGCCGCCGCCGTGTCCACTGTGCAGTGTCCCCAGACTCGCTCAAGCCAGGAGGGCGCTGGGGGGCACTGGCCGCCAGGGGGCTGCGCTGCAGGCAGCGGAGAAACAGCCTCGCACAGCTGCCGAGGAAGGGACGGCGCTGCCCGCGGTGGCCTGGCAGCTCCTGGGGGAGGCCCGAATGGCATCGGGGGACCCAGCTCTGGTCCAGGTGGCAGCTCCTCCGCGCAGCCTGGCTCTGAGTGCAGACCCTAGGACCCGTGCCCCGCAGAGGCTGGATGCCCACAACCGCACCCAGCGCCCTCCGGGACACGTGCACCCCGGGCACACCCGGCCCTGTGCTCAGTCAGCAGGTCCCGGCACGTGCCCGCGCTCCGCACACCCCGCAGCTCCGCACCCCGCCCGAGGGCCGCGCCCCCAGCCAAGCCTCCAGAGCGGGGGTCTCGGTTGCCAAGACCTGCGAGCAGGCCCTGTTCGAGGGGCACAGTTACCCTGTGCTGCCCGCCCAACTCCCCCAGGGGGCTGGCCCAGGGGAGCCGCCCGCCCGGCCTACCTTGGTACACGGCCTTGAAGCCGGCCGAGGCGATGCTGTCGTCAGACTGCAGGTGCAGCCACATCTGGTTGCTCATGCTCACGATGAGGTCGGGCACGCTGGAGCCCGTGAGCCTGCGGGGGAGACGGGCCATCAGCCGCCGCGCCAGGGGGCGCCTTCCCAGACGGCGCGGGGCTTGTGCATAAGCAGCCCAGCCCGGAGGCGGCCAGAGATGGTGCTGGCGGCGGCCAGAGGGACGGAGGTGGTGGGGGTGGCGGGTGGACGGGGAGTAAGAGGACAGGTGGACAGACAGGTCCGGCCTCCTGGTCACCGCGCCCCAGGAGCTGAAGGGCCAGGGTCACGCAGGCAGCGAGCAGGCTCTTGTGACCTTCCGAGGACACTGAGGGGCCATCACACGTGCTGGGGTCTGGCCCGGGGCGGCCTCGTGGACACCAACGTCCTCTCACTCTGGGGACCCGCCTCTTGGCTCCCCAGGCGAGTCTGGCCGACAGCCGGTGCTGCTGTCAGAGCTGAGGGGTGACTGCTCGCAGCCCGCTGCCCCCGCAGTCTCCGGTGTCAGTTTCCAGTGATTTCGCGTTTGCAGTTCAGGCTGAAGTGGGCCCTTCTGCCGGCGAGCGGGGGCCTCAGCGGACCTGGAGCGGGCGCCGCCCCGCCTCCCCCTCGCGTCCCGCCGGCCCCGTGTCCGCGTGGGCACCCCTGGGGCTGCGGCTCCCGACGGCAGCTGGGCGCCGGGGCACGTTCTCCGCCTGCTCTCTAGGCCGGGGTCGGGCGGGTGGTGGCCTTGGTCCTGCCGAGCAGGCGGCTGCCGTCAGCGGGTCCCTGCACGCGCCCCTGCGCCGTGTCCCGCTCACCAGCCGCGGCTCCGCGCCCGATGGCACCCGCGTGATGTCGCCAGGCTCACGCCCTCACACTTCCCGGTGACGCCTGCGGAGGAGCCCCCGAGCCCAGACTGTGCGTCAGCCCGGCCGGCGCCGCGGCGCTCGCGCGGATAAACTGCCGAAGTTGATCTTCAGTTTCTCTTAAAGATAGTCGAGCACGATGGTCAGAATAATCAGTTTAAATTTTGTATTTTCACGGCCTACACATTTTTCTTATTTCTCTAGCTGGGGGATCCAGGACTGCCGAGAAGACACGATTCCAACGGACACTCTTGTCTTCCTCTGGCCCTTGGAACGATCCTCCGTCTCTCCCCCCGAGCGGGAGGTGCTGCAGCGCACGCGGGACGTCACCAGACACCTCACTGTCCCTCGGTCACTCGCTCGCGAGGACCCGCCGCCGGGAGGGCTGAGCCTCGCCGGGCCTGTCCACCTGCTGCGGGGACGGCGGCGCCTGCGGGTGCCGTGACGAGACGCGACGCTGCGCCCCGTGGTGACGCAACAAGCCTCTCGTTTACACTCCGTGGAGTTCACGGTGAGAAGAGCCCGGGGTGTTTCTCCTCGCTTGCCGGGGTGTGGACTCAGAGACTGTCCTCGCTCCTGGAGGGGCTGCGCGGGGACGACTCTCACCCGCAGGCCCGGCGGCGTCGCCCGTCTGGGTCCCGTCCCCGGGGCGTCAGCCACGCAGGCCACGGCCCGGGCTTCCTGCTCTCGCTCAGCTTCGGCAAGCAGCTTCTTCCAAGGAAATGCCCCACGTGTGTATTTAAACGCCTCGGAGAGATGTTCTCACCACCACTTACTTCACCCTGGCTTCCACCTTCCCGACCCGCCCGCCCTGCCCGGGGCGGCCTGCTCCACGCGGCCAGGCCGGGCCTGTGGGGCGCGTGTGCCTAGCGCCCAGGACCCGCCTCGGCCTCCATCCTTGCCTGGAGCCTCTGTGACGGGCAGGCCACGAGCCGACCCCCTCCCCTGGGCCTGCTCCACCCATCACGGAGGCGCTGGCCCCGCTGCCCTCTCACGGCGGGCTCTGGAGGCCCTTGTGACGTGGCCCTTCTGTCCAGTGGCCTCCCCCGTCCCACTCACAATCCTGAGCCGGGGCCAGACCTCGCCCCCGCCTTGACGTGCGCCTGCTCCAAGCGCCGTCTTCCCTGGTGCCCCTGCAGCCCCATCACCAGAAACCTGCCCCGCCTGCCCCAGCCCTGCTCCGGCCGACCCACAGCGCATGTCCTGGGCGGGCCGCCTGCGCCACCAGCTCCCCCCACTCCGCTGCTGGTCCCCCCCACCGTGTTCCTGCTCTCAGCAGCGAACGGCATTTGGGAGTCCACAAGGAAAATGTTCCAGGCCATTAAGACATTTAACTCCTGCCTCTCGGATTCTCGGAATCCCCCAGACGCCACGACTGTCCAGAACACTGACCGGCTGCGAGGCTGTCCCGTCCTCCCGGCGCGCCCACCTGCACCGGAGGGGGCCCCGCATCACCCCCTCCCGTGCTCTTCCCTCGAGGGCGCAGGCGGCCCTGTGCCCCCCCGCAGGCGCGTTAAGGCCTGGACACCTGGACACCAGCGGTGTTTATTTTACTGCATGATAATTTTTAAAAACTTATTCGAGTCTGGAGACCAGGACGCATTCCCGACGCCGAGCCGGAGGCTGCTCCCTGGGCGAGGCCCGCGGGCTGCAGCAGGGCCCCGGGGGGCGGAGAGCACAGGCCTGCCGCCGACACAGCCCCGCCTGGCAGTTTTGGGGTTTTTATGTCCGTGGATTCCATAAATGCCGCAGACGGGGGGAGATGCAGAGCTCTCGACACACGTGTCATCACCCACTTGCCTCGGGGCTGGTGTGGCCACTGGGGACGTGCCGGGGGCAAGCGGGGAGCTAAGATCCGGGGGGGCTGGGCTCAGGCGCCCCCAGCAGAGGGAGGGCCTTCGCAGGGCTGCAGGGGCGGGGGCTGGGCCCACATCGCGGGCGCACGGCAGCCCGGCCGGGGGTCGCATCCACGCCGGGGCGGGGCGGCCCTTGCTCCCCTCCTGGGGTGGCGGCCAGAGGGTGTCCTGTGCTGATTCCCTTGCGCGAGAGACGGGCTTTGTCTGGAGAGCGTTCAGCAGCCGCAGCGGTGGGCGTGGGGACGGTGTGGTGGTGACAGGTGTGGGTCTGGCCAGAGTCATGCCCTCGGGCCCCTGCCCCCACTCCCCGGTCAGGGCGCCAGGGAAGCTGCCCACCTCCCGGGGCGTGGAGGACCCGCTGACCCTCCCAGAGACGGCCAGGAGCCCCTGCTCTGCTCTCACTCGTCAGTACTTTTGCTCTTGCTGCTTTTTTATGATTCTGAAAAAACAACAACCCGCCACAGGCCGCGCAGCCCAGCGCAGCTCCCCCAGGGGGCCGCAGGACGCCGGGGCCGGGGCCGTACTTACACGTAGAGGACCGTCCTGCTGTCCCCCACCTTCCCCGCGTCCCCGACGGTCAGCGTGTCGTAGCCGCGCTCCAGCTCGAACTCCTGGAAGGCCAGCTTGATGACCTGGAAGACAGGCGCCCCTGAACGCTCGCCCGCCCCACCCGCTGTGCCCGGCAGCCTCAAGCGCCTTGGAAGGCGACCGTTTTGGGGGACCGAGAGCCCTGAGCCAGGCCTCCCCGGGCTCAGAACGGCTTGTTCCAGGCGCGATGGTCAGTCTGGGGATGGGCTGTGACCCCCGGGACTCGCGTCTACCAGACGGCAAGGCTCACGGTGTCTGCAGGGACCCAAGGCGACCGGCAGGGACGCAAGGTTCACGTCGCTGGCATCTCTCGGAGGCCCGAGACCAGCGTCACCCGCACAGCCACAGACGCCAGGGCCGCCCACGCCGCCCTGCGGACAGACCCGGCCGGGCTGCCCCGACAGCTGCTCTGCCAAGTCTTGAAGTTTCTGTTTATGAAACACTTTGCACAGGATGGACACCGGGTCACACCCACACCCCACCACGAAGGTTCTGTGCCTCCCGCAGTGCCAGACGCTCGCCTCCAAGACGCGCCCTCCGCAGTCAACGCGGCACGTCCGCCGGCGCATGCCGAGGAGCCGGCCGTCTACGGCTCTCTCGATGGCCGCGACCCCGCTCGCTGCTGGGCTCCCCCGGCCCCCTCTCCACCCCCTCGACCAGCTGCTTCCTCCTTTCCTGCCCCCGCGGAGCCGCAGTGTGTTCCTGGCACCAGGGGGGACCTCGGCCGAAGCTCAAGGAGGCGGCAGCGAGCACCGGGGTGGGCGCAGGAGGATGGGGGCCCGCCAGGGCACGGCGCCCACCTCCGGCCTGCAGGGACTCAGCACAGGCCCGTTTCCCCGAAGGCCTCACATCGTTTTCTTCATCCCACCTCAAGGCAAACCTGCTTTACGTGTGAATTTCAAATGCAGATGCACTTACACGCGCACGCTTGCTTGTGCTCGCTTTTAATTCAAATGTTTTTTTTCCAAAAAGGCGCCAACCACGATTTGCGTTTCCCCCTCACTTTCCACGCTCGTCATCCCCTGCGTGAGCACGTCACACACGGTCACTCGTCCACGGCTGCGCATCCGACCGCACCGGCTGCGGGGCAGGTGCGGCCCAGGAGGCCTGTCCCTGAGCTGCGGCCTCCGTGTCTGCTGGGGTCTGGGCTGCGCAGGGGGACACGCGGGAGCCTTGGAGCTGGCGGGGAAGACCGGGCGCCAACACAGCCAAGGCAAGTCCTGCGTGGAGCAGCAGCCTGGCCAATCCCTGGCCACTCCTGACCCACCAGCCTCCTCAGAGACAAAGGGCACGAGACACTGGCCTACTGCGCAGCATGAGGGCCGCCGTCCGCGAGGCACCCCGCTGAGGAAGCTCACGCCCGCGAGTCGGAGAGCGGGAGCCACCCGAGAGGCCGGAGAGCGGCCGCTGGCTCAGGGCCCTTGGGACAGCAGCTCTCGGAACAGTGGCCCCACCCCGACCTCCCCGCAGCAGCCACAGGCCCCGGCTGCAGACATCGAAAGTCTCTGCGCCTCCCGGGGAGCCGGGAAACACAGGCCGGGCGGAGGGTCCCGTGAACGAGAACGACCGTCTCTCGATGCCGCCCCTGCACAGGCCGGGCGTGCGGGCCGCGTCCTCGGCCCACGGGGCATCGGGCTCGTGCGCAGTGCCCAGCGCCTGGCCTCGCAGGGCCCCAGCTCTGCTGTCCAGCTCCCCCGACCGACGCCGCCCACACATGTCCTGGACGCCAGGGCCTGGGGCCACCGCCCGCCCCAGCCCTGCTTGAGGCCATGGGGACAGCAGCTCATGGAGCCGGAGACACTCGGGCCCGGCGAGCCTGACGTCCTGTCACTGGAGCGCGAGGGCAGACGGCAACGCGTGCTCACACAGACCCTCAGCGCCGCGCCCCCTGCCCCGCTGCAGAGACAGCCGCGTCTCCTCCCAGCAGCTGCCCGTGCGACTCAGCGCTGGCCGCCCCATCACGGGAGGCGGCCCCGCTCGCCCTGTCAACAGGCTGTGCCTGTGGCTCCCACCCTTGGGAAGGCGTGGCCAGGGCAGCCGCGGCCATCTGGAAGCTGACCTCCACAGATGGAACCTCCCTGGCCCTCCCGCGCCAGCCCTGGACACAGCTGAGCTGGGCTGGTCACCGCTGGGCGTACCGGACGGGCCAGTGCTGGCCACGGATAGGAGAAGGTGCGTGAGGACAAAGGCGTGCGCTGGGGGACACGTCCAGTGCCCTGTGGACTTATGCTGCACACGCTGCACATCCTGGCAGGCGTGACTACGGGACTGATTTCAGAGCCGCGGCTTTGTACGAAGAATTTTTTCTTGTGACTTGGCGTAAACTGACCGTCACCGGTTCCCGCCGGAACGCGGCGAGAGCAAGGCCTTCGTGCAAGGTTGAGGCTCTGAGGACAGTGTTTATCCTCTGATGGACGCTGGGAATTTATCTTTGTTTTCTATTCCAGCTCCATTCTCAAAACTTTGCAACTACTTCAAGTGACCAGTCCGGGAGCCCCGGGGAGAGGCCTCTGCTCTCGACGCCACACGGAGCTCGCCTCGTCGCCAGAGCGCTCATTCCAGAAACCCCCTTATTTGGAATTTCTCCCAAGGAATCAAATTAAGCCTAATTATACTTAATGGTGATGGCTGCTGCTTAATTCGGACGGTAACGCTGCTTTATCGAGTTGCCGTCAGGTGTCTGCACGACGGTCTCCATGAGCATCCCGTGCGGCGCTGTCGGCCCCAAACCCCTCACCAGGGCGCTGAGGGTCTGTGTGTGCACGCGTGGCCGTCTGGACACCTCGCCAGGGCAGGGCAGGGTGGGGAGCCCCTGGGGTGGTGCGCGGCTCCCGGTGTGCAGGCCATCGTGCTCGGAAGTGGCCGAGCGCACACAGAGCCCGTCCCGACGCACACAGAGCGCACAGAGCCCATGGACGCAAGCGAGAAGTGAGGCCTCTCTGAGACTCGTGGGGCCATGTCGCAGACGCCACCCTCAGCTGCCACTGTGCTCTCTGGTCAGGCTTACAAACCGGCTTCAAGATGACCACCAACCACACGCACACCCATCTGACCACAGGGCCAGAGTGCGCCACTGCCCACCTCCAGCCGAGGGCTGGGCGGAGACCTGCCGGGCTCATGGGCTCTGGCGCCGCTTGGCTTCCTCCGCAGCTGCGTGACCACCCGTGTGACCCCAGCGCCCATGTGACCGCCTGTGTGACCCCAGCACCCGTGTGACCCCAGGCCGCCAGGGCCGCCCCCCCTCAGCAGGAAGCCCCCGAAGGGCTCGGCAGTCCTGCGTCTCGCCAGCGGTTTTCCTCCAAAGCAGAACACGCTCGACCCGTTTGCTGACAGCGCGCCCAGGAGAGAGGACGGGGGAGAAGCCCCGTGGGTGGGCGTCCAGCGGGTGTCCCAATAAATCCTCTATTAATCGAATTACTTCTTTTTAACTTTTTTCTTTAAAAAATACGCGTTCAAGTAAAGAGGTCTGCTGCCTTCCAAACTGCAAATGTAGCGTGACTGAGCATTTTGCAAAATGCCCAGCGATGTCACGTCCTTAACACAGAGACGCTTCCTCCCCGCCCCTCAGGGGAGCGGCACAGCAGGTGCACCAGCCCTTCCCACCCGACAGATGCCCACAAGCCAGGCCGCGGTCGTGCTGCCCCTAAGATTTTACCATCTGACCTTAAGCTCTCGTAAACGCCACAGACACGTGATTCACTCGTTGGAAACAAAACGAAACGAGACCCCACAGGCCTTCAGATGTTCTGCGTTGAACCTTCACGCCCCACCGGGGTGGCCACGCGGGGACAGAAGCCCGGCTGACCAGGGGCGGTGCAGCATCCAGCCACCCCCTGACCCGTCAGCATCTCCCTTCACAGGTGGGCACCCGAGGCCCAGGGCCTCCACCAGCTGCCCAGGGCCCACGCCTCGGAGGCAGGGCTGCGGCCCGGGGTGGGACGGCCCGCGGGAGGAGAAGGCCCGCAGCAGCCGGGGCGGGGTTGGCCTGGACACCAGGCGCAGCCGAGGGACAGCGAGAGGGGGCGGCTTCCGTGGGCGTCAACGCCACCAAGAGGTCCCGCGTGGGAAGGGAAACCTACACAACCCTGAGCGAGTGTCAGTTGTGGCGACAAAAGCTTCTGTTTTCACGTAAGTCAGAACTGAGACGCTGGAGCAGACAGCAAGAGGTGCCGGAGTCAAAATCAGAATCTGGCCTCTGAGATCTGAGAACTCAACAGCTTCCCGATAAATGTATTTAAATCTGACAAATATTTCAATGAAAATAAAAGTGGAGGTGAGCCTTTCAGACATGGGCCTCCCGGCAACACCCAGAAACTGACCGTTTGAATGGGCCCAGGACATTGGGTGACTGTTACTAAAAACTATTCCCCTTCATGTTATTTAATTTAGTGAAATCCATACTTGGTTTTTAGACCAAGTTTTTATTAAAAAAATCAAATCAATACAAGGATGTGAAATGAAAAACGTGGGATCTCAGTGGCGTCTCAGACCCAACTCAGACACACAGTGAGGCCGGGGGCGGGAGGCCGGGGGCGGGAGGCCAGGGGCGGGGAGGCCGGGGTGGGGCCAAAGGCGCAGAAGTCCAGCCACGGGGTGGATCTGGGCGCCCCGCAGCCGGCGGCTGGAGAGCACGACGCTGAAAGGTGGTGAAGGGACAGATTCAGAAATTCCGACACCAGAAAACCGCGAGTGGTCGGGAATGTCAACGTGTCGTGGCGGCCGCTTTGCAGTGAGTTTATCCCCCAGTCGTCACGCTCCTCACCTGAAGGAGCCACGCGACTCGCCCGTGCGCCGTGGGCAGGAGAGGCAGACACGGCCCAGGGCCAGCAGGGCCAGCAGGGCCCGCGCGGAGCACGGCCCGAGTGTCTGCGCCCAGACCCGCTCACCCACAGACGGCCGCACGGCGCGGCCAGGGCCTACCTTGTCGGGGTCCGCGGTGGTGATGACCCACACGCAGTGGGCGTTGTCCTCGTACTGCACGGGGTAGTTCGGGGAGGTGATGACGCCGCTGGGCCCGCGCAGGTTGGACCCACAGGTTCGAGCTGAAACACAGAGAGGGGGCGTCGTTCCCAGCACGGCTCCGGGCCCACCGGCCAGCTCGTGGGCCAGCTCGTGGGCCTGACGCGGGGCTCAGGCCTCTGCCCACGGCCGGCAACGCTGCGCGGAGACACGGCTCGGCAGCCCCCAGGACTCCTGCCTCCTGCCCGGGGCGCCCAGCGAGCCCCGGAGGGCGGGCAGCTCCCTGCTTGGGCCGAGGCCTGGGAGCTGCAGTTGCTGCTTCCCGCCCTTCAGCATCAAAGTGAGAACTGCAGATTTTGTCCCATTAGCGAAACAGGCGCCACTGTGGGTCCTGGTGCGTCAGCGGGACGTGCCCTTGAGGCCCAGGAGACACGCGCCCTGTGCCACGGTCCCAGGCGAGCTCGCCCATGGCCGCGCTGGGTAGGGCTGGCCCCTTGGCCACTCCGAGCCCCGCTCCAGGCGACGGTCTCTGTGCGCGGGGCGCAGAGGCTGGCACAGTGGGCGGCGGTGGCTGCGGGGTGCAGCCGTCCCACAGCGGGGGGCGTAAGAGCCCAATGTCTCTCCCATCTGAGGCTCCATCCCACAATAAACTGTGCCGACGCCTTTCAGAGCAGCACGCAGGTGGACCGAGAACATCACTGGACGTTTAAAAAAGTAGGAATGCAGACTCCAAAAGGACAAAGAAAATACCTTGAATTTGAAAGACAAAGCAAATTACACGAATTGCATAACTCAATAAATACGACATTTCCAATCAAGATCTATTTCAGCCTCCGCTGCAAGAAGGGGTGCGTTTCCCCCAAATCAAAAGGCCATTTTGGAAATCAAGTGGCAGCCTGGGCGCCAGCCTCAACGTCAGTCATTTGGGCCTGAGCAGGCAGCGGAACAAGCTGATTCCGCGAGCAGGGGCCAGAGGGAGCGACGCTTCGCCTCGGAGACGCGGCGGCGGGGACTCGCCCTGGGGACCCCGGCGGGTCCGCCCCAAACTAAACAGAACCGGGTCCAAGCTCCAGGCCGTCTCGGAGGGGAGGCGTCGGGAGAACAACTCTCGGCTTCTCCTGCTCCCCGGGGCGGACGCGGGCCCCGTTTATACCGACACGAATACGGGTCACGCGGTTGCCGGCACCCCCTGAGCTGGAACGACCCGCCGCAGCCCGTGTTTCCAGGGGCAGCGCTCCCCGCGGCCGCGCCCTCCCCTCCGCTGGGCACCCTCAACGCTGCCTGCCACGGTCCCTGGCTCTCACGGGTGAGAAGGTGCAGAGGCGGCAGCAGGCGACTTCTCGCCAGTCTGCTCTAACTGCTCCACGACACGGGGTCGGCAAGGGCCTCTGGGCGCGACTCTGAGCAGGCGGCCTCGCTTCCCGCACGCGGCGCTCCTTGGCCGAGGCTGGACGCAGCAGGTGCCCTCGGGCCTGACCCTCACGGGCAGAGCCCGCCTCTGGAGACAGCTTCCGAGAGAGGACGCTGGCGAGACCCGGGAGACTCCCTGAAGACACTCGGGCACAGACGCTAACGAGGGGACGCCGCAGAGCAGCTCCCGGAAAAATCAAGTCCCAGCGCCTGCACGTCAGACGCTCACGCGCGGCCAGATTTGCTCTTGAGCAGCTGCTGTAAGCAGAATCAGCGCTGCTCTCTAAATACTCGCTGACGCGATTTCAAATTAGCATCAATGCGAGGACCGTGTGCAGCTGGGACTCGCGTGCCGCCCGCCCCCGCCCCCACGTGCTCCTGCCCGCGCCCGGCGCCCCAGGCTGCTGGAAGCGTCACCCCGAAACTGACTTATTCAAAGTGGCCACCAGCTCTCTGCGAGAATCCCCTCCCGCTGCCTGGGGACACGGGAGTTTTCGTGGTTATATTTTTGCGAAATAACTGTAGGTAAAATATCGGAGGGGAGCAGCTCGCTCACTGGATGTCCAGGTCCACACGGCGCTGCCCCGCACAGAGCAGGAGCGCAGGCCCTGCAAGGAGCTTTCTCGCCCAGAGTCGTCTAAAGAATTTTCTGTCTTTGCTCTCTTAGAAATAAATCCCTATTTTTGCAACTCTTTTTTGTATTAAATAAGATTTTGGCTCTTTTTACCCACACTTTTACTCAAGTCATCAAAGTAAACAGATGAGACGGAATCGGCTGCCCGCCCGGGGCAGGGTCCCTCGGGTACCCCGGGCGGGGAGCCGCTCCCTGGGTCCCGGCGTGTCCAGTCAGCACTGAGAGTTTCCAAGCGGTCGCCTTCCCTGACACCATCTAACTGCGGCGAGTCCTCGTCCTCCCCAAATAGCTCCCTGGGACCCTGCCCTGCAGCTCACTCTGGCTTTGCTCTCCCACCGGCCCCTGCCCGCCCTGCCTCCCGCTGGCCCTCCGGGCACCACCGCCCCGCACCCCGCCCCGGCCGCCATGCTTGTGCAAGGGCTTCCCACGGGCACGCGGGTGTCCCTGTAGCTCCCAGCGCCGGCATGATGGTGCGTCTGCAGGGAGTGATGTTGCCCCTGGGCTGTGAGTCCCACGAACGCCCCAGACTGGCTGGAGGTCACATGCAGGCCCCGGGTCCCCACTCTCCAGCAGGGCGGGTGCCGCGGGGCTTCTTCCAGACCGGGCAGCTAGGAAGGCTCCCTGTACCTGGACACTCTGACCCCCGCACCCGGACTCTGACCCCCGCACCCAGACTCTGACCCCCACATCTGGACTCTGGCCCCTGCACCTGAACTCTGATCCCTGCATCAGACTCTGACGCCCCCGCACCCCCGTACCCGAACTCTGACCCCCAAGGCCTGGATGCTCTGACTCCCACACCTGGACTCTGATCCCCCGACCCGGACTCTGACCCCAGCACCCGGACTCTGACGCCTGAGGCCTGGCGTGTGTGCCTGTGGCCCCAGCAGCAGGGGCCCAGGCGGCGGCCGTGGGGGCAGCTCACCTCGGCAGACAGGCCGGTGGTCGCTCCAGGCCGCCAGCGTCTCGGTCAGCCTCTGGCAGGTGACGCTCTTGGAGCCCTGGAGCACATAGTTGTCCTCACAGGAGAACTGCACGCTCGCGCCAACCCTGAGCAGCCAAAACAGAAAACACCACGTCAGCCGTGGAGGACGCTGCAGAGGCGTGAGGGCTACGGCGTGCCCTGCCGCCTAGTCGGCCGCCCATCGAGTCCCGCCGGTGTCTGTCAGCATGACGTGCGGGCAGTCAGCTCCGCCTGGACTCAGCACGGCACCCAGCCCATGGGCCTGGCTCTCGGGAGCTCTCCTGCCTGCACTGCGAGGCAAACATGTGAGAGAAGAGCAGGGTGACCACGAGGGCCCGACACGCTTGTGGGGAGACAGTGGACAGACCGTGTGCTGCCGCGCAAGCACCACACAGACAGGGCCGGGCACGCCCGGGGCAGGAACCAGCGAGGCGCTCCCGAGGCTCAGGACGCAGATGCAGGATGGGGCCGTGGGGCCCAGGAGGCAGGCGGTTTCCTGGCGAGAGCAGCAGAGGGGCCAGTGGTGGCAGCTGCTGCAGGATGCGCCTGGGTCCACAGCCACGTGCTCTGGCCACGCGCGGGTTGCGGCCTGTTCGGTGCTCTCGCCACTGTGATTTTTTAAATTTCCAACAAAGAGCAAAACAAAAGGCCTCAGTAAAGAATCGATGCTACGACCACAAAGAGTAATTATATTTTAGAAAAATATTATATTCTTGTGACATTATATTTCAAAATGACATATTATAGTCCGTGATGTAATATTTCAAAAATACGTCTTACAGGAAAAGAATGATTTGTTTTACAAGAAAACAATCCTTTCCACCCAGAGTTAGATGAGAAATTGCTTTGGCTCCAGAAAAAACCTCCTTTGGCTTCACTTGAATGCGAGGCGCCCGCCCAGGGCTGCTGTGAGGCAGAGGAAACTTCAGAGCAACTGGACAGTGAGGCCCCATCACAGGTTGGGGGGAGCACAGGGGGAAGAACCAGAGAGAGCGGGAAACAGAGGGACACCCCTAAATTCAGCGTCAGCATCTACTCCATGTGAGCAGCAATGCTCGTGTTCAGAGACCTCAGGCGGGAAATGCACACGAAGCGCCGCCAGCTCCAAGGCCCATCCCCCGTGGCCGATGGCAAGGCTGTGCCTCTGCCTAGCTGCGTAGTATTCCGCTCCAGGGGGCTTATAATAAAGGAAATAAGTCAGATGGAGAAAGGCAAACACCAAATGCTTTCACAAGTGTGTGCAAGATAAAGACAGCAAACACTCTAGCGAAGCAAAACAGAAACTGAGATGCAGAGAGCAGCCTGGTGTCCGCAGGAGCCCAAGGGGAGGAGGGGAAAGTGGGCCAAGGGAGCCAACCGTGGGGTCTTGGACAGAAGCTGGGCCGTGGGCGGCGACCACCGTGCGGGGGAAGCAGATGCCTAAGTGCACGGCCAATTCCTGGGACATACACTGGTTTAAAACAGGGCCAATAAAAATTTTAAAAAGCGCGAACGGGCCTAGTTCCATATAATAATGTCCCCAACCCTTGCATTGACACGAGTGATGTTCGTGCAGGAAGCCATCGCAGGGGGCTGGGCTGTAGAGCGTCCTAGTGGACCGGCCAGGCTCGCCCACGGGGAGCAGCAGGGGCTCCGCCTCCCTTCCTGCACCCGGGCCAGAGCCGGACCCGCTGGACCTCACCCGTGTCCGGACTCCTCCCCACCGGACAAGCTACACAGGTGTCCACAAACTGCTCGCGGGTCAGCGTGAGGGACGTGGAAACATCCAGCCATGGCAATTTTCCTTACTGAAACCATTAAAGTCGATAATGACTTATTTGCGGTTGATTGATGACATTTAGTTTCAAATTCCAGCTCTGAGCATAACCAGAAATATCTTGCTCTGTCATCATTCTGGATCTCACAGCTGTATTTGTGGACGTGGGGTGGCTGTATCCGCCTGTACCTGGCTCACGTCCCACCAACAGGAAACGGAATGACAGATGTCCGTGCACCCGTCAGCTCTCCATCCTGATTCCAGCTCCATCCTGTGCATGTTGGTAATTGAATTTTTCCATCCATCTGCTCATAAACACTCAGTTCTAATGAGGATACTTTGTCTTTTAGACAGTGGATGATGGTGAAGAAAATGGCTCCAAAATTGATCTGAATTCAAATAAGAAAGCTTATCCTCTTGGACACCGTTCATTTAGAATTCTTTATAGATACTAGCGGAATTAATATTTAGATGGTCTATGGAAAGAAAAGATTTCCAAAGAAACAAGAAGAATACTATAAATAAAATCAGATGAGAAATATTTTATCAACCTAATAAAATAAATTCTTTTCAAACAAAAGCAACCCCAAATTACACGCAATTACAGCACTAACTACAGATGAATCCCATCCTCTCCTCTTGACAATTCTGGTCATTAGTTTGGAGGACATGTTAGTCATTCAGTTTGATTTATTACAAGAGTTTAGAAAGAGCTGAAATGCCTTTCATGAAAAAAGTCTCAGAAAGATTTAAAATACCCAGGCTGGTCCTCCCCCGTCTAACACCAGCACGCGCAGCAAGGCCCTGCAGCCCGGCCACCTGCACGCGGCGCCGTGTGGCCTGGCGGGTGACTGTGCGTGGGCTCCGTGCGCACAGAACACACTCAGCTGGACAAACACAGAGTTTGCACATCGGACCCCAGGACCACCCCCATGGTTCCAACTGTCAACTTGTGTGACACTGAATTTAATTCAGCTGGGCACAGCGGCACGTTCCACTGGTCACCGGTTCTGCGCCCTCAAAGCTCCAACCGAGGACGGAGTCCATGCAGCCGCGTCACCGGCCCGCCCTGTGCGTTTGTTCCCTCTAAGACGCGAGCTGCAGACCGGGTGGGGGTGAGGGGCCCTCAGAGGCTCTGGTTATTTGATAATGATGCTCATCATAGGCATGCTGAGATGGCATCTGCCTTTTTCCAGATGTTACTGATGATACGAACACAAAGGTGGGCAGAACCGAGCGTATGAAGGTGAATCCGGGCAAGAGCAAAACGGCCCCAGCAACAACTAAACATGGAAATCAAAGGCCAGTGTCATGTTAGAAAGTCCTTGATGAAACAGGAAAACATATCAATTCTATGATGCTTAACCCTGAATTTCAAATGCACGTCAGGGGACCTCGAGGAAGGAAGCACAGGAGAAACTGTTGAGGTGTGAGCGGAACGTCACACCTTTATTTCCCTGGAACGTCTCTTTATTTGAAAAAATAAAAAGCTGGTGTTGCTGAGACGCCGGTATTCCTCGACACGTTCCAAAGAACGAGGGAGTGAGCAACTCAAGGAAGACAGCTGACAAGCCTTGCAGCCAGCGATAAATTCCAAGTTGTACAATCACAACTAGTGTTTTTGAAAAGTTGTATTTGTTACTGCGTTCTACAAACTGCAGTGCTTAGAGTTTTCCTGATAAGCTACGTCATGAACAAACATGACGCGATATTGTGCATTAAATGCACCGAAAGGCCAGTGCACAGTGGTAGGGTATCACAGGGGGGACAGACGGGACACTGGGCCAGCGCATTTCAATGCACTGACCTACAAGATGTGTGTTCTTGTGATTTCATATTTTATATCTCAACTAACCTTTAAGAAAATTTAATTGGTAATTTCTGTTATAATATCTAAAAAGAATTACATAATCATTGGAAAGGTTATTGGAATATTATTTTCAACCATAGATGAGGCAGCATTTTTAAAATATTAATCAAGGCGACATGATGTGACAAATGAAATGTAGAAACACTTTCCCAAGGTGATAAAAGAGGCCCAAGGAGGCTCAGCACCACAGTCACGCCTAACGATGCGCCAGAATCTTCCACCCAAGGTCACCCAGTGCCAGAAGTTCTAATGTGACCTTGTACTATATGTCCTGGCCGGTGCCTTCAGGCAAAGGAAAAAGCCATTCGTATTGGACAGAATTATTTGCAATTGACAGGATCACCCCAAGGATGAAGGAGAACGTCCTGCAAAATCTACCAAAACGCTACCTGTATTTTCTTATGAAAATACAGAATATTTTACCTTTCAAGTTATTTTTCCAGCTGCTGTGCTGTCTGATTCCCAGGGGCTCAGAGCCGTGTCAACAGCACAGGGGTTTCCCGGGACAGTAAGAAGAGAAGTCGCCAGCTCGCCTCCCCCGAGACGCCAGCACTGCCTCAGGCTGAGTGGTCCGGAGGCTAACAGGGGCCAGGCTGTGACTGCGAGACGGGGTGAGGCCAGTGGCCATCTGAGACGCGGATGAAGGCCCCTCACTGCTCGTGCCAGCGCTGGCCCTGAAGTCCTTGTTACCTTCGGGAGATTCAGCAGCTTCTCTGTTCTTCTCGCCAGAGGATGCAATTTGAGCAGCGTGGCACTGTCAGGTGGAATGTAACTTGCTGTCTTGAAGAGCAGAGCTCTGCCAGGAAGACCAGGAGGTGTCCAGGCTCAGGGGAAGAATGTCGGGGATGGCTGAGTAAAAGACAGGCAGGGCGCCTCCTACACACTGGTTGGCAGCCTGTGCCAGCACCACCTCCCCTACGAGACAGGGATGGAGACCCTCGTGCATGTCCTGGAGGAGTGAGCGTCAGTCCTGGAGGAGCGAAAATGGACCCGTCACTCACGATGCAGCTCCGGGGCCGCCTGCCACGGGAAGGCGACGGGTCCTTAGGGAGTGAGGCCTGGAGAGCGTCTTTCCTGAGTCGGCAAATGGAGGTGACTTGAGACAAGAAGGGATTACAGAGGGCAGAACCCTGCAGGGGCTCTTGCAAGAAGGTGGCATTCCACGCATGTTCTTCCGCTTTGGAGGTGAAAGTCCTAAGTGCCTCCAGCTGACCGCTCTTCTCCATGTGAGACTCCGGCGTCCATGTCGGCCGCCTGAGCCACACGCCAGAACGCACCAGGTTGGGGTGAGCCACGGCTGCTCCTGACCCCGGTGCTTCCAGAGTGCCCTGGGCTGGTGAGGGAGCCGAGCTGGCGCGGGCAGTGGCAGCCGGCAGCCAGCTGGGCCCCTAGCATGCTCCAGAACCGAGGGGCAGGGGCGTGCCCCCTTCAGCCAGCTCCTGCCCCCCTCACTCTGCCCCCTCTGGAGCCTCCTCCCTCCTGTGGGGCGCACACTCCCCAGAGTCTTGTGTAAGATCCCCGCTCAGGCTCTGCTTCAAGGAGCGCGGACCCACCCGCGGCCGTGATGTCCCAGCGCCCGTGGGGACCCTGCGGCCCCTCCACACTGCCTGCTCTCAGCCGGCCTCCAGCTGGGAGGCCCGCGCGGTCAGGCTCACACCCGCGCGGTTTCCCCTGCCCGTGGGAGCACAGCCTGACCTGCGCCACTAGGCACCCCTCAGCGCGGCTCTTTGCTGTGCTTTCCGAAGATGCCAGAGCTGCCCGGCCACCGGCCCTTCCCCGGGCAGCGCTGCCGCCTGGCGGTTCCCGGCGCCCAGATCTGGCCTGGGTCTCTGCACACGCCCCTCCCTTGCTCTCAAGACGGTGAGATTATAAGGCGAGAAATCACATCCGTGCGACCTTGGATTTGGGCGTCCTGCACGCTTGGATTTTGCAGCTGCCTCACAATACAAGTGTCCACCTTGTAAGCCGGAAAATGTTCAGTTTCCACAAATAATAAAAAATGCAAACATTGCCACCATCAGCACTCCAGCAGTCACTCTACATCCACAATGGAACCACTAGACAGCGGCGTCCAGTCAGGATAATGCTGCCGAGGGGACACAGCACCACTGAGTGCCACTGGCGTTCACCACCGCACAAGTTTATTTAATGAGAAGACTGTAGCTTTGGTTAAATTTTTGCCCCATTAATTTGTTAAACATTAACTAAAATACACCCATATATTGAAAGGTACCTAATTAAAAACAGAAGGGGGAAGAGCCTGGAGACAAAGTTTGAACATTTAGAGCTAAAATTTCAGTGGTGGTTCAAACAGCGAACGGCATCAACTGCAGAGAATCTGCAATTTCTCATCACGATGTATTTTAGGATTCAGAAAATAGCACGGCTGCATAATAAGCAGAAGTTGTATTCTGAGTGAGAAAGACAAAGGAGAGAAGAGCGGCGCGCTGAAATTATACGTGCTGGAAAAACAGCACGCTTTGAAATGATGGCTGCATCCCCTACCTGAAGTCAGAACCTGCTCTTCTTCCATTTTCTGGAACCCCAGGGTCTGGACACATGTCAGAGGCCAAGGCAACACCTCCTTGACTCACTGTAACGGAAAGAAACATAGTTAAAGTTCCCTTTAATTATTGAGGAACTATCCAGGAGATAAATTTACATTAGGCAGGTGTTATTCTTAAATTAGGATTTAAAATATACGTCAAGATTTAAGACAGCTTAGCTAGGTTAAAAGGAATCTATTATTCCTGTCGAACAATAACTTTTTACCCAGTGAGAAGGTGTTAAGATTTTTTTACTTGAACTCTTTCCTCATTGAAGAGGTTTACATTTAATTTAAAAACATTTCTCATTATGATTATGCTTATGACAAGTTGCAATTAATAATATGGTTGCAGAAAATAGCACCATGGCATACAGGCCGTAGCTGATGTCAAAGGAAGCCTTCATGCATTCCCCAGGGTGAAATAGAGACATTAATTGTCTGTTAAGACTGATACAAGGAATAATTTAAATAAAATTACCTATTATCTTCTAAACATCAAACATGATTTTCATTGAGCTAATAAGAGTGCTGTTCTTCTTGCACAGACACGCTGGAGCATTTCCTGAATCTGCCCCAGGAGGAAGCTGTCTTCCTTTTGGGATGTTGTGCTGCTACCGAACAGCTTGTGGAGGGTGCACTTGCTGATCAGATAGAGCGGCCAGCGTCCCTCGAGGGACCCTACTGAACCAGTCTGACCCAACCAAGAGGATGCTTCTGTCTTTCCAGAAAATTACATTCCATAAAGCCCAAACACGTGTGAACATACGATTTTATCACTTGCAGCTATAACGCATGCGTACAAACAATTTTTCCACATATACAATGGCTCCAAAACAAGAAAAAAATTAGTGTGGGTAGATTTGAACTTTATAAGCATCTTATTAAGTTCTGCACAATAAAACACCAATAATGACAGCAAGAGTTAGTGTTTATTGCTAAACGAGGGTGAAATGGGATATGGACATAAACCTTCATTAACTACAACCCTTACAGACCGCAGTCGACGAATGCGTGCCTGGGAAATATTTCATCATTACAGTTTCATTAACCTATATCTCTTAGAGATTTTATTTCCTTTTCATTAAGTTTTTATATCATCTAAAATATTTTGCTGTGTAGTTTGAAAGATAGGTTGAAATTAAAAATTTTCTTTCCCAAATATTTAATTTGCTCAACCCAACTTAAAAACAGTCACAAGTTCAGGAGTGACATGAGCAAGATGATGCAACAGGCAGCCCAGGACCCACTGTCCCCATGGAAATACCAACCAACAAGCATGACTATGAAGTGTATTTTGACGAAATTATCCAGAATCTAGAGCAACCAGCAAACATCAGTGAAGACAGAGTCACATGTACTATAAGAAACATCCTTATATTACATCTCGAGTGCAAGTTCCTTCAGCATTTATATACAGTTCAGCTGGATTAAATTTAATCATTTTTCAGGCCCTTGCCCGACGCCCTCCCTACATGACCCAGCACAGTGGAGAGGACTCAGCCCAGGGTCCTCGCTGAGGCGAGGATCTGGCCTGTGTCGGCTGCCTGACTTGACTCCGTCCTGCCTGATGTGAAGTGCAGAAGGGGAAGGTGGCTGGCAGGCAGGGAAGGCTGCACCAACCACCACTGCATTTATAAAGGGCAGGGGACGGCAGCCATGTGGGTGCCTGGTAGCAAGATAAGAACACAGTGAGACAGTTAAGACCCCGCCAAGCAGGCAGGGTGGGGCTCCGTGTGTTAAAGCAGTTGGGAGAGGGTGGGGTTGGAAGCTCACACAAGCCCAGCAGAACATGCACAGGCAGGGTCTGAGAGGACACGTCTTCCTGCCAGGCTAATCTCAAGGGAAGCGCTAATTAGCAATGGTCTTCCACACCCCCCTGCAAAGCCTGGGAGGGGTTTCTTTCAAATGCTCAATTTTTAACAATAATCGGAAGACATACAAAGAAACAAGGAAACGTGGTCAACATTCATATCCAAATGAGTCCCTGAAGACGCACAGGCATCAGCGGCACCAGACAAAGACTTCGAGGCAACTGTATTAAATGTGAATGTGAATAAATAATGGGGGGCCATTCTCAACTTTGACGAAAGAGATAAACACACCAATCCGAGGAGCACAATAAACTCCAAGTAGCATAGACTCAACTAGCCCCGTGACAAGAAACTTACACTGTCAAAAGACAAAGACAATTTTGAAGGCAGAAAGAGCAAAACAACTTATCATGAACAGCAAATTTCCAATCCAACTATCATTTGACTTCTCAGCAGGCTCCTTGGCGGTCAGAAGCCTACGTGGTGATAAAGTTAAACACGGAGAGAAAACAAACACGGTCAACTGAGGGTTTTCCATCCAGCAGAGCTAGTCCTCACCGGAAAGGAGGGAACACGAAGACATCAGCAAAAGAAAGCTGAGGGAGCTCACTGGAACTGCAGAGGGTGTGGTGTCTGCTGTGGTTACTATTACGCTGATTCCGTGGGAGACGCCGTCACTGGGGCTCTTCTGTGTGACCCCCAGGGCAGCACAAAGAACATATCTACAGATTACACACGAGAGAACCTGCGAAGGGAACCCCAATGCATCGCTACAAAAAAAAGTGTACTTAACACAGAGGGAGAGAGAAATGGCTGAAAGAAGGGCCCGGAAAGCCATGACACGCAGAAAGCAAATAACAAAATGATGAACAGCCACGCTTTCCCATCAGTAAATTTATTTAAATATAAATGGGACCAATTTCCTGTGCAGGCTGAATCATACCCCCAGATCCCCAAGTTGAAGTCCCGAGCCCTGGACTCAGAACATGCCTGAGATGGGGACATGGGGCCTCTGCTGAGGGAGGTGAGAGAAAGTCTCGTGGGCCCCCCTGTGGCGCAGGGGTTGCGTCTCAGCGCTGTCAAGCTGTCCGCTGCCATCGTGGCCTGAGCTCCTGGGATCAGCTGTGTCTGTGCCAACTGCTGAGTCTTCCCTACTTTGAGGTCCCTGCCCTGGCGGCCGGAGCCCGGGCAACACGGGTGGCCAGGGCCGGGCCAGTCGCTGCTGTCGCGGTGAGAGGGCAGTGGGTGGTGTCTCCTGGGCCCTCACGGGTCCTTAAGCCTTGAGCCTTATATCGGCAACGCAAGAACAGACAGCAGTGACGCCCCTGGGGATTAACAATCCGGAATGAGTCATTTAAACACGTTCACACTTCCCAGGGAAGCTGCCCCCGGGGGTCGCGGCCTGTCTCACTGCTGAGCCTCTTTCTGCAGAGCCGAGAGCTGCCCTTTCGTGGGGGGGACTCTGACGTGGCCGTGGCCACCTGCAGTCCCAGGAGCTGACGCATGCGTGAGCAGCACAGCTGCAGGCACATGCTCTGCCAGCACAGTCGGCTGAACCCCGCCAGACCCAACTGGGGGGGCACGCTCGTTGGCTGGGGGCCTCGCAGCAGCGGAGACCAGTGTCCACAGTCTCCGGGGTGGAGGGGCAGGCCGAGGCCGCCAGGGCAGGCCGGAAGCGGCAGCCGCACCAGAGAAGGCCCAGCCACGGCCCGATGCGAATGGGGCCTTGGGTGGTGCAAGGAGGTTTTCATGAAATGGCCCCTTCCTGATTTGCATCTCCCCTCGCTCTGCGCCTGCGCGGCTATGGAATAAGAGATGAAAACAAAACCTACTCGACTTCAGGACTAAGAAGCTTGTTTGGAAAGGGGGGCTTGCCTCTATAAGATACAATCATTTCCTTTTGCAGTGGAAATAACCCTGCTGGTGCCCTCGCTGGGATGGGCCGGAACATCCCTGACGTGTGTCTGCTCCCCTCACTCTCCCCGGCCGCGGGCCGCGGGAAGCCCCTGCAAAGGAGTCACTTTCCGGGTTCCCGCCACAGGCAGGCTCCGGGGCTCTGCGCGCCCCCTCCTCAGGCCCCGCTGGGCTTCTCCGCGGAGCGGCTCCCCGCCCGCCCCCAGGAGGCTGCCGGGGCGGAGGGAAGGTGGGGCCAGGTGCCCCATCCCGCCTGGCCCTCGTCTTCCCCACACCGGCCACTGCTCCGGCTCTGCCCAGAGGGCCCTGGGGAGGCCGGCGCGGCCTGGAGCTGTCCCTGGGGCTGCTGGGAGCTGTGTCCCTCGTGCGGCGGGAGCGTCCAGGGCTGGTCGAGGTGCCCCCGCGTGAGGCCCGAGCGGGTGACCTGGCCAGCCAGGTGGGTGTGGGCGGTGGCCTGAGACCAGGAGTCTGGCCGCAGCCTGTACCCTCCCTTGTGGCCCGGATGGCAGGACGAGATAGGCGATTCCAGGAGCCTGGGGCGCGGCGGGCTCCAGGCCGGTCAGCTGGCGCGGCCCAGCAAAGGGAACACAGCCCGAGCGCCTGATGACTGGTCAGATGTCCCCTCTGCGATAGCCAAGGGCCGAGTCACTGCCTCGGGTCACCCTGATATCAGTGTGAAGGCGCCCACATACAGGGGGCCTGGAGGGAGGCCTGGACGTCAAGGCAGGTGGCTGGGCAGGACCCCCCGGGGCCAGACCGCTGCTCCCAAGGGTTACGCAGGTCATGGCAGGGACGCCCTCGCCACAAAGGGGCAGGGAGGGGTGGGGGTAGGCAGGGGGCGGGGAGGGGGCAGGGAGGGAGCGGGGAGGGGCAGGGCAAGCCTGTGCAGGGCGGCAGGCTGGTCCCACCCGAGGCCTCCGCGGTGTCGCCCCTGGACGCCTGCTGCCCAACTGCATGCCCCGCGCGGCGCCTGCGGCTCCTGGGGACAGGCTACCCCCGGCTGGCCAAGCAGCCCCCAGAGTGTCCTCTGCATCCGCGGGCACGACCAGGGCCCCCAAGGCGGCACAGAGACCTAGGTGCCCCCACTTGTGCCCCAGCCGGGAAGTGCTCACCCTCCCCGGGGGCCGCGGTGTGTTCTCAGGGCATCGTGAAGCGCGCCCAGGCCTGAGCTGCGGACGGCGGGGTCCAGTGCAGGCGCCGCCCCTAACGCGCTCGGGGCCTCAGGCCGCGGCGTCAGGCCTTGTCTCACCGCCCGGGACCCCAGCTCTGCGCTTGTTCTGTCCCCTCCCAGCTCGGAAGACAAGCGCCAGAGGACTCGCC